GGAGGGCCGGGAGGCAACGGGACTTCGTGGAGTGAGGGCGACCGCGCCCGCGGGGCGAAAGCACGGGAGGGCCAGCGACGTCTCATCTCCTTGACGGCCGCCGGGGACTTGACGGGCCTTGAATCGTCGAGGGGCATTGGGTGCCGAGCGCGCGAAGAGCGGCGCCATCGGCGCGACCACCGACCGCTGCCAGCGACCAGCACTTACACGGCAAAGGACGTAAGACACAGAGCGCACAGCACGCCGGAGCGCGCCATGGCCCTGCGGGCGACACGGCAAGCCGCGCCGCCTAAGGCACCAGGTGCCCTTGGAATGGCGTCACGCTCCTCCTTTGCTTGAAGCAGTCTGCAATGGCACGATCGATCCACGGCTGCGTTGCACTTGTGGACTCCACGTACATAAAACAAGTTTTGAAAGTTTTTGTGAACACCAAAGCAGCCATCTATGCATTCCCTCCACCGGAACCTTGTAGGTCGACGCAATAAACAGATCTTGGCGCTATCGTTTGAGGGAGGAACGTGCGCTTGTCCTTTCCCTGCAATACGAGGACATTTGTTTTTAGCGAATCCACCCAACGCGATTCACGGGACGGGTAAGAATGAAACATGCAATTCTTACAGAGTTAGATATGCCGCTAGTACCCAAGTCGGTGCAGCTGAGCCTCAAGGTCCCGGATTTTTTTCGAGAGCTCTTGGGTGCGTCGGAAGAGTGCGCTTGTCGAGAGTCCTTCTATGTTAGTTTGCAGCTTCCGGATCGTTGTCGCGTTCGCTTCTTGGGTGGCTTCGGCCGTGACCGCCCGCGACTCGAGCGTCTTCATGCCGCTCTTGGCTTGAGTCTCTTGCGTCTGCAGCGCCGTTTCCAAAGCGGCGATGTGCGACGCGAGGTTCGTCGCCTCCTCCTGGAGCTTTGTCTTGGCCTCTCCGAGCGCCGACTTGTCCGACGAGAGCGCGTTGACGCTGGCCGAGAGATCGTTGATGGTCGACATGAGCTTCAAAATCTTGTTCTCGAGGCGCAGCTCGTTCGATGCGGCGCGGGCTGCTGCGTCGTCGGCTTGCGCTCTGAGCGCCTCGTGCAGCTGCGACCAGGTCTGGCGATGCCGGTGGTTCACCGAGACCCACCTCAATGTCGCTGTCAAAGTCCGTGTCCTCCATCAGCGGCCCGGAAAAGATGGTCCACTGACTCGTTTCGTCGACGTCGCCGCAAGCAGGGCATACCACACGGCGGCCGCGCACTGCGTCTTCGTACTTGGCTCGGAACTCGGCGCCCTTGGCTGCGAGGGTAGCACTAGCATCGGCCAGCGCCTTCTCGTGGTCGGCCGAGAGGCGACGCGCGACGTTCGCTGACGTCTGATGCGCTGTCACGAGGTCCGTTTGGAGAGCAGAGACTTCGTCTTGAGCAGCAGAAAGCGCCGCTTGTTGCTCCTCGTTGCTTTGGCAATCTGAGCATTTCGAGTGCGGTCGGCTCGCAGCTTTTGGCTCTGCGCTTTCGTCGCAAGAAGTGGCTTCGGCCGGTGCCTCTGACCTTGCTGCTGCTGAATCGGATCTCGCAGCATCGCGATCGCAGCACGACGCCGACGTCGAAAAGATCGAGGCCAGCCTTGAAGAAGCGCATCAAGCGGCTTTGGCCGGCGCCTCGAAGTTCGACAACGACGTCAAGGAGCTCCAGGCGAGTCTCAAGAAGGCACAAGAAGCGGCTTCGGACGGTGCCTCAGAGCTCAAGGTCGAACTCGCGAAAGCCCATGCGACGATCGCGGCCCAGGAGCGCCAGCACAACGCCAACATCAAAGCGCTTCATTGTCAACTTGCCATCGCCAAGGCAACGGCTCGTCGCTCAAGGTCAGAGGCACCTGCCGAAGTCGCTTCTTGTGCCTTCTTGAGACTCGCCTGGAGCTCCTTGACGTCGTTGTCGAACTTCGAGGCGCCGGCCAAAGCCGCTTGATGCGCTTCTTCAAGCTGTCAAGGCTGGCCTCGAGCTTTTCGACGTCGGCGTCGTCCTGCGATCGCGATGCTGCGAGATCCGATTCAGCAGCAGCAAGGTTAGAGGCACCGGCTGAAGTCGCTTCTTGTGCCTTCTTAAGACTCGCCTGGAGCTCCTTGATGTCGTTGTCGAACTTCGACTGTGCAGCAGCAAGCGCCGACACACAGGTCGCAGCCGAATGCTCCGATGCTTCGAGTGATGCCCCAAGATGCTCAGCGGCATCGTGCGAGGCTCGAAGTTGATCTCCGAGAGTTTCGAGATCGTTGTCGTGCTGGGCACGGGCGAGGACAAGCTCCGAGGCGCTAGTCTTGGCCGCTTCTTGTGCCTTCTCGACACTCGCCTGGAGGTTGACGACCTGCGCTTGGAGAGTAGCAACTTCCGAACGCAGCTCACCGAGGATCGCCTCGGAGATGGTCGTTGATGTCGCGCCGGTTGGCTTGACATCCGTGGTGGCACTGGACGGAGCAGGCGCAACGCTCGTCACCGGTGCGCGACGCTGAGCGGCGGAGATGGAGTTGCGGCTGCTCGCCGTCAATGGTCGCCCTGCCGTCGTGGCAGGCGTTTGCGTCGACCGAATCGTTGATCGCGCAGTCACCGGGACAGTTGTCGTCGCACGCTGGCGGACAATCGTCGGGGTCGTGCTGCGCCCGAACGCGGTGGCACGCGAAACTTGGTTCGTGGCCGTCGTCGGGCTTGGCTTACGCATGAGGACATCTTGGGCCGCCAATTTGGCATTGGCGAGCTTTGCAGCGCGCTTCTGGTGGTAGAGCGGGTCGTAGAGGGACATGCGATTTCGTTTTCTGAGGCACCGAGATCACTCGCGCTGCCGAGGGCTGTAAAGGCGTTCAAGCCATCGCTGCGCTTCGTGTACTTGGTGTTTGTATCGCACGCTGGAGAAGCGTGACCTGTGACACTACGTCCTGTCAAAAGCCCATGAAGCGGCGCGCTTTTGTACTCTCCGCGGCTGCAAAGCTCGGGTCGTGCTGGTTACCACGCTCGACTGGCCAGCTCCAAAAAGCCAATGGCTCCGAAAGTATCTTCAGACGTTGATTGCCCGCGTACTAAAGTACTTTCGTACCAGAATAGATTGTGCCGCGTTGATATTCCCATACGTGGCAGCGTATCTATTGGTTGAATCCAGGACTGTCTATAATAGTCGAGCATATCCGTGCGATCCAACCAACGCTATTACCACACTACTGTACGTCGCGATGCAGTCGACGCTAGCGTCGCACCAAATGCAGCGTCGACAAGTGTACAATCGTAAAAGTATAGTCTCACCTTACCGAAGACGCTAGCTCGATGGAATACTGTCAATTGTACTGGCACTGGTAGGAACCTACTAGTACTGGTTATCGAGTTGAAGTCGACGTTCGGAGACCAGCGCCTTACAAGGCCCTGGTCTTAGGCGCTAGTTACTCCAGCCCACAGGCGATATACGTGCCGTCTCTCGATCACGGGGTCTGTCCGTGCAATAATTTTGATTGAACAAAACGAACAAAGCGCTACGTTTGCATTGACTGTGAACGGAACGAACTAACAGCTACGTTCTCATTGTAGTCAATCGCAGAAAAAGGCCCGCATTGTGCAACGCAGAGCACTAAAGGTCGGAGTCCAAGATGTCGTTGAACCGAAAAATGACGCGACGCACCGTACGTCCGCCCAAAGATGCAGCGGCCAAATCGGCGCGGCTTGAGAAAAATCGGCGCGCCCATGCCGCTGCGCGCGCCAAGGAATCCGACGATGTAAACACAAAAGCAGTCCACAACCAGCGCCGTCCGCCGGAACCTTGTTTATTACCGTTATTTCCTGAGCCCATCGTATAAATACACCGTTATTTCGTGAGCCCATCGTATAAATGCGCCGTAGAGCGACATACCACTCGTGGCAACGACGGCGCCGACATAATCCGCTGCTGCGTCGACCGCCCGTACGAGTTGTTGGTAGCGAGGCGCGTCGCAACGACGTAAACACGAACTTTCTAGAATGGCTTCCGGATAATTCGCGAGCTCGCTTCTGGAAGCTGCGCCGCCACCTTTGAGTGTTGTATGGCAGCGTATCCGGATGATATGGCACGCTGATTGCGCTTCAGTTGCCAAGTTTCTCTCGACACGAACCGATCCCAAGAACGATGATGCTGTTCCCGCCCCAGCCGCGCCCCGTGGCCCTCGGCCGAGGCCTGCGCCGTGGCCGCGACGAAGACAGCTACAGCGCGCCCTGCCACCACAAGCGCATGAAGCTGGCAGAGAGCCTTCAGCACATGCAGGTGCAAGCACCCGAGCCCGTATGGTTTGACCACGTGAGCTCGCCCGAGAACGACGACGTGGACATGGATGTGGACATGGACGTCGAGTCGGACCAGTTGCAGCTCGTGCCCTACGATGCGCAGGCGGCGTCGTACCCGACGCTCGAGCTGACGACGCCCGCCAAAGCCTTTCAGACAACATGCACCCAGCAACCGTTTCCCCTGCTCGACGAGCAACCGCCAGCTGGCACGTCGACCGCGATCGTGCTTTACCGCCCACCCCGCCACAACGCCGAATGGAAGACCGAGCCCGAGTCGGACGCGAGCGAGAGTGAGGACGACGACGTGGCCGACTGCTCGTACGACATGATGGACATTGATGACGATCTATAGATAGGAGGGTGTTGCTGTTTATTAGTATTTATAATGCCAACCCATGCGTCTCATCATGGCTTGGACTTGGGATGAGGGCGCGCCTTCTTCTTGGCGCCCATCGAGAACGAAGGCGCATCGTGCGACGCCGCCTCCGGTGCGGCCCACGGATCCAACGACCGCTTCTTACTCGGGCCCGGCTTTTGCGGCGGCCCCTTCTTCTGGAATGGCTTCTTTTGCCCCTTCTTGGACTGTGACTGGTTTGGCTGGGCTTGTTTGCCCTTTGAGTGCTGTGCTTGCTTGGCTTTAGGCGGCTGTGCTTGCTTGGCCTTGGGCGGCTTGGACGGCTGCGCAGCCTTGGGCAGTTGTGATGACTCTGTCTTCTTTTCAACTGCGGGCTGCGTCGCATTTTCCGTCGACTCGGTCACGGGGCTTGGAGCGGTAGTGGCCTCGGACAGCTCGACCTCGGCAGTGTCGTCGTTGCCTTGATCCGCTTCATGCGCACCTCCTTCCTCTAGCTTCTTGGCTTCGCGCGCAGCCGCTTTCTTGGCATCGCGCTCCTGTGCCAGCTTTTGCCGCTCCAGTTTCCGCTTGAGCTTTGCGGCGTCGCGCCGCGCAATAAAGCGCTTGGAGCGATCCGTCGTTCTCGCTTCCGCAATCCACGCTGCATCGGCGCCCCAGTCTTGGACGAAGAGCTTGTCCATCATCGCATCGTTCTACGCATCGATCGACCAGGATGAGCGATGTGTCGACGACTTCTCGGGCGTACCAGCACTTGCAGATCGACAAAGTTCTGGAAAACGGCGTCGCCCGTCCGGGGCTGGCGACCAAGTACGTCAAACATGCTATCCTTGATCATCTACACCAAGGGCATAAGCATGCTGCAGTCGCTCACATGCGTACCTCGCCGGCTGCGTTCTCGTCAATGGGCTCGGAGGCGTACCGGGCGATGAGCGCGTCGAGGCCCGACGCGCTGCCTTCGAGAAGCAGGAGGTGCAGGCTGCCGCGCGTGAGGAGGCGGCCATGCACGCTCAGCTCCTTGCACCATGTCTTGAGCGTCGCCACGTACTTGGCCCGGGCCTTGACTTGGTCCAAGCGTAGCGCGAGCACTTCCAGTCCTTCCGCGGCCATCAAGTTGCTTTCTGTGGCAACGAGTGGTCTCGATCAAGATCTGGCGCTCTCATTGGTTAAAATGCAGCCAATCCGAATCGTGCTTCGATATCTTGGCTCGACGTCGCCACAATGCAAAAAACATTGTACACAACGTATTCGTATTTGTTAACTTAAAGGGACACGGCTTGCAGCCGACCGAGCACTTGGCGCATGTCGGGGCGAAGACCAGGGTCGTGCTGGATACAGAGCGCGACGATGTCTCGGATTGGTGCGGGGCACGACGCCGACGGCCGATGGCGGAGCCGGCCGGTGACGAGCATCCCGATAAAGTCGCTGCGCGAGTATGTCTCGCTCTCCTTTAAGAACGGAATCTCGTGCGTATCGAGCTCGACGAGGAGGACGCCAAATGAGTAGACGTCGACGCGCTCGGCGTAGTCGCCGTCCATGAGCATCTCGGGCGCGGACCACTGCACGTCGCCGACGCCCGATGTCATGGTTTGATCGTAGCTGCGGTCGCGGCAGCAGCCAAAGCCACTGAGCACGGCTTCGCGGCGCCGCCCGAGGATCACAGACGCCGCTTTGATGTTGCGATGGATCATGATCGGCTTTTGTGCGTGCATGTACACCAGCGCCTCGGCCACCTCGGTCGCGATGCGCAGCTTGTCCTGCCACGTGAGACCCGGCTTGGGGCGGTTCAGAAGCGCGCGCAAGTCGGGCGGGTTGCCCGCGAGGTTCTCCGTGACGCAGCAAAGGCCCGCGGTGGGCGAGATGTAAAACCCCATGAAGCGAAGCACTTTAGGGCAGTCGACCTTGCTCAGCGAGATGATCTCCTTGACGAGCGCATCTTTTTCATCCGGAAACTTGAGGCTCTTGACCATCGCGAGCGTGCCGCCGTAGTGCGCGAGCTCGGTCTTCATGTAGTCACTCTGGAGCGACCGGATGATCTTGACCATGGACGGGTAGATGTACAAGTGACGGTACGCTTGGAGCTCCTCGTACCCAGCCCAGTCGATCTCGTCCATCGATGTTGTGACGGGGCGCACCTGGTTGCTAGCAAAGTCCACCATGGCGGCGTCGGGCGTGATTGGGGACATGCCCCGGAAGCTGCCAGGCGGACCGTTCGATCCCATGTACACGATGCGTCCGTCACCGTCCGGGTTTGGAATCGTGAACAATGGCGGGCGCACGGTGGACGGCTCGTCGGTCGAGCTCTCGCCCGATGCTTGGCGCGCCCAACTGTCGCGACCACTGCTGTAATTGCTGCTAGAGCTCGTCCGTGATGGCGTGCTTCGTGGTGGCATTCGTGGGATCGTTGCCGACGGGTACGGAGGAGGTTGGGATGGCGCCTGGTGCTGCGGTTGTTGGGACTTGGCGGGCAACGAGTCGGCCTTGACCGCGAGTTCGGGCGGGACCGAGTGGCGCTCTTGCCGAATGAACGCGGGGGCAGAAACGTTCTTGCGGTCCGACGGGGACCGCCCTGCGTTGTTGTTGGACTGCAGTTGGAATCGCGTCTGCGGCGGCGCCGATTGCGCGACATTTTCTTTGTACGTCGACGACTTGTACTCGCGGCTTTCGTGCGGCCGCGGAAACTCAAAGTGGCCGTTCACAGGCGGCTCGGGTGACGCGAGGGAGCTAGCGCGCAGCTCGAGGCGGAGACACACCTCGCCGCCAGGCGACGGGTGCTTGGTTCGGTGATCGAGTTTAAACCAGTGCTCGGCGCCCAAGGACGCAGCTATGGCCTCGTGCAATGGCGCCCGGTAGATGCCAATGTGGGCCTTGCGCAGCATCGAGTGGTTCTTGATCTCGATCTGGAACGGATCGTTCACATCGACGCTCGGGATGTGGAACGTCGCAGCGAAGCGCGGCTCGACGCCGCCTTTGGCGTGCACCTTGGTCTTGACCTTGTGGCCCGAGATCTTGATCGTGCAGTACGGATCCTGCGTGCCAAAGAGCTGCGTGTTGCGGAGGCCTCTCGCCTCTTTCACGCAGACGAGGAGGTCCATGTGCCGCCACGCGCAATATCTGTTTTGCGACGGGGAAAGCCAGTCGGCTGGAAACGAGGGACCCCCCCCTCCGGACGTATGCAAATCTTTTTTCACCCCCCGATGGCTGTAGACTAAAAACAAACCACGTTTCGCCCAAGTTCGAACAAGGCACATACCAGCGCAGAGTGAGACGACGGTCAGGAACCGTTTCTCGGTACACAACCGGGTTGTGCGCACAGAGCCTTTGCCATCGGGCGAAAGCTGTCGGTCGATCGTACCCACAAAACATAAAATTGCGTGCGATTAGCCCCGTCGAACGTACAAAACGGGCCGAAACGCTCCGGAGCACCTCGTTATGTGAAACCGACTGTCGGGGATTCATGGGAAAGGCCGCGAACGAAAAGGTGACGCCGAAGCGCTCCGCGCTCACGCGGGTCATCAACTTGGACCGGAAAGATGACGGGATGCCGTCGCGCCTCGCGCGCCTCGGGCACGTGCCAAAAGTCAAGCAGCTTTCGTTCAACATTTGGAAGCAAGCCGAAGTGCTGCCCGCGACGAACCGCGTCTCGCTGCGCGTGACGGCTGAAGAGCGCAAGAAAATCGTGCAAGATGTGACGGCGCCGCCACCCCGGTTCATGGTCTATCCGGGTAGGCTCCCTTGTCCGTCGTAACTTTGCCGACCGGATGCTGTAGATTCCACGCTGCGGCTCTCGTGGGACTCGCTGATTGCGATCACGACGATCGGTCTCACGTGGCGACTGCCGTACAGCCTCGTCTTTGAAGCCAACATGGACACGCCGTCCTGGACGCACGCGTTCGACATTGTGATCGACATTGTGTACCTCAGCGACATCGTCATGAACTTCCGGTACAGCTCAACAAGTGGCAACCTACGCTCATAACCTACGCGTAGCACGGGCTTTCGCCACGACATTGAGATCGTGCTCGACCCGAAAAAGGTCGCGCTGCACTATATCACCGTACGTGCTGTCTGCCTCGACGAGCGAAAAGATCGGCGATGTCTAGACGTGGTTTTTCATCGACTTGGCCGGCGCAATCCCATACGAATTGATCTTTGACGCGGGCAAGGGCGTCGAGCGCGTCGCGGTCAAGACGTCGCTCAAGTACCTCAAGATCCCGGTTCTCTTGCGCTAACAACGCATGACGCTCACTCGTCACTAGAAACTCTTTCGATTGGCGCGCGTCATCCGCTTTGTCCGGTGCGTCGATTCCAATATTACAAAGAGCAAAGTGGTGCGCTCATGCTGTATTGTGTGGTGTCTGCTAGGAAGCACCTCGAATTTATGTACACGTTTCAGGTCCTCCTACTGTACGTCTCGTGCGTGCACTGGATCGCGTGCTTGTGGGCCTCGATTGCGATGACCGAAGACGACAGCATGAGCGACCTGGAGCCGTTTACAAATTACGGCATTTACCTCCACGCCTCGACGAGCATGCTGCTCAACATGACCCCGTACGACAACTTCTCCATCCAACATGTCGTATTGACCGCAATGTGGCCATGGACTAGGGTCATTGCGATTGCACCCGAGCACTACCTGTACGCTGCGCTTCTGTCGTTTGCGGGTTTTGCATGATGTCGCTCATCTTTGCGAGCGTGACGGCCATCTACATTCGGCAAACGTCCCGCGCGTCCGAGTACCAAGCCAAAATCAAGACCGTCATGTCGGACCTCAAGGCGCTGCAAGTGCCACGCGTATATCTCGCGCTCACATTGCATTGTGGTTAAGAGCGAGCGTAGGAGCTGCGCACGTCGGCCAAAAACTACTACGACATGCTCTGGCGCGTCAAGAAGACATCGGATCGCTACGAACGGGCGATCTACGAAGTACAGACGGATGCGACGCCGACGTGATGCAGACGTGTGCGCTGTAGGACGAAGACTTGTCGCCTCTGATTCGCGCCGAAATCGCACTTCACATCCACCGACGCACGATCGCGCTCGTGCCGCTCTTCAAAGGTTGCACGGACGACTGCCTTGCGTCCGTGGTCACGCGGCTCAAGACGCATTTGTACAACGAGAAGGACGTGATTTTCCACCGCGGCGAGCCCGGGCGATGCATGCTCATCATTATCCGCGGCAAGGTCAAGATCATTGGCCCCGACAACGCAGTCGTGGCCGTGCTCAAAGAAGGGAGCTTCTTTGGCGAGATCGGTGCGTTTTGCGGCACTCCCACTACAGAGACAGCGACATAACGTGCTGTAGGCCTCCTCGCCAATACATCGCGGTCCGCCACCGCGGTCGCCGCTTCGTTTTGCGAGATGAAGAGCCTCGACCAAGTGGACGCCGAGGTCATTTTTGCGCTGTACCCCAACATTTTAGACCGCTTGTACCGCGAGTCGGACAAGCGCAAGCGCGAGAATAAGAACCGGTCGAGCGTCACCAGCATTAAAGTGCTCGACAATGCGCACGTCATTGACAAGGACGCGATCGACGAGATGACGTTCGAAGAACGAAGCGCGCCACTGAGTCGCGTCTTTGAGCGCAGCAGCAGCGCCAACGAAGTCCTCAAGGGCGAGCGCTTGAGCCTCATGGTGGCAGCGAACAACGGCACTCGGAGCTTGAAGAACCTACAGAACGACCGCACGGACTCCGAGCGCGCGATATCATCCCCACCAATTGCCGCCGGTACAGCTTGGATGGTTGGACCTGACACGATCAATATTGGTGACGCAGGCTCGGGCCACACCGTCGTCAAAGAAACCTTGTCGAGCCTCACGAGTCTGCGCGTGGACGTCGAGCGCCTCAAGGTCTTCCTGGATCGAATTGGATACATATTTATACATCACTAGGATACACTTCAAACGATTCTCGAAAACCAAGCGCAGCTCATGACAAAGCTCAATGCGGTGGGAACCAAGGGCTCTGTACACAAGCGCAAAGATGGCACCGTCGTCAAGTCCAAGGCCACGACAGATCGCTCCTTTAAGCTGCGCCGGCAGCGGAGCCGTGGTGCGGACGAACTCGTTTCGATGGACGAAGACACTGAGAAACCAAAGAGGCCCGTGACACGGACGCCACCGCCTCTGTCACATCAAGGTAGCATCAAGGACTCGACTCGAAGTGGCCGAGAGACGAGTGACGACGGCAAGCTGTCCGACTACAAGAGCTCCAATGCGTCATAAGGCACATCTGCAATATAGATCCGCGGTGCTAGGAATCTACCTCGTGCAATTACCGGTATGTCTGGCGAACGGATCAAGCGCTTCAGCATACGTGGCACGCCACGAGCGACCCTCGGATCAGGTCCAACGACGTTTGCGCAATGGCCAGATCACGTTAAACACTACGTTTAATGCGTTTTACACGTCCTTTCCGAAGTTCGAAGTGCCACGGGTACCATTGAGTGGGATCCATCCATTTCCACATTGCTTGTGAGATGGCATGCGCTATGCAAAGGTGTCACTCGGGTGACGTCGCCCCTTTTTATACTGGTGTCGCCACGCCTCCATGCAGCCGAGTCGCGCTACTATTAGTATGCACGAGGTTGCATAAGCATGCTTCAAGGATCCCAGTCAACGCACTGCGGCTGCGATTGCGAAGCGTCGACGTCCGAAGCGATGTGACGAACGAACGAGGCACGTTGTAGAGGCCACTGGGCACCGTCGGCCAAGAGACTTGGGTGCTTTCCGTGCGTCATCTCGTCATCGCCGTCCATTTCTCTGTACCATGTACGCTGCGACATGCCAGCGTACGTTCGACATATCGATCTTTGTAGCGGAATGTACCCTGCGTACATCATACGTACAAAATACGAAGGGGCGACTGCGTAACGCTGGGTGAAATGACCTTTCAAAGTCGATGTGGCGCTCCGCGACCGCATCTTGTTTGACTGGCACGTGCGAGCAGCTAGTTGCACGCAGATTAGGACACCTTGCGGCCATTACACCGCAGCTGCGCCCGATACCGCGCTTCGCATGTCGGTACCAACGTGCGGAAATCTCCGTGTGCCTTCGTTGGGGAAGCTGCGCGGCTTCGACCGAAGGGTGCATTGACGTCGTCGCAGATGTGGGACAAAGGTGGCGTGATTCCAGCCCCTTTTGTGGCCGGAGGGGTAGGGCGCTGTGACTCGTCTTTTGTAAGTGAGATCTTGCGGCCGATGTCTTGAACCTGCGAGAATTGATACGGGTCGGGTTTCGCGGAAGGTTTTCATCATCATTTCGCATTTACATCTCCAATGCTCTTCCTCGCGATGCTCGTCGTCGTCAGCTCCGAGGGCCTCCGCGGGCTGCTCCAAGATGGCATGGCCTACCTGGCCTCGTACCCGTCGCTCTTCCTGCTCTTCCTCCTCTTTGGCTTTGCGGTCGCGGTCGCGAGCTCCATCTTGCACTACCGCTTCCACGACGCCAACAAGGTCGCGGCCGTGCCCATGGCGTGCTACGATTGCGAGCAGCAGTCCAAGACCAAGAAGACGACCAAGGCCGATGTCGCATCCAAGCGCATCATGGCCGAGAACGTTGGTATCCTCGCCATGGAGGTCTACTTCCCGGCCAACTACATTGACCAAGCCGACCTCGAGCAGTACGATGGCGTGAGCGCTGGCAAGTACACCAAGGGCCTCGCCCAAGAGAAGATGTGCTTTACGGGCGACCGCGAAGACGTCAACTCGATCGCACTCACGGCGGTCAAGAACCTCCTTGAAAAGTACGACATCCACCCGTCGCAGATTGGCCGCCTCGAAGTCGGTACCGAGACGATGGTCGATTTGTGCAAGTCGACCAAGACGGTGCTCATGGACCTCTTCCACGAGCATGGCAACTACGACCTCGAAGGTGTGACGTCTGTGAACGCGTGCTACGGTGGTACCGCCGCCCTCTTCAACTCGGTGGCGTGGGTCGAAAGCCGCGCGTGGGATGGCCGCTACGCGCTCGTTGTGTGCGGTGACATTGCGGTGTACGCCAAGGGCCCCGCGCGCCCGACGTGCGGCTGCGGCGCCGTGGCCATGCTCATCGGCCCCAACGCGCCGCTGGTCATGGAGAGCGAGCTGCGCACGACGTTTTCGGAGAACATGTGGGACTTTTACAAGCCGGACCCGCACTCCGAGTACCCGACGGTCGACGGCAAGTTCTCGCAGTCGTGCTACCTCAAGACGCTCGACGACTGCTACCGCCGCTTCTGCGTCAAGAACGAACTCGCCGGTGTCACCAAGAACGGCAAGAACTTTGACGTGGCCGCCAACGACTTTGTCATCTTCCACTCGCCGTACAACAAGCTGGCGCAGAAGGGTTTCTCGCGCATCATCTTCAACGACTTTCTCCGCAACCCGTCGCTGCCGCAGTACGAGCTCCTCAAGAAGTGGCACGGCGCCAAGCTCGAAGACACGTACTACGACCGCGACTTGGACGCTGCCGCGCGCAAGGTGTCGCTCGACCTCTGGAACCGCATGGTCGAGCCGTCCTGCGGCGCGTCCCGCGCCATTGGCAACTGCTACACGGCCTCCGTGTACATCAACCTCGCGTGCCTCGTCGACACGGCCCGCGCGTCGCTCCACGGCAAGCGCATCATGCTCTTCTCGTACGGTTCGGGTGCTGTCGGCTCCATCTTCTCGCTTCGCGTGCCCCGCCCGTCCGAGCGCTTGCCGACCGAGGCCGGCGCCGTCCCGTTCACGCTCGAGCGCATGTCGGACTCGCTCAACCTCGTGCGCCGCCTCGACGCGCGCATGAAGCGGACGCCCGACGAGTTCAACGCGCATTTGGATCTGCGCGAGGCGTCGCACGGCCTCAAGTCGTACACGCCGCTGCAGTCGACGGACGCGCTCTTCCCCGGCACCTACTACCTCGTCAAGGTCGATGACAAGCACCGCCGCACGTACGCGCGCAAGCCGCTCAACCAGCCGCTCGCGTATGCGGCGCTGCCGCCGCTCACGGTCGCACCACCGTCGCCCAAGCCCGTGGTCGCGGCGCCCAAGCCGATTCACGTTGTGGTCTCGGGCGTCGGTGCCGGTGCGCCGGGCGCGGCTGGTCCGTTCCGCGCCGACACGTTCGAGAAGCTGCTTGCGGGTGACAACCATATCGATGTGCTTGGCGACGACGCCAAGGAGAGCATGCTCTCGCGCCGCGTCGTGCAGATCTCCAAGAAGGACGGCGTGACGACGCGGTCGCCTGTGAGCTCCGCCGACGAGTGCATTCAGCTCGCGGCCGTGCTCCGCCCCGTGGACCTCGTCGCCCAGTACGGCATCCCCAAGAGCCTTGTCGACGGCATGGACACGGCGTCGATTGCTGCGGTCGCCGCGGGCCTCGACGCACTCAAGCAGTCGGGCCTCGTGGCTGGTACGGTCGAGAACGGCTGGGGCAACTGGCGTCTCCCGGACGCGATGGCCGACTCGACCGGTGTCTTGTACGCAACGTCGTTCCCGGCGCTGGATGCGGCGGTGAAGGAGGTGGCGCGCTTCCACACGACGCCGACCGACGACTATGAGTTTGACCGCAAGCTTCTCTTCCGCCTCTTGGTGCTCGCGAACGCGCAGATCGCGCAGATCGTTGGCGCCAAGGGCCCGAACGCCCAAGTGAACGCGACGTGCGCCGGCACGACCGTGGCGATCTCGATGGCGCAGGACTGGATCAAGTCGGGCAAGTGCCAGCGCGTCATCGTTGTCGCCGGCGACATTGCGAGCAGCGAGAACCTGCTGCCGTGGATCGGCAGCGGCTTCCGCGCGCTTGGCGCCGCGACCCTGGCCTCGACGGTCGCGGACGGCGCGGTGCCGTTCGATCAGCGCCGCAGCGGTATGCTGCTCGGTGGCGGCGCCGTCGGCCTCGTGCTCGAAGCCGAGTCGGCGACGATCGCCCGCGGCCTCTCGACGCCGTCGACCGTGCACTTGGTCGCGAGCCAAGCGAGCAACTCGGCCTTCCACGGCGCGTCGATCGACAAGGAGCACCTCGCGCACGAGCTCAACCGGTTCCTTTCGACGATCGAGGCCGAGCACGGCATCTCGCGCGCGATGATTGCAGCGCACGGCGTCTACTACAGCCACGAGACGGGCACGCACGCGTCGCCGTCCAAGTCGTGCGCGTTCTCGGAGATCTCGGCGCTGCGCTCGGCGTTCGGCGAGGCCGGTCTGGCGACGCTTGTGATTGCCAACACGAAGGGCTTCACGGGCCACCCGATGGGCGTCTCGTTCGAGGACGTGGTCGCTGTCGAAGGCCTCAAGCGCGGCCGGATCCCGCCGGTCGTCAACTTCAAAATCCACGACGAGAATTTGAGCGCGACGCCGCTCCGTCTCAGCAATGGCGGCGCGTACCCGGACGTCAAGTACGCGCTGCGCTTCGCGGCCGGCTTTGGCTCGCAAGTGGCCTTTACGCTCTACGCGCGCTCGGACAAGAAGACCATGTAAACAGCCGACGTAATGCGACGCTGGTGTACGTATATATATATACAACGTTTTGCCAGCGAGACAAGTGCAGGGGAGGACGTGTGCTTTGGGTGTCCTATGACCATAACGACGAGTCGCTATGCGTTGTCCATTTGGTGGAGCATCTGCGTCACGTGGCCGATCGGGTTGTACGGGTGGAAGTGGCCGTCGTCGTGCTTCTTGGCTTTCTTGGCCTTTTTGTCTTTTTTGTGCTTTTTTTCCTTCTTGTGCTTCTTCTTCTCGCCGATCGGCGACGACGGCACGGACGCCTTGCCGTCCGGCGCGGCCTGCGGGATCGTAAACCACGAGGCGTCGAAGAAGTGCTCAAAGAGCGCCTTGGCCGCCATCGGGCTGCCCGCGTCTTTGGTCCAAAACGCCTTGGCCGACTCGTCGGGCGTGGCTTCAATGGCCGCGATGAGCCGACCGCCGACCGTAGTGTACTGGTGCATGTGCACGGGGTTGGCACTAAAGTCGTGCGTCTTCTTCTCGCCAATCCACGCGTTGACCTTCTTGACGAGAAGCTCCTCGAGCTCGACCGCGCGGAGCAGCTGCGGCTTGGGCACGAGGCTACTTCCACTGCGGTTCGTGTTGCTGTTTGTTGAGAGCACATGCTCCTCTTGCTTCACCAAAGCCGCGTGCAGGCCCTTGACCATCGCGTTGCCCGGCCCTTCCCAGCGCTCGACCAGCGTCATGCTTGGGCTTGCGGCTGTGTGGTGGAATTCCAAATTGCGCTAAAAACACCCAATTTGGACTTCAACATTTCGCACTCCATGCAGGTCATCCTAGCCTGTGGACCAGCTCGAGTGCGGAGGTTGGTGACGATAGGGCGTTTGCCAACGACGGCAAAAGACTCGATGAAGAGTTTGCATGCTCGAAACAGAGTTTGCATAGAACGCCCGTGGTTGCGCCGCCGTGACGACAGACTGGCGCGTTCACAGGCACGCGCCGAGCTGAGGAATATCCTCGCCTCACGCCATGTTTTCGCCAGATGCAGTTGTGCATTCAGGCTTGAACAGCATACTAAGGGCATTGCTTTGAGATTGCTAAACCATCGGGGTTGGAGCTCGTGCTTCCGGGAGCCTACAACATTCATCATGTCGCCAATCTTCCATGCTTGTCGTACCTGTAATGATGGGGGTACGCCATCTGCACAAGTGCTACAGCGGCGTCTTGCTCGTCGACGCTCACTTGCACGTCGACGGTCACTTGCACGTCGACGGCCACTTGCACTAATGGAGACGGAACCGCGTCGGCTACATGCGTCTCGGGCACTTGCGGATCTGCGGCAACGATCTCGTCGTTGATCGCCATCGGTGCTTGCGGAGCTGGGGCCGCGGCGGTGTCTGCTGCCATGAGCGCTTCAAGACTTGCAGCGGCTGTGTCTTGGTCGCCGACTGGCGTCGCCGGCGCTTGTGGAGCTTGGGCGGCGGCGATGTCATGGTCGCCGACCGGCACTTGTGGTGCTGGGGCAGCCGTGTCGACCGCTCGCACATCTGGAAAGACCAATGGCCCAAACGTTCGGTAGCAAATTGCGCACGAGAATACGTTGGGCAAGAGCCGTCGGCGCTTGCCCTTGACCGTTCGCCGCCCGCAGTCGACGCACTTCGCCGCCATGCGTCTTTTGTTGTCCGCTCTGCGTGCTTTTTGCACACAAACAAGATATAATTCTAAAAACACCGCACGTACTGGATTGAAGATTGGGCACGTCACAACGTAAAAGGTACGTCGATGTACGCGTCGCCACACGCGTCCTTGGACCTAGAACATTCAAAGATGATGTAATGTGTGTGCCGGGCTGCAATGCGATCATGCATGCCCTCCTAGTGCGCTTGTCCGACGTCGACGAAGGCTGGGCACTTGAGATGCACTGCCAATCAATATTCTTCGATTTCCGAAGTTCGAAGGCAATAGGCCAATAGTGAAACGGCGTTTAAACATGCACTCTATGGTGGATGTGCCGATACAAATACCTTGTGTAACAAATTGACCGGGACGTCGCGGCCGATCTCGCTGGGCAGCGAGCGCCAAATCGTGTTTAAAAACGATGTCGCCCATGTTGAGCAAGACGATAGAAAACAGTTTGGAGAGTAGAGCAAGCTCACTCTCCTCCCTTGGGGAGGTCTGGATCACATGAATTGCACAGCAACAGATTCTTATAATATTTATTATTTATGCTGCTTGAAAGCAAATTGCTCGATTGAAAGTGGCCGACATTGGCCGCAACCTCGCACGCTGTCTGTCATCCGGGCAGACATGAGCTTTACACCAACAAACAGACACAGAATGCATCACGCTGCATATATAGACTTGATACTTTGCCGCAACAGATTGCTCTAAAAACCAAACGAGAAGGGCGCGGACGTCGTCGACGCTTCGGTCGCGAGGGTCCACGCACTCTTTTGGTGCTTGCGCGCTTCGATCGCATCAAACTCGGCAATCCGATCCGTGTGCGTCTCTTGGAGCACGGCTCGGAACTTGCCATACAGAAGCGGTCGGTCGGCCTCGTCGACACCTGACACTTGGTCGGGCTTGTTCTTCAAAAGGCCAGCGTATCCTAGAAAATGCCCCAGTCATTTGCATGCTCTTTCGCGTGTAGCAACGTACAAAGAGGCTGCTGTTGCAGACAAAGTTTTGCGTGATGGCAAGGCACTCCTCCGTGTTGAGCACGAGGTGCCACCAGCCTTTTGGCACGAAAATGACTTCGCCTTCGCGGACAATGCCTTCGAGGTGCACCGGCGCCTTGGTTTTCGTCTGCTTGTAGAACGTAACGAACCACTCCATGAGCGACACGGGCGTCGACACTTCGCCGCCGTCGGCGCTTGGGTGCACACCGGGCGGCGTCACATCGGGCGGAAACATGATCCACTTCTTCGCCCCGCGGATGATGGCGTTCCACGCACACGTCGAATTCGGGTCGATATGAAATGACGACCCTGACCCTTTCGGGCCAAAGATGAGCCAGCGGTAGTCCGGTCGGTCGCTCCCAAGGAGCTTGAAGAGGTCGTCGTCAAAGTACTTGGGCACGCTGTAGTCGGCCGCGAGCGCCGGAACCGTCGACGCAAAGTGCTTGTCAAAGATGAAGAGGGGCTGGTCATCGTGGAGCGTCCGTGCGTACGTGAGGTACTGCTCCATGGTCATGTGGAACCCGCCGGCGTAAAACTTGGTGGCGCCGCAGACCTGGTAGAGGTACTCGTCGCTCCAGCGGTCCATCGCCGGCCAAGACGAGACGACGTTGGTGAGGATCACGGGCAAGTTGGGCACCTCAAACTGCTCTTTAAAGGCCTCGACCGAGAGGCTGTTGCCGTCGACGCGCGGGATCGTGTCGATGGCCAAGCTGGCCCGCGTGAGGAGCGCGTTTGGCGACTGCGCGCAGTAGAACGGCTGGAAGAGCAAGTCCGAGTAGAAACCTTTGACGACAATTGGCGCGGCCGACGGCAGCGTCGCGCGTGGGCAGCGCGTCGCCACGTACGCTTGGCGCCACGTGGCTTGAGGCACAAAGTCGCCTCCAAAGTTCTCCAGGACGAACGTCCGCCAGTACTCGTCGTGGTAGGCAAAGATGTACCACGCGCGGCTCGTCGCGCTTGTTGTCGCCATGTCCATGGGCTCGAGCCACTCAAAGATCGAGTTGAGCACCGTGTCGGGCAGCGCTGCGAGGCGCCCGAGGCCGCCGGTTCGACACTCCTTGATACCCTTGTCCATGTCGTTGAAGCAGTTGCCCCATGGCTTGACGCCTAGCGGGTGCGCGATGGACGCCGACGGCGTTGCCGTCGCAGGCTCGGCGATGCGTTGGCGCTTGTTGGGCGACATGGAGCTCAGTCGCGAAATGCGAGCCTCCGCCACCGATGCACCGCTGCAAAAACCTGGCAGCCCGCTCTTCCCGGTGTTTGATTGGCCCAAGGATTGTGATTTCGGCCAATGAAATGCCGTTGATGACGCCATCTCCCAAAGCGCGCCCTTTTCTATGACAGTCCTCAATACTAGAGTCGGTAAGGCCACACGCTCGAGAGAGCAAGCTACTTGTACGGTACGCCTAAAACCATCTTCATACACTGTCTGTGCAGTGTTTTATGTCGGCAAACACGTTAACGAGTGGTATCAGTTCCCACAAGTGAATCTGTCGATCGGGCGACACGACACGTCGTAACGGCTCCTTGACGCATGGCCGACGAAGCGCTGGCATTGAACCTCTCAGACGCCTCACTGTCTCTGAAACCAACGGCGTCCCCAAGGCACGGCAACGACGAGGCAGGCAATGGCGACTACCACGAAGCGCATGTGCGAGACCGGAATGCGCCTGCTGCGATGGACTTGCGGTTTAGCTTTCACTTTGAAGAGAAAGGACCTGGACTGTACGCTGCGTAGCTCTTCTGCGTCTCACACTCGTTGCTGCCTAGAGAGACTCCGGTCGACGCCGAGAAGGTGCTGCAGCTGCAGTGGAGCTCGTCAGACGCGCTGGCGCAAGAGGACGCAAGCGCGGACGAGGGGCCAAATATCGACACCGTAAAAACGGTCATCTGGCAGCACGGGGCTCTGCATGGCAGTCGTAGGCAGCTGTACTCAAGTACAAACAAAGCCAGCCGATTGCGTTTGCTCCAAGTGAAGCACCAGAGCCGGCAGAACAATCGCGCGAACCAACGCCAGCGAATGAGGCAGCACGGGATACAGAGCTCGTATTGGTGCCAGAGCCCCTATCGGCGTCAGAGCTCACTCTGCTGCCAGTATTTACTCCTACTCCAGAGGCCCCCTCCGCGACAGAAGAGTTTTCTTCGATGCCAGAACCCACTCAATTGAATCCCACGGTCGCGTCAGAGTGTGCACCTGAACCCTCACCGATTTCAGAGCTAAAAGCCGTGCCCACACCACGCAACGAAGTTGCTACGCACGCTATGAACGATGTGAGGGCACTCGACGAAGCCGCTGCCACCGCTGACGCCAAGCTGCACGAGAACGAAAAATCTGTCGAGGAGAAGACGACCGACCGTGCCGATGCCAAGACCGACGCAACAAACAGCGACACTAAAGCTGACGCGAAGGCAAAGCACGAACGATCTCCAGCACCCGCCGCCAAAGATACAGTCGACAACCACTCGAATCGAACCGCCGAGCTCGTCGCTGACGCCAAGGCATCGGCCGACCTTCCAGACGCTGACGAGAAGCCATCGTCCTCCAGCCATCCAGTGCCAGAGACTGACGCCAAGGCAGCCAGCGCGACCAAGACCGACGACGAGCGCGATGCAAAGACGACCAAATTGCGACCTCGGGCAGCATCTGCGGCCGAGACGTACTCGGTAGCAAACTTGTACCCTGTCAAGTGGGACGACCCGACAGCCGCTGCTGTTCCATCACTGCGTCGCACGAGCACCAAACCGACCGCGACAGGGCTTTCTGCGACAGTGCCAGTGGTCAAGAAACGAAGCACGTCGGCCAACGCGGCGAGCAGTACTCTAGTTCAGCTGCGCCAGTCGCAGCTGCAGCACGCAACCGAAGTCGCGCGTCTCAAGACACTGCTCGACTGCGTGACGCAGGAGCGAGACGTGGCACTCGCACGTGCCCAGCGGGTGGGTGAATTCACCAAGTATCAGACAATATTGAATGTGATCTGTAGACACACGAGACGCTCCAAGCCAAGACGGACGGCCAGGAACAGCTGCACCTCCAGGCGGCGACCGCGATCGCGGAGCGCGACGCTTTGCAAGCCCACTGCAAGACGCTGCAGGAGGCGATCCGGAAAGAGCAAGTGGCGGCCGAAGACGCGAGGAAGCGCACGGCTACGTACCAAACCGACATCCATCAGCTCAAGGTCGCTACACTTGCGACACCATCGGCTACATCCCAACCTTAATAGGCCAAGTGGAGTGTGTGCCAGGGTCAGATTGCGGCGCTCGAGTCGGAGAAGACTGCGCTCGCAGCTGCCGCCGAGACGTCCAAGCACGAGGTGTACCGCGTGCAAGCCGCCCACGAGAAAGCGATGGCGCGCATCGCCAAGCTCCAAAAAGACATCTCGCTCGCGAGCACAGCCCACGCATCCGAGCGCGCGAGTTGGAAGCGCAAGATCGAGACGCTGAGCGCCGACGCCAAAGCCACCGCGGTGCGGCTTCAGCACGAAGCGACCAGCGACATGCAGCTCAAGCTCCAGAGCGCGACGATGGTTGGCGAGAAGGCGCGGCGGGAGAAAGACGAGGCGACCGAGACTCTGCGACGACGCACGCAACTGCTCGAGTCCAAGCTCGAGACGGCGACGGATCGAATTCGGGTACTTGAAGCGCAGCTCAAGGTCGCCGCGATGGCCACCAAGAAGCACACGGCGGCACTGGACCTACAGAGCGCCAACAAGCGCCTCGAGACAGAGCTCCATCAGCTCCGACGCTGTGTAGCGCTCCAGCAGAAAAAGGCGCCGCTTCGCGCAACAGCGCCAGCGGCACCACCCCGACGCGACCTCGTCACGATGTTGCCACCGGCGCCAAGTCGCGTCATGACGGTTGACACGGCCGTGCAAGCAGTGATCGATGAGGCGTCGGAATCGGAGAGCGCACGGGTAGCGGATCTCGAAGCGGCGCTCGCAAGGTACGCTGCGACTTGCAGGGGTATTGTGCAACAACAAACATTTCGTAGACTCGAGGGCGTCGTCGCGGGCAAGACGGAACAGCTCACGTCCCTACGCGAGCTGCACGCGCAGGAGCTGCAGGTGCAAGCCAGGGCCTTCCTCGCGCGACTAGGGTCCACGAGCTAACACGCAGAATGTTGTTTTAAACGTCTCGCCTTGCAGTCGATGTTTCGTGCAGTGTACACCGGTGCACCTGCCGGTTGCTGTCACAACAAAAATATGCACTGCGCCTACTGCAACACCAACGACCATCGATTTCACGGCTGCATCGCGCTCCGGCAAGCCATGATCCAGCGCTCGGGGCTAAAGGGCTTCGTCGTTCCACAAGGTCTCTGGTGCAGCTACTGTGTGTCGTTTGGCCGGTTTGAAGGCCACGTTGAAGCCCACTGCCGCTGGCTCGTGGAGCACGTGTACATGGGCGTTCCCATCTCGCGACAGTGCCTGCCTCGACGCCTCGTGCTACCCAACGTAGCACCGCCGACGTCCGAGTGCGGCTACTGCGCCGACCGAGCCCACACGGTGGAGCACTGCACGATGCTTCAATTTGACGCGGTCGCTGGGAGCGTTCGCCGCAACTTTCGCATTCCGGCCGCCGTCGGCTGCAGCTACTGCATTCTGCACCAGAAGCTCCGGCAGCACCCGTTGGACGCGTGCTACCGATTGCAAGAGCACCAAGAAGCGCGGCAAGTGCACCCGCGCTTCCCCATGGCGAGCAGCAAGGGGCCGCCGTGCACTTCGCCAGAAATGATCAAGCGACTGGCCACGCACTCTGTCGACACCCCACGCAAGCGGTCCAAGTACGGCCCTGCGTTGTGAATTGCGTTGCCAGTTGGACGTCTTAAAAGCATGTACTAGCGTTGATTTTGAGTTGAATTATGCAATATTGTACATGGCGAGTTTATGGCGCCGTGGCGGTGACGTAGGCGCCGCTGGCAAAGCTGCCGTCGGGCAAGAGCAAGCTGTCGGGGCAGAGGTATGAGTTGACGTTCCCACGCTCGCAGAAGAGACTCATGTAGCCGTTGTTGTTGACGGCTTGGATGCGCATATAGTACGTCGTCCCCGACACGATGCCATGGGCTGCATTCGTCAAGAGGATGTTGGTGCCGGCGACCGGGACGCGGTTCGTGCCCGAGAAGACCGACGACGTACTCCACTCGAGGTAGTAACTTCGGAGCCCAGACCCGCCATACACGGCGCTCACGCCGAGAATCAACGGACACGGCACAGGCGACGCGAGCGAGCCAAAGCACGGAATGCCGTGGTACGGAACATACGGCGCCTGCCACTGGATGTAGATGCCGGCGCTGGGCGTCGAGACCACGGACGCCGCGAGCGAGATGGGTTTGCCCGGTGCGACGAGCGCGGGCACACTCGGGACGGGCGCTGCGTCCTGGGGCGCGCTTACGCCGAGCCGATTCACGGCAAAGACGCGCACAAAGTACGCGGTCTGCGCGGCGAGCAGCGTGATCGTGTGCGACGTCTGCGCCGTGTCCGAGATCGAGACGCTGCTGCGGTCCGGCGCCGGCGTCAGACTGTCGTACGTGGCGACGACGTCCCACTCAACGATGTAGCCCGTGAGCGCGTCGCCGCCATTGTCGACCGGCGGCGCCCACCCGACCGTGAGCATGCTCGGGGACGTCACGCCAAGCAGCACGTTGGTGGGCGAGAGGGGCACCGTGGACGGGTTGAGGGAGAGGGGCGACGAGAGCGCCGGCAGTCCCGTGCCTTGCGAGTTGGTCGCGCGCACGTGCACAAAGTAAAAGACACCTTTTGTCAACCCCGGGATGATCGCAGTAAAGGGCGAGCCATTCGCGAGGTTGTTGACAACCAATGACGCCGGCGACGCAGAAAAGTCCGGGGCGGTCGACCACGTCACCGTGTACGACGTGATGATGTCGCCGCCGTTGTCGACCGGTGGGCTAAACACCACTTGCAGCGTCGAAATCGAGTTGACAGTGAGTGTCACGCCGGTCGGCAGACCGGGCACCACCATGGGCTTTTGCGGACTTAGCACGGCTTGCGGCAACCCAAACCCAATCGAGTTAAAGGCCGTGACGCGGACGTAGTAGAACTGACCCTTGGTGAGTGCACCGACCGCGGGGATGACTTGTGCGCCTGTGCACGGCGGGTAGAGGATACCCGCGGTGACCTTGACGGCGGCCACTTGGTAGTCGGTGGGCGCACACGTGTTAGCGGCGCAGTTGAGACTCGACGACGACGCGACGGCCTCGAGGGTAAAGTCGTCGCCGGCGTCCATGAACGTGATCGACCACACATACCCTACAACACGCGCATGAGACGACGCCTCCATCACCTTTTTTGGGTACCGCCGTCGGCCGCCGCCACTGGCGTCCGGGACACCGTCACACCGTTTACGATCGAGGCGAGGCCTTGCAATTTGCGCTGGAGCGACCCCGACGTCCGTTGCCGCACCACGTCGCACGTGTCGGTGCAGGTAGCGCACGCTGTGCAGTAGAGCAGCGAGAACGCGGGCTGCGCGCCGAGCTCTGCAGCCCCAAGCGCGACGGCGTTGAACGGGATCGGGTCGGTCGTCCACACGGCGTTGGCACGCGTGAGCTTGAGCTGGAACCACCCGGCCCCGATCGGCGACGTCTGCGCGACATTGACGCGGCTCGACGTGACCCTCCAGACCGCATGCACATTGGCGACGGCACACCATACACTCTGGCTTCCCGCGCTCGAAAACGCCGGCGACGTGTCGTACTCGACGAGGTATTTCAAAATGGGCGACCCGCCGTCGCTCGTTGGGGCCGAGTACGTCGCCAGCAGTTGCGTCGACGAGCCAGGCTTGACGCTGACAGAGACAGCGGCGGGCGGCGACGGCACCTGCAGTGGCGGTGTAATGACCACCGGGTAGCTTGCCGCCCGAGGTCCAAACGAAAGCGTGTTGCGGGCTGTGAGCGACGCGTAGTACGCCGTCCCGGTCGTGAGATTCGGGATCATGTAGGTGAGGACGTTGGCGGCCGTCGTGTCGTAGAAGCCGTAGCCGACGGCAGCTTCGCCGATGCGCACGTACGTGTAGATGGCGGCACAGACCGTGTCGGCAGGTAAACACCACGCGCCTGTGTTGAGCACGACGTTGTTGCCGTCGTAGACGGTTGCGACGGACGAGGCTGGCTGTAGCTTGCTGCTGTCGACGGCGAGCGCCGGGGCGTTGCCAACGAACGACGTAAAGGTGATGACGTACGCCACCATGTTGGCGGGAAACGCGCCATGGGTGATCGCCGCCACCGACACTTGGCCAACCGTCGAGAGTTGCTGAAGCACGTTTTGCACCAGCGACGCCGGCGCGGACGCCGGGAGGTAGTTGGACCACGACGACCCTTGGAATGCCAGTCGGAAAAAGCCGGCTGTCGTCTGGGCAGCGTTGGTGTTGGTGATCGTAAGCACTTGAACCTCGGGCGTACCGGGGGTGCTGGTTGTGCCACCGACGACGCCGGCCACCGCTTCAAATGTACTCGCTTGGATACCGCTGCCACCGGTGGACGAGACGATGGCAATTTGCAGCAACGGCTGGTCGCGCAGCGCCGTCGTGAACGTTACGCTCCACTGGTACCCTTGATTGACGTTGATGGCGCTGCGCGTGACCTCGACGTTTCCGATGAGTGGCGCACCGGGCGTCGTGCCGCCACCGAGGTTCATGAGCGCGCTACGGACGTTTTCCGGCGCGCAGTTCAGTGCCAAGCTGCCAGTGAGCGCACCACCAAACGCCAAGGTGAACGTTAGCGCTGTCGGTGCTGTTGTCCACAGCAGTTGCACCACTTGCACTTCGGCGCGAGAGGCCGTCGTCCACCATTCCACGTGGTAGTAGCTCAGCGGCCGGCCGTTGGACGTCGCCGGCGGCGCCCACACGACCGTGGCCTGCGTGATCGGTGCGTTCGGTTGCTTTATGGGCGTGCTGATGCGAACACTGGTCGGCGCCGACGGTGGCCCGGACGGCGCCAGCGTGTTGGTCGCAATCGTCGCGAGACTGTACCCGACGCTCGTCTTGGCACGGACTTGCACAAAGTACTGCGTGCCGGCGACAAGCCCCGTGATCGAATACGTGAGTGGACCGCCCGCAAACAAGGACACAAAACTCGCCGCGGGGACGTCCACAGGAAAGAGACGCCCCGTCGACGTGAACGTCGAGACCGTGTCGACATCGACTGAATAAAACGTCACGGCGGCGCCGTTGAGCCCCTGGCCGTCGCGCGTGGACGGGCGAATCTGCAGCTCGAGCGACGTAGGCGACTGCACGTACAAGACCGCCGAAAGCACCGGGTCTGGAAGGACATTGGTTGGCGTGATCGCGATCGGAAACGACCATTGACAGTTGGTCGGCGGCGTGCCCGAGACGGCGACGCGCGTAAACGGCACCGAGTTGACGGCTGCGAGGCGGACGTAGTACGTCACGTGGGGCGTGAGCCCTTGGATGAGGTACTGGTACGGCGGTGTGCCCTGGATCGCGACGCCCGACACCGGCACCGGCGGACTCCGGTAGAACACAACGTCGTAGGCTTGTGCGACGAACGCCGGACACGCGTTGGCCGCCACCGTGATCGTCGTTGGCGAAATGGCCGTGATCGTGAGCACACATTGCATGGCTCCGAGCGTGATTTGGTTGCTGACGACGAGAACGCCAGTTAAGTCCGTCGAAACACTGAGCGTCGTGGCGCCAAAGGCATTGGCGCAGCCCGTGCACGCCGGTCGTCCGTGCAGAAAGCTCGTGTGCGTGTCCCACTGCACAAGGTACGACGTAATGTCGCTGTTGTAGTTGATCGCGCTGTTGGAAGGCGGCGCCGGCGGACCAAAGTACACGACCGCCTGCGTGCCCGAGACAACGACGATGTTGAACGCGTTCGGGGCGTTGGGCACTTGCCGCGGCGTCGCCGTCACAACTGCGGACGCAACGCTGGCGCCGTTGTCGTTGATGGCGTTGACGGTGAGAAAGTACGGCGTGCCCGGCGTCAACCCTGGTGTCGATGGCGACACGTAGACACAGCGATGGCACGACGCACCGCGCGTCACGACCGTCGCGTCACTTGGCTTGAGCTGCAGATTGCGCGCGCGCAGCTTGCCCGGCGTTGAGACAGAGAGCAAGTCAACAGTGTACTGGTACCCCTTAGTCCACTCATAGACAGTCACGCGGAGGGCGGTGGGGCCGACATACGCCATCGGGTTGCCGTTTGTATCGCCGAGGTACAATGCATTCGACGGCAGCGATGACGACGCCGTGTCACTGAGAACGGTGTACCACGTGCCGCCAATCTGGATCGGGACGCCCGGCACGCCGTAGGCAAACGAAGCAAAGTTGCACACTTGGCCGAATGAGCACGTCACGTACAGCTGGCCTTGTACGACGTCGACCGTGCCGGTGAGTGCGGATGTCGCGAACGATTGCGCCACCGACACCGTTCGAATCGCCGGAAGACTCTCGAGCGCGACGCGGACGTCGATGGCGGTCGACTGCGCGTTCAGCGGTGGTGTCGTGGCGCCGTTGAAAGTTAGCTGGAACGTACCGCTGAGCGCATTCGCAGGGCGCACGTAAATGCCGGCCACGCTCGTTGGCGCAAGCACAACTGTTGTGCCACCCGCACCATCGTCCGCTGCCGTGCTCCCAAGTGCGCCATAGACGTAATGAAACGTGATCGTCACGACATCAGGCGTAGGCGATGCGCACAAGAGGAGCTGCGACGGCGTCGTCACCGTGACGCCACCGGACGGTGCACCCAGCGCCGTCGCGAGTCCAGTCGCCACGTCACCCAAGAGCGCGTTGAAGGGAAACGTGGTCGTGATGCTCTTGGCGGTGATGGCAACCGCGCCCGACGTGGCCGTGCACTGGAATGCCAGCACCTCCTTCCGGTAGCTCGTGCTACCAATGGCGACGATCGACGGCACGGCGCAACCGGCGGACGATACGAGAATCGACTGCGGTCCAAACTGCCCCGAAAAGATGATTGCAAACGACGTGCTGAGCGCAACAACACCGGTACTCGGTGTCACGGTGACGACGCCGTTGATCGTCGGAAGGGCATTCAGCATGCTCTGCACGGTCGTCAAAGGTGTTGTCCCAACTAAAATCGTGCCGGTCGCCGCGCCCATGAACGAAAGTGTAAAGCTCGGGCAAACAGCGCCCACGGCAATGCTCTGCGTCGTCGCGGTCGGTGGCGAGAGCGTGCCCGACCAGCTGAGACTCGAAGCGCCCGTGGTCACGTACTGTCGCGTCGTCAAGAGCGCGGGGTCCGAGATGGTTAGCGCCATGGGTGCTGCGTTAAACGCATTGGACGTGTCCCAGTTGATCGTATACCCCGTGATGGGCGACCCATTGTCGGTCGAAGGCGGCTCGAACGAAACCGCGAGACGCGAGCCCGAGCCCATGGACCCGGGGACAAGCCGCCGGACGTCGACGAGCGCAGTCGTGCCCGTGAGCGCTGCCGTGTTGGCTCGGAGCAAGGGGAGACTGCCGCCCGTCACCACGTTGTCGACAAACGTAACAAACCATTCGTACCCGCCTTCAAAGTCCGGGCCGGTCCGAGTTACGGAGAGCGCGCCAATCGTGGCGAGCGTTTGCAGCTTTTCTTGGATCGACGAGCCGTCGCCAAGCGACTGCGCGGGGGATGCAGCGGCATTCCACGCGATCGGCGGCGTCGTTGCGCCGAGAAACGTCAGCGTAAACGTCCCCCCAAGCTGGTTCCCTGCGACAACTTCCGTCACGACAATGTCGTTGCCGATACCCGAGAGCAAGTTGGTCGGCGTGAGCAGCGGCGCATTGCCTTGGTACGTCAAGAACGAGATTATCCACGTGTACCCGAGTTGTCCGTTGGGCCCGGTCCGCGTCACGAGGACAGTCCCGACCCACGACTGCTGCTGCAGAATCGACGTCATGGTCGGTTCGTCCGCATCGAACGGAATCGGGTCGGACGCGCCGAGGAGGAAGCTGCCGCCGAGCACATTGCCGTCGACGATCGTGGCGCCGGCGCAGGTGGCCCCACTCACGGCGCGAAAGGTGGCGTCGGCAGAGCAAATCCACTGCGGCACGTCGCCGCTGCCCTCGTCGAACACGATCGTCCACTGCGTGCCGCCTTGGGCATCGCGGAGAGTCGCCGAGACGTACACGTTGGGGCCACCGATTGGGAGACGTGCAATGTCGGCTTGAAGCAAACTCGCTGAAGCGGTCGCCGCTGCAAAAATCCGCTCGTAAAGTCGTTGGGATGTGTGTACGTGATCGCGACGCTGGCCGTCGTGGCTGTCAGCACGTTGTTAACGAGTGTTTGGAATGGCGTACAGCCCGTTGCCACGACGAGCGCCGGTACCGGCTGCCCTGGGACGTACCGCGACACGCCGTGGCCATGGAAAAAGATATCGTAGATGGCCCCGTTGGGCGCAACCACTGGGTCTAACGACTGCACAACGAGCACCTCATCGATGTTTGGCAAGAGCTCGAGCGCTGCCTCAAGGTCCGCTGCGGCGATGTTGAAGGGCAGACAGGCCGTCGACCCCGTGCCGCCAGCAAACGAAAACGAAAGCGTAAATCCACCCTTGTACAGCACTGCGGCGCTTTGCACGACGAGCCTCTGGACGGCGGTGTTGGTGCCCATCGCGCTCTCCAAGTTCTGGCTCTGGCGTAGCGAGTAGGGCGCACCACCCAAGGTTGCAAACGCGGTGCACGGCACCGACGCCGCCGGGGTTTCCAGTATCTGCATCGGCGCGACTTGGCCCGCGACGTTGAGGCTCACAAAGGTCACTGAAAACGTGTAGCCGTAGTTGGAGCTGACGGTGCCATCGCCGGTGCGTGTCACAACAATGTCAGAAGCGACCAAGGCTCCTGTGGCCACCAGCGCCGCGGCCACATCGCTCGCTTGGGCGTTCCAGTTGATGGCCGCTGTTGGGTACGGCTGCTGCGTCAAGGCGCCGATATTGTTGCTGACGGTGTCTGTGTACACGAGCTGAAATTGACCGGCCGTGATCGTTGCGCTGGCAGCGATCGTAATGACTTGCACTGTTGGCTGTCGAAACGCGATGGCCCCTACGACGCAGGTGCTCGACCCACATGGGTTGGTGGTGACCGTGAGCGTCTGGACCTCCGAGATCATGGCGGCCGACGTCGTCACCGACTGTACTTCAAGTACGTGACGCGCGGCTGTTTTGACGCGTTGGACTTCGCTCACAAATAAGTCGAGGCCCGTCTGGACGTTGACAGGAGGTGGTGGCACGGCGCTGGGAATGATCGATGTTGACGCCGACCACGGACTCGAACCAATCGCCGTCGTTGCCGCAACGCGCATGTAGTATTCGTTGCCTGGCTGGAGGTTGGTCACACTATAATTGTTGGACGGCGACCCTTGAACAAAGTTGTCAAAGACGGTGACGGCACCCGTGACGCCAGTGCTGTCGACACCAAGCGGTGCGACGTCGCCAATCATCTCGGCGAACCGGAGTGACCACTGGAACCCGTTCACTTTGTACACCGCCAAGTTGGCGCCGCGACTACCAATGTAGGTGGCGGGTACCGCTGCCGACGCGACCGTGGCAAGGGGCACCGTCGACGCCGCGAGCAGGTTCGTGTTGGACCCCGCGCGTATCGTGGTGACGGTGACGGTGCCAGTGCCAAAGTTTTGAAGGTTGCTTTCCGTCGGTGGGCCAATGTTGCCCATGACGAGCGATCCGAGGCAGTACACCGTGTAGAGGTATCCGTTCGGCGACAAGATCGGGTCCGTGCGCACCGTCACAGTGACGCCCGACGCCGCGCCAGTCAGCGTCGCAAAAGCTATCTCCAGCTCGGCTTCGGTGGCTTTCCACGACACGGTCGTCGTCGTGCTACCGAGCGTCAGGTCGTACGTGCCACTGGGCGCAATGTTGCCGTTGGGGTTCGACACGACGATCTGAAACACGGCAAACTGCTCGTTGAGTACGGAAAACGTCTGCGATACACCATAGAGCACGACGGCACCGACGGCATCCCCGGTGTACGGCGTCGACAGCGCGAGTCGGTTGTCGGCCGTGCCACCCGCGTACACGGAAACCACCGTCACGGACGACGTGGCAGCAAAGGCGGTGCAGCCCAAGGTGTCGACGACGAGGAGCGGCAGCGTGCCGCTGAGCGCCGGCGCTGTAAACGTCACCGTAAACACAAACCCGTTGGGGGCGCCGACCGGATCAATGTCTCGGTTGACGACGACGCCGTCGGCTCCGATCGTCGAGAGTGTGTTGAGCGCAGTTTGGACGGCGGAGGCGGCTGCGTTGTAGTCGACACACGTCCCCGTCGTTTGGCCGAGGAACCCGATCTTGAAGCTCGGAGTCCCAGCTATCGGTGCAGTTGCATCCGCCACGACGATGCGCTGGATCGCATAATTGCCGCCGCCGTCGACGACGCTGGCTTCAATGCGCCGAGAGCTGCCGCCGACGGTCGACCACCCGTTGGTGCATGTGGCTTCGTCGGTAATTGTAATGGGCGCCACGTAGCTGTACGAGCTTCCAACAAAGTAGAAATCGTACGCGTATGCTGGCGTCCCGTCCCGTAGCGTCTGCACGTAGATCGATGGCAGCCCCGACGTCACGGGCGAACACGCTCCGGTGCCCATGGAAAAGACGACGAGCGGTGCGACGTTGCCAAGGACGTTGCTGAGGCCGACGCGAAGGTTGCCGTTGTACGCAATCGTATACTGAAAGCCGTATCCCGACGCCGCCGAGCCGTCACCGGACGATGTCACGACAATGTGGCCACTCATGACATTGCTCAGTCCGTTGAGAGCGGTTTGGAGCGCCGTCGCCGAGAGACCGTAGTTGAGACAACTCGTCGTTGCCGTTGCGCCGTTGTTGGTCAGCGCGAGGCGGAAGTACCCATTGGCGCCGTTCACGACCGGAGCGTTGGACGCCAGCACGAGTTGCTGGAGCTCTGTCGTCGACGTGCCCGAGCCGTGGGCCGACACGAGGACGGTATCGGGCCACGCGGCGTTGACTTGGTCCTGGATCGCCGCACTCGTGTCTCCCCACTTGATACAAGTCGTTGCGACGCTGCCCAAGGAGAGCTTATAGTACCTATATCACGATAAATCAGCAACGAAACGATTGCATGGTTCTCGGTACCCCGTGGGATCGACAACGTAACCCGAATCAGTCGAGAGAGTAACTCGCTGGTGCGCCATGCGTCCCCCGTTTAGCACCGTGGCTGCTGTTGCTGTACCTCCAGCAAGCGCTGCGCACGTAGCCGTGGTCGCAGTGAGCAGTGCCACGTCACCAAAGACGACAGCACCGCCAAAGTAGATGGTGTAGACGATCTGCGTGTTGCCACCGACGACTGTCGCTGGGCTTTGCGTGACGGTGATCGAGCTGCCAGACCGCGTCGGGTCGATCATCGTTACGAGGCCGTTGAGCACCGTAGCAAGCGTCGCTGTCTGCGCCGGCAAGCACGCAGACGTCGCCGACGCGCCTTGGTAGGCAAGCGTGAGCTTGTAAAAGTTGACGGTAGCCACATTGGTCGGTGTCCACGACGCCGTCGGCAGCGCCACCGTGAGCGTCTGAATCTCAATACCTGTGCGTGCCACCGTGTAGATGCCGCCGCTGAGGCGCACCTGGTCGCCCGGAAACAGAGTCGTTGACAGCGACGTCGGTGTCGCAAGACTTGGCGAGGACCTTGCTACCGTGACCGTCGACGACGCAACGACGCCTGTCACTGGGGTATCGCCGTTGGACCCGACGAGCGTGTTGGCGGACGGCGGTGGTCCAAAGCGAATCAGATCCCCGGGCGCGAAATACTGCGTGATATCGACACCCGAGATGGTAGCCACGCTGCTGTCCTGAGCAATCGTGGCGACGGCGAGTGGGATGCGGTATACGGACAAGACGTCGTTGGTGGCCGGAACGTAGCTCATCGACGGCAGCGCTTCGATCGCTTGCTCGAGAATCGGCGCCGACGCCGCGTACGGAATCGGTGGCGTCTCGGCGCCAGCGTAGGAAAGCATAAACGCACCCGTGATCGGCCCGTTGCCGTCGGTCACGGTGATGACGTTGACCGCTGACTGGGCGCCCGTGAGCGCCGGGTACGAGACCGTAAGTGCGCTCATGTTGCCCGTTCCCGGCGGAAACGTGTACCCGTTGTAAGCGCCGGGGTTTTTAAAAACACGACGCGCCACCGGTACCCGCCGCGCGTCCCGTCGTTCGAGACGGCAACGTCGTCCCAGCCGCCCGCACACGCCGTCGTCAGGCACCCGAGACCAACCGACGGAATCGGAAACTGCGTGACGCGGACGCGCCCCAGCGTGTTCATCTCGTTGAGCTTGCGCTCCAAGCGATCGGCGGTTTCCCTAAAGGAAATCGTGCGCGGCCCAAACGTCGAGTGATAGTCGATCGTGAACGCGCCACCGAGGGGCGCCGATCCGGCTTGCGTCTCGGTGACGGTCACTTGGCAGACACAGGTCGGCGCGGCGAGAAATGACACTGTCAGCGGCGCCACGTTCCCGGCGCCCGGTGGCGTGTTGCCAGGATTGGAGACGAACCGAATGAGCCACGACATGGCACCGTACTGTCCAATGACGGTCCGTGTGACGCTGGTGACGCGGCCGTTGGCCCAGATGCCCGTCTCGAGTGCCGTCGCAGACGCAGCGCGGAGAACACGCGCGACAGCACTCTCTTGTGCATTCCAAGGTAGGACCATGCTAAGTGCGAAGGGACCGGCCGTGAGACCGCCGGCCATCGGTACGCATACTTGGTCCACGACGTCGAGAAAGGTGGGCGTGACAGTAGCGACTGTAAAGACGCAAGATGCGTAGCCCGCAAGGTAGAATTGGTCACCTGCCAGAAGCGTCGATGGCAAAGTAGGTTGCGCCGCCGTCAAGCAAAGCCACCGACGATCGTCGCGCACGTCGAGCCGGGGGTTGCGCCCTCGCACGTGGCCGCAAGTGCAAACCGGCTCTCGACGCCAGGGTCCCCTGTGACTTTGAAGACGCTAAAACTCGACCGAAGGATGACACCGTCGACGGCGACTCCGCACGGATTGGTCGACTGATCGCAGATTGCAATTGCCGGCGTCGATGCCACCAAGCTATTGGTCGCGACTGCGAGCGGCGGAACGTTCCCAGGCGCGTTGCACAAGTTGTTGATCGAGTCGTGCTGCGCGCACGGCTCCTTGTCGTACAGGAATGTGATCGTCCACGTGTACCCACCGGTGAGAACGTTCACGGCGCTTCGGGTGACGGCGACGGTGCCAATGTTGGTCATGGCCTGCAAGATCTCTTGCACCGACTGCCCGCTGCTCTGGCTCTGTGCCGCCGACGCCCACGCGTTGTGCGCGATCGGAGCACTCGTCGCGATCTCGTTCTTCGACATGTAGAGGCTCGACGTCGTGTCGAGCTGCAGTGTGAAGCTGCCTTTGAGCGGGCCGACACCAGGCTGGGACGTGCCAACGACGCACGTTGGGGAGCCGCCGTTGGCCGTGTCGGTGAGCCCCTGTGCCAAGCACGACAGTTGCAGTCCCATGGCGGTCAGCGGTCCAACGTGGCGACCCCACGCTTTGGAGTAGCCCGTTTCCCACACGTCGGTCCACGCTGCCGGTGGCCCCAACCAGTTGCCAGGCGTGTACACTGTGTGGTCGGAGGTTGGGTCTTTCCATGTCGACGACGTGAACGTGATGAACCATTGGTACCCGCCCACCTGCGTGGCGGCGTTGAGGACACCGGACGTCGGTCCGAACGGCCCAACGCGCGAGACGGTCACCCTCGAGGGCTGGATCGAGTTGAGGTTGTTGAGCTGCGTCGCGACCTCTTGCACACTGGCGGCGTGTGAGATCGGGCCCGTCGTTTGTCCATTAAAGGTCAATTGGAACGTGCCACTCAGCTGGTTGCCAGCGACCACTTCGTCGGTCGTAATGCTGACGCCGGTGCCGACAAAGCTTGGTGACACGACTTGAATCAACGGGACGTTGCCGCCCGTGTTGGCGTCATTGTACGTAATGGACCACGTAAAGCCGAAAGCCCGCGTCGGGAGCGAGCGGTAGACACTCACACTGGTCCACCCAAATTGCGCTTTCAGGTATGTCTCGAACGCTGTGTCTTGGACCGTGGGCCCCACAAGAATGTTGCCAGCGTCCGTGTTGGTGCCAAGGACGCACGCGGCGGCAGTCACAACACCATTGTACGACAGCTTGAACGACCCGCTGATTTGGTTGCCGTCGACACTTCCCAACGACGGCGTGAGGAGACTCGTCGCGTCCTCGATCGCAACAACGGGCGCCGGGGTGGCACCAATCGCATTGCCAAGACTGCTCGTAAACGTCATCTTGGGCACGTTCCAGCCGCGCGACAAGAACGTGATCGTCCACGCGTAGCCGCCCGACCAGCGCGTCGGTGCCGGCGGGTACACAGACCGTGTGACGCTGACCGAGCCCCAAACCCACTCGGAGACAGCACCGACGCCTTGCAACAGCTGCTTCAGCGTGGCTGGCGTTGCGTCAAATGGAATCGCAGGCGTCGTGAAGAGGACGCTGTCGGACGCCCGCGTCAGCGACAGTGTAAAGGTGCCGTGCATCATGCTACCGATCGACGTCCGCGTCACCGTGCACGTTGGCGTGCCGCTCGAGACCACGATATTGGTGGCGTCGCACGTGAGGAGCGGGATCGTGCCCGTGTTGCTGACAAAGCTAATCGCATACGACGTGCCGACGAAGGCAAGCGACACGACCGGCGTCGCGACCACCGACACGGCTTTGCCAAGACTGTTGAGGAATTGCGTCGCCACCGCCGTGTCGACCTCGGGGTACTGCGTGCCGCCGGCGCCTTGCCGCATGACGAGGTTCGAGATGGGCGAGAGCACTTTCGCAACGTACACGGCCGACGTCGCGCCTGAAAACGTGGTGCAATACCGTCCGACGTTGCTGGTGTCGACTGTCAGCGTCGTCGCCGTCCGCGCCGAGATGCCAAAGACACACGGACCGATCTGAAGGACCGATCCAACCGCAACCACCGTCGTCAAATCGACGTCAACTGAAATGGTCGTTCCGTCAAACGCAGTCGCACACGTCGGGCAGAGAGGCGGCGCCGTCGGCTGGCACGCGGCGCTGACACCCGGAAACGCGCCTGTTGTGACTGCCGGGTCCGAATATTGCTCGCACGTGTAGAAGAGGCGAAAGACGCTGCCTGGACTGTACACGGGGTTGCTGCCAGCTTGCGTCTCGGTCGTTTGCGTCGGAACCGCCGACTGTAGTGGCCCAAGCGTGCTCTGGAGCTGGATCGCGGGGATATTTCCAGCGACGCCCACGCCTGTAAACGTGATGGTGAAATCGAGCGTGAGCAGGTTGTTGGTGGCGTCCGGCGTCGAGACGCGTGTGACCTCCACAACGTCTACGTTGGAGAGGCCTTCCAGTGCCGTAACAAAGTCGGACGCGGCCGTCGTGTCGCTTGTCGACGTGACCGCCGTCGTCACATCGACGGTCTGCGCCGTCATCTTCTGCGCGCAGAAGAAGCACAAGGTGGTATCGAGGCTGACCACCAGACCGCCAGTAATACCAGCGTGGGCGGTTATACCTGCAAACGTAATACTAAAGGACTGGACCTCGTTGACTCGAGTCGTGCCGACAACGACCGTTTGAATCTCGGGGGCGCTCGTCAGAGACGTCCGGACGCCTTGGACTTCGTTGATGACCGTGGCGTCGAGAACGATGTGTTGCACTTCGTTTCGATCGGTCGCCGACGTCGTAATGGTCTGGACCTCGTCCACAACGTCGGCGCAGGACGTCGAGATCGTTTGAACTTCGTCAACGCCCGTCACCTACACCATCGATTTGATATCAAAGACAATCCCATGACGCGTCCGTACCGTTGTTCGAACAGTTTGGCGTTCGTTGGTGACCTGCACCGTAGCCTCGATGTACTGCGTCTCGGACACGGGGTCGGTTGAGACCCACAGCGCTTGCATCTCGCGGACGATGGGCACCGAGACAGTTGTGGCGTGCCCGCTGAGATAGCTGCTGTTGTCGTCGTACATGAGTGCATACGACTGCAGTGGCAGACCACCATCGAACGTTGGCGTCTGCCACGAAGCCAACACGCTCGTCGCACTCACATCTGTGAGCTGCAAGCTACCAGGCGTGCTCGGTAGCTGGTTGCTCAAGATGGCTGACGGCGGGCTTGTCGCCGCCACGGGGCCCGCACCGAGACCGTTGAACGCCGAGACACGGACAAAATACGTGCCACCTGGAGTAAGCACCGACGATACGACGCCTGTCAGGACATTTTCGCCGCCAATGACGTACTGCAGCGTCGTCCCCGACACCATGGCGAACGCAGCAGGCGAGTCAAACGTGGACGAGACGTCCCACTCGACCATGTACTGCGTAATTGGGATCCCACCCGAGCCGCCGAAGACGGGAAGTGCTGTCGACGGCGCTTTCCACGAGACCAAATACCCTGCGCTACTGACCACGGTAAGCGTCGGAGAGGTGGGCGGCCCGGGGCGCACGTTTTGAGGAAGCACAGACGACGGCACCGTGGTCGCCCAGTCGCTCGTACCTCGGTCGTTGGTCGCAGCGACCCGAGCGAAGATCGGGACTTGCATCGCGATCGGAATGTTGTAGTAGAATGGCCCCGTCGCGCTCGGAGACACCGTCATGACGTAGAAGTAGTCAAAGCCCGGGCTTGTGACGGCCGAGAACCCGACGTCGGTGTCCCACTGCACCGTGTACGACACGACGCTCGTACCGCCGAGATTCGTGGGCGGCGACCAAATGACCTTGAGGAGCGTATTCGACAAGACAAGAAGCTGCACATCCGTCGGTGCGGACGAGATGCCTCGGGGTGTTACATACTGCGGCAGGCCCCACGCACCCGGGCTCCACCCCTCCGAGTTGCGAGCGCGAACCAGCGTCAAGTACGGGACGCCTGTCGTGAGCTGGGGCACGACTGTGGCTTGCGCGGCACTCGCAACGAGCTGCTGGCACGTTCCGACCGTGCCACGGCTCTCGCAATAGTACGTTGGCTGCACCCCTGGACTCGTGATCGCTACCGAGATCGCTGCACTGGCGCCCGTGAGGCCGCTGCCGTCGGCAACCATCGGTAGCACGTCGTTCGCGACTTCGTTAACAAACGTGACGAACCAATTGCGACCGTACCCGTTCGGTGACTGGGACACCACCACCGACGACACCGTGTCGAGTGCTTGGAGAGAGCTTTGGAGCTCGGCGGCCGATACGTTGAACGGAAGCGGGTCCGTTTGCTTGGACATGACGGCGCCGTTGACGGTCAGTGGTACGGTGAGGCGGAAGGTGCCGCCGATCGGCACCAGCCCGTTCTGGACCGTCGTGACGAAGATACCGGCACTGGTGCCACCCCAGTTGTCACTCGGCATGACAACGAGCGGCGGGACGTCGCCGACGTGCATGTCACCAAAGGTGATCGTCCACGTAAACCCGTTCGCGCTCACAAAGACGGGCACGGGGACCGTCGTCGTCACGGCTTGTCCAAGCACCGTCAGCGTGATCGTGGTGCCAGCCAACGCTGCAATCGTGTACGGCTGACCACCAATCGTAATCGCGTTGCCCACTGCGAATCCACAGCACGTTGTGACGTCCGTCGTCGGCAACTGCGCCGTCGCGGTTGTGGTTGTCGATAGAATCACGTACAGTCCCGGTACCGCGCGCATCGACGTGGCGGACGTCACGGTCACACTGCCGACGCCAGGGACCAGCTGCAAGAGCGACTGCACCGAACCGACACCGGTCGCGGGCGCGTTCCACGCAATGTTGCTCGTGCTCTTTCCTCGAAACAAGAGCTTAAAGTTCCCACCCAGACTCGGCGACGACGCGACGCTTGTGACTTGCTGGATCTCGGGCAAGCCGCGCAGTGCCGACGTTGTAATCGTTTGAACGACGGGCTGTCCCGCGGTTCGAAACCACTCGATGCGATACGCGTCGACGGGAGCACCGCCTGTGGCGAGTGGCGGCGACCACGTGACGCCCAAGGCAGTTGCACTGGACACGGTCGTCGTCACGCTGCTCGGGGCCGACGGCTGCGTCCGTGGAATGCCTTGTGCGAACGGCATTGTCGGCGACCCGTACCCGACCGTATTGTAGGCCATGACTCGGGCAAAGTACTTGGTGCCTGGCGTCAGCCCCGAGACGCGAAGGGCGAGGGGGTTTGTACCGTGCACCTTCTTGGCCACGGCCACGCTGGCTTGCGTGCCCGTTAAGGTCGCCGTCACAATCTGCATTGGAAAAATGTTGCCCGAGCCCGACACAATGTTGTTTTTGATGTGGGCAAAGGTGACAGACCAGCACGCGGTGTTGAGTGCCGAGCTCAGAATGGTCTTAGACACCTTGGCCGTATGGATGGACGACGTGGCTTGCAGCGCGTTCTGCATCTCAAGCGCCGAGGCGAGCACCGAGATCGGTGCCGTCCAGACGCCGTCGAACGACACGACAAACGACCCTGCGACCGGCGACGATGCACTCGTATAGATGTCTTGCACGTCGTAGGTAAACGCGCCGGCGGTCAAGTCTCGGGTCCCGCGCTGGATTTCGGTCACTTGCACGTGCGCCAAATCACCTGTGAGCATCGAGCTGTCGGCGCGCAGCAGCGCCAAGTCGCCCAAGTTGGCCATGAACGTGATCTTCCACGCCGTGCCCCACCCAAGGCCGAAGCGAGAAACGACGATCGGTGTCCCAGGGACGTTGGCATTGCCGGTCAGAAGGACCAGCGCGGAAGTCATTTGCGCCGCCGAGCACGCGTGCGGCAACGGCGCTGTCACTTGACCGCCAAACGCCAGCGTAAACGTACCGCCTTGACCGCCCGCACTAGATGGAATCGAGTTATGAAGCAGTCCTCGACGTCTCGTTTTGGTACCTTCGAAAGCTCGTGGCCACTTGCTGGATCTCAAACTGCTGCCGCACCGTAATGGTGCCGCCGTCGACACCCACGTTGGTAAACGACGGGTCGGACGTATATTCGATATTGTACATGAAGATGGGCGCGCCGCCGTGGTACATGGGCGGATGGTACCGCACGTCCAGCCACGTGGCGCCATGTGCAATGTCAAACGTAACGCCCCGCGGCGGCGACGGAAGCACAGCGGTCATGGCCGTCGACGCCGTGACGACAGCACTCACGGCTCCGAACCCTGCGGCATTGGTCGCCGACATACGCAGTGCGTACGTGGCGCCAGCGGCGAGAGCCTTGTACCACGGACCACTCGCCGTGTCGGGCGAGCCTCGGCGGGTTGTAAACTGAGTGATCGAGACTTCAGCGACATTGCCGCCTGTCCCAACGGTGAACGCTGCGCTCAGTGGCGGGAGCGTCCGGCGGTTGTACGTGGTGCCCCAGAACGTAATCGTATGCACATACCCGACGCCGACGGCGGTCGACTGCACCGTGACGCCGTCAACGACCGAGAGTGCTTGAAGCGCCGTCGCAATCGTGGTGGTGGTGGCCGACCACGGCAAGGCCGTCGTCGTCTCGCCCATGAACGACAGCGTGTAGGTTGCCCCAGTGCCAATGGCCGCCACCGACGCCGCCGAGAGGGTAATCGTTTGCACCATGGACGGATTCCCGAGTGTGATCGTGTTGGGTGGCACAAAGTAGGGCCGGGTCGTGCGCAAACGGGCGTCGAGACCCGCCCAATTGAGACCGGGAAGGGCATCAATTGACGCGAGGTTGCCGTACAACGACTTGAACACGATCGGATATCGAAAGCCACCGGCGCCAATCGTCAGCGTGCCTTGCACAATCGGGGCTTTGAGGACGCCGGTGAATTGGATCCAGTTAACGCCGACGGACGTCACGACATACTCGCTCCACGTGCCGTCAGGCCAAGTGTACCACACGTAGTCCCCCGTGAGCACCGTCGGCGAAAGGTCTGTTGTCGAAATGAACCGGTTGCGGTAGACAGGAGTCGCCGGTGTCGATGCGACGACAGCGGCACCGGCATACGCCGCTATCAGCGTCAGTGTTACACCATCTACACCGACGTCTTGCACGGTATACGACGCTGCACCGATCGAGATCACGTCGTTGTTGACGATGCCATTGCCCGCAGAAACGACCAACGACGACGAACCTGCTGTGGCCGAGACGACAGTGATAACCGCTGTATACGTCGAGATGAACCCTGGGGCGGACGTCGTCGACCGCAAGAGAGTACCCGCAGACGCAGTGAAGGTGCCGCTGCCACCCGCATCGGCAGCCAGCACAATATCGGCGCACGAAACCGACGCGATCGTGTGTGTCTCTCCGTTGAAGCGGATGACGTCGCCAGCAGCAACGTACAAGCTCGGGTCGATCGCACTCGCCTTGTACAGCACTGACGTCAGGACGGGGAGCCGACCGTTGCCGTGACGGAGAGTGCAAGCGTCGTGTAGCCGATCTGGCTCGGATCACTCGGGACATTGGTCAGTGCCATGGCGACGTTCACATTGTAGAGTTTCTCGAGCTCGGCAACCACCTTGTTCATCGTTGCGGCGACGCCGATTGGGGTCGTTTCCGTGTCGTCGAGTGCAATCGTCCAGTCGCCCGACAGACTGTTTAGCACCGACGTCGATGTAAACTCGACCACTGGAAACGACTGCATGACCGCGTTCGTGCCCGTCAAGAAGGCATCGTCGACCACAATGTTGTCGATCGCATCGGTAATGGTCGGTGCAAATGTGACTTGCCACGCACGCCCATACGTCCGGTGACGCACGGTCGTCACCGTCACGGGGCCGTTGACCATGGCCTGCATGGCGGCAGCGACCGCGGTTGCCGTCGTCGCTCTCACACTCAGCGGTGCCGATACTTGACCCCGGTACAGAAGCGTAAACGTACCGCCCAGCGGCGAGTCGGCGTCCGCAATGAGCGTCTGAATCGCAGGCGACCCGGACGCGCATGGCCCTTCGTACTGAAGGGTCCGGACCCGGCTCTTGACGGCCACGGCCGGCGCCCACGCGGCGCAGGTCCCGGACCCGGCGCTCACCACACGCAGCGTCGGCCACGCGCCCGTGGGGTAGTCGCCGCGGAATACGATTTTGTACGTTGGCAAATCAAAGACCCGCAGGGTGCGCGACTCGCCCGCAAAGGTCGCGCACGGCGTCGATGGGTCGTACAAGGCGACCGCGATCGTCGTCGCTTGGGCAGCTGGCGCCGTCGACACGGTGAAGGTGCACTGGTCTTGTAGCGCGTCCCCTGCGTTCTTTTGCACGCGAAGAAGCGCTCCGACGGGGAGGGCGGCGGCTTGATCGGTGGTGAGCCCCGGGGCACCCGTACTCACGACGGTCAGTAGCCCTGTCGAGCTGCTGTAGCCCGTGACAGCAGCCGCTTGGCTGCCGGGTAAAAGCACCTGTTTGAAGACATCGATCTTCTCGACCGAGACGTGGCCGACGTTGGGCAGCGCCATGAGCAGTGCCTTGAGAGATTGCGCGTCTGCATTGAATGCAATGCACGCGGTTGTTGACGCGTCCAACTGGAGCTGGTACGCGCCGGCCGAGATGCTTGTCGGTGCAAACAACTGCAGGATTTGTGTGCCCGACGACGGTCCAACAACAAAGGTGTTGCAGTTGCTGGACGCGCTCAACACAAACGAACTGTAATGCGCCGGAAACGTCGGCGGCGTCAGAACTGCGACCGCCGGCACCGCGATCGCGGCGCCCGACGCGACCGACGAGAGCGACGACACGACTTTGAGCCCTTGCGCCGTGGTCACGTCAATAGAAGACACGCGGTTGTCGCTCAACGACGCCTGGGGAAACGTCACACGCCATTGGTACCCGAGCGGTCCGCGTCGACTTCCAGCAGTGTCCACTGCAAAGAGGGCATACATGCCGCTGCCAAGACTCCCGGTGCCAAGGACGTTGGGTGTCACGGCGACGACAGAGTCACCGACAAGAGGCGTCGACGTGATCGTAAACAACACTTGGTTTACGGCAACAACCGTGCCCACTTGAAGCAATGCAACCTGCACCGAGGTCAACGGTGCACCAAGCGTTAACCTTCCAAGAGGCGGTGAGAAGGCCGAGACGGCGTCGGTGGCCAAGCGACCCCCAAGAACAAAGATCAACCGCGATGCCGTCACGGGGCGCATGTTGGGTAGGCGGTTGAGTGCGGCGGCAAACACGCTCGCCGCTGCGTCCACGGGCAGCCGTTGCGACACTTGGCTGCCGTAAGAGAGCTGGAAGGTGCCTTGGACGTCATTTGGAACCGGGTGGTACACATCGATGGCGACAACCATCGGTGTGCCAAAGCTGGCGTCGGTCGTCGCCTCGATCTCGTAGTTCGTGATGGGCGTCCCGCCACTGTCGGTCGGCGGCACAAACGTCACTTGGAGCTGCGAAAAGGACACGGGGAGTATCGTAGAAATGCGTGGCGCATTCGGTGGTCGCTGCGTGTACGCCTGCAGCGGCAGGGTCCCTTGGCCGTACGCTTGCAAAAGGTTGGACCCGGGACTCCAACCAATGCCGTTTTGCGCCCGCGCGCGTAGTGCCAGCGGTGCCGCGTTCGGGACGCCACTGAGCACCGTTTCAAACATGGCCGGGACCCCGGACGTCACTTCGGCCACGGTGATCGTCGCGCCCGCGCCCGAAAGAAAGTTGCCCGTCACGGACAGCAGCGGGAGGTGGCCCATGTTGGACGTGAACGTCACGAGCCATTGAAACCCTAGCCCTACCGCCGTGCGCGAGACATTGACCGAGCCGATGGTCGGCAGCGCTTGGAGCTTGGTTTGCACATCGACCGCGAGCTCGTTGTACTTAATCAGCGCGCCTTGGGACCCTGTCGACGTATAGTACGAGCCAAACTTGATATAAAAGTAGCCGCCAATGGGCCCCGCGGTCGCCGACGTCGTGATCGATTGCACCTCAAAGACCGCGCCGCCGAGTACCGTCGAGGACAGAAGCGTGCTAAAGTCGGGAAGAACGCCGACGCTGCCGGGGGCGGGTGCGAGTGTGGCCGCGCACCCGGCACAAGCGCCTCCGTACTCGTCGGTCAAGAGCGGGTCGACGCGGAGGCACGGCGAGGTCGGGCAGCTCGTCGGCCCCAGCGACGAGAGCGTGATCGACCACACGTAGCCCATTTGACGTGAAGGGCCGACGCGAGACACGGTCGCGGTGCCGAGGCCCGGCAGCGACGACAGAAGCGCTTGCATTTCGAGCGGCGTTGCGTCGGCGCGCACCGTCACCTTCTTCCGGCGCAGCACCGTCGCTTCATTCGACGACGCGAGCGTCCACGGCGCCGCCACTAGCTCATTGGCGATGTCGCCGAGGGTCAAGGTCGACGTCGTGATGGCGTTGACGCTGAACTCGTGGCCGCCGATTTGAATGTCGTCGCCGACGGCCACCTTGAATGTCAAGTCGGTCGACGTCGCCACGGTCGCGCTGCCTTGCGTCACGGCGACTTGGCCGATCGCCGTATCGTACACATAGACAGGTACGTTGTTGGCGCCGAGGATGTGCTTGGCGTCCAGCGGCACGTGGACGTCGGTGAACGGCGCCGACGCGTGGATTCGAAAGCGCTGACCGTTGATGCGCACGACGTCGCCGCGACTGACGAGGCCCTTGAGCGAGCTCCCGACGGCCGTCACACCCACGCGCGACCCGGCGTCGACGCTGATGGTCACCGCTGGCAGGGCCACCCAGTCGCCTTGGAATCCGATCGAAAGGTCCATGGTGCCACTAAGACCGTCGCCGGACGTCGTCGTCATGAGCTGCCACACTTCTGGCACAAAGCCCAGCGTTCCCGGCGTCACGCGCGCCCCTGAGAGCGAGACGAGGCTGCTTGCAGGCAAGAACGGCGTGCACACACTGCCGACAAGCACGTTGGGCTGCGGGCCGTTGACGAGGATCGGGCCTGTGAAGGAGATCGTGTAGATGAAGCCGTGCGGCGCGGCGCCAAAAGCCGACTGCGTCACGCTGACGCCGTCAATGTTGGGTAGCTCGTTGAGCGCGAGCGAGACTTGGTCGGCGGTCGCGTTCCATCCAAGGCAGTTGGGCGTCGCATACGAGCCATGCGCGTTCGTGAACGAGAGGCGGTACGCTCCCGATGCGATCGGCCCGTCGTTGCTGGCGATCGTAAACGTCTGGACGTCCGGTATGCGCGCCGCGACGTCGACTTGGTACGCCAGCACGGGCTCGCCGTTGCTGCCAAGCGGCAGGATCCCGTACGGCGGCAGCACTTGGACGCGCAGCGCCGACGTGTTCTCAGCATACGCGTAGACGTTGCTCGGGACGCTTGGAACGTCTTCAGGGTAGAAGACAGCAGCCTCGCTGCATGGCGCGAGGAAGAGCCAGAGGACGACGAGGCTCCAGGCCATCGAGGCGACGCGCCTGCCCATGCGATTTGGATAGATCGATGATGGATCCGCCCGACCCTTCGAGCATTGCTTCCATATCCGGATACGGGCACCGGAATCAGCACATGGGTCCTTCACGCTCGTGCCATCAGCAAGAAGGTCGATGCTGCTGGCAGTGCGACCAGCTGCTTGCGCGTGCGCTGGTTGGTCGCACCTTGGCGCGCTCTTGGGCGACGAGGTTGAAGTTGGCGTGTGGCTAATTACACCCAACGACGTCGTCTTCGCCAAGCGTTGCAAGACGTTCGAGGTGTACGGCACGAGTAACATTCTAGCGTCATGGCTCGCACGGCCCATTCACGCTCGTGTTTGGATTCGACACGCGCAGAGGCGAACGAGTGCTGTCGTCCAGGCTGGAGAAGCTGCGTGCGTCTAGCCAGCAGGTGGCGGCCGTAATGGTATCCGGACAGCGGGTTCTAATTTTGCATTTTCGAGGATGCAGCACTACCATGTCCTCGAGCGCATCGGCGAAGGCTCGTTCGGCAAGGTCTACCGCGGGCGGCGCAAGTACTCGGGGCACATCGTCGCGCTCAAGTTCGTCTCCAAGCGCGGCAAGAGCGAGAAGGACCTCAAGAACCTGCGCCAAGAGGTGCCATGCCATCCAGCCTCGTCGTCCGCATCACCATCATCATGCGCATCATAGATCCACATTTTGCGGCAGCTCAACCACGCCAACATCATCTCGATGCTCGACTCGTTTGAGACCGAGGCCGAGTTTTGCATGGTGACCGAGTACGGCCAAGGTGAACTGTACCAGATCCTCGAGGACGACCGGCAGCTGCCCGAAGACGAGATCAAAAAGATCGCCGTCCAGCTCCTCCAAGCGCTCTACTACCTCCACTCGAACCGCATCATCCATCGCGACATGAAGCCCCAAAACATCCTCGTCGGCACGAAGCAGCAGATCAAGCTCTGCGACTTTGGCTTTGCCCGCGCGATCTCGGCCGACACGAGCGTCCTCACGTCCATCAAGGGCACGCCGTTGTACATGGCGCCGGAGCTCGTCAAGGAGATGCCGTACAACCACACCGTCGACCTCTGGTCGCTCGGCGTCATCTTGTACGAGCTCGCAGTCGGCCGGCCGCCGTTCTACACGGACAAGATTGTGACGCTGATCCAGCTCATTGTCAAGGAAAGCGTCGCGTACCCGCCGACGATGAGCGACGACTTCAAAAGCTTCTTGTCCGGCTTGCTGCAGAAAGACCCGGCGAAGCGTCTGAGCTGGCCGGAGATTCTCACGCACCCATTCGCGTGCGAGACGGTGCAGCAGGCGACGGCCCGGCAGGCCCTCGAAGCCCAGGTGCGCCGCCTGCCAAAGTTCTTTGATGTCGGGGCGCCGCCGATGCACAAGAGCGTCGAGTGGCGGCCCGTGGACCCCGAGACGGGCCAATTGCAGCCGATGGCGGCCCAAGAAACAGCAGTCGCGCCCCCTTCTGCGGGGCGCTGGTCGCAGCACGAGGACGCGTTGGCCTCGGCAAACTCGTACGAGTCGTTTCTTGCGGCGACGCCGACACTCGCAGACGATGTCACGATGACGTGCACGGCGAATGACGCGCCCGACGACGAGATCCGGCGCATGCTCTATGTGCTGCACCGCGTCTTGTACCAAGCGTCCAAAGCGAGCAAGGACGCGTCGGCGTCACTCGCATCGCTGCGACGCGCGCTCGTCACGCACGCGCCGCAGCTCGTCCCGCGGACCTCGCCCGACGTGGCGCTGCAGCTGGTGCGGACGCTCATGGTGCCGAGCCGCGTCGAGGACGTTGCGGTGGAGCTTCGCGCGATGCACGCCGTCTTGTCCGATTTGAAGTTGAGCAGCCTGCACACCAAGGCGCTCAAGTGGCTCGGGTCGCTTCTCGCCGAGCCCGACACTGTCGCGGCCGTCTACGAAGCGCTGCTCTCGGGGCACGCGCCGCTGCTTCAGTCTATCTGCACGTGTCTCGAGGCCGGTGACGACGTGAGCGTCTATGCGCTCGCCGCACTCGTCCACCCGACCGCCGGGTTTGACACCGTGGCCGCAACGCCTTTTCCCGTCGTCGCGCGCTGCCCCCGGGCCGCCATGGACGCCCTTCAAGCAGCGTACCAGACGCGCATCCAAACGCACACGCTCGTCGCCAACGCGCTTCTGCAGCACGGCTTGGACCGGCTTCTCGCCGTCCTTTTGCAGCACGCCGAGGACGACGGCAACCCCATCGAGAACGACGACGACGAGCAAGACGATCAGACCATGGTCGCCAGTGTGCTCAAGATTCTCGGGCACTGCGCGCGGGCGTCGGCGCCGTTTTCGAAGCGGCTCCTCCACGACGAAGGCGCGGCGGCGTTGCGGACTGTCCTTCTCGCGCCGCGACCGAATTGGAATGTGTACGAGCGGTCGTTTGGGCTCGAGCTCTTGGCGGTCGCGAAGCGCCGGGGCCTCATCTTTTCCATGCCAACCGTCGTCGCCAACCACTTGAGCGACAGTATGCACCCCGGCGTTGGCGCCTCGCTCTGCACCTTGCTCGGCGACCACATTGTGACGCCGGCACGGACACCGATCGTCGACGCGACGACGCTGCCGCACCTCGTCGCGCTTCTGCGCCGCCCGCCGTCGCCGACGTTCCTCCTCTCGGTGTCGTGCTTTGGGCTCCGGGCCAACGGCGCGCTCGACAGCGCCGTCATCGTGCTCTACCGCGCCATGTCGCGCCTCGTGGACGATAGCAACGTCGATGGCCTGCAGCACTTCCTCGTCTTGCTCGAAGAACACAACACGTGGCCGCGTCTGATCGCGCTCTTGCAGGACGACGCGCTCTCGCCGTGGGGCCTCTTTTGCCTTCTCAAGTGGCTGCGCGGGCTCACGGAGCAGCTCCTCAACGTCGGCGGGCGTCTCCTCGACCGGCACTTGGCGCGGCAAAAGACGTTGCTCCCGCCGCTCATTCGCCTCTTGGATGCGCCGACGCACATTGCAGCGCTCGCCGACTGGCCCGACGTCCTCGGCGGCGGCCTCCAAGCCGTCAAAGCGCTCGTCCACGCGGTGGTCAAGATCCCCGGCCTCCCGTTCACGTGCGCCGCGGCGTCGGAGGAGTTTTTGTTCCAGACGCAGGAGGTCGTGTACGCCTGCGACGTCCTATCGGCCCTCCTCCGTGTCATGGACGCCCACGCGCTCGAGATGGACTTGCCGCTGAGCTTCCTCGCGCGCCTCGTGTCGAGCTCGCCCCACTTTAGCCTCCAGCTCGCCACCGCGCACGGCGTCGAGACGCTCCAAGCCCAACGCTTCTTGACGTCGACGTCGCCCTCGATCGTGCTCGATACGCTGGTGCTCTATACGCACGTCGCGCGTGCGTCCAAGGCCCACTACATGGCGTTTGCGACGGCGCCGCACCTGCTCGAGGACCTGCGCCGCCTCCTTCTCGAGTCGGTCGACGCCAGCGTGCGCTCGAAGGCGTGCAACTGCATCGGCAACCTCTGCCGGCACTCGGGCGCGCTGTACGAGCCATTGGCGTCCTCCGGCGTCCTGGCCGCGCTCGTCCCCTGCGCGTCGTCGACCGACGTGGCGGTGCGCCGGTACGCGTGCTTTGCGCTCGGCAACGCCGCCTTCCACAGCGACCTTCTCTCGAGTGTCCTCACAAACGCGATTGTGCCGCTCGTGCTCGCGCTGCGATGCGCCGACGCTAAGACGCGCGCCAACGCCGGCGCCGCGCTCGGCAACCTCGTGCGGCAGTCGGCCACGTGCGTGCCGAGCCTCGTGGCCGCGTCGGCGCCCGTCGCGCTCTACGAAAGCGCGGTCGACGAGGCGGATGTCGCCACCGCGCGCATCCTCCTCTTCTCGCTCGGCAACCTCTGCGAGTACGCGCCGTGTCGAGGCGCGTTGGCGGCCGCCGACACGCTCTTCGTGCAGACGCTCCGCCACGTCAGCGACGAGAGCCCCGACGACGTGCTGCAGCGCAACGTCCAGCGCGTCCTCTCGAAATGGCCGGCCCAATAAGAGCTTAATGTTTTCGTTTCATCATCGGAGTGTGCGTTTCGTCGGCTGCACCAGTATTGTCAGCGGGGATGGGTCTGGCGCTCGCGGTCGGGCTCGTGCCACTGGGTACGACGCAGCTACGCACCCGACGATACTGATGCGAGCACGACAGGCGGACTCCTGCAGCTCTACTGCGCGCAGCGACACCTCGCCGTGGCCCCCGGTAACGCAACTATTACTACCTTTCGCGATGCCATGGACCATGTCTCGCGACTAGTCGCCATGTACCGAGGCGTGCAACCGCGGCCCGTGCCCTGTCCGATTGGCATGTTTCGCCAGCCCGGCAACGGCGTCTCGCTCACCGAGTGCCAGTTGTGTCCGCGGGGCGTCTACGGCAAGCGGCCGGGGCTCGAGTCGAGCGCGTGCAGTGGGCCGTGCCCCAAAGGAACCTACCAAGACAGGTCCTTGCGTCTTGTAGCAACAACACCATGGCAATCCATTGTCGGCGTAGACTGGGCGCCACATCGATGGACGACTGCACACCGTGTCCCAAGGGCACGTACGGGGCGACCCCCGGCTTGACGTCGCGGGCGTGCACGGCGCCGTGCCCGTACGGTACGTACAGCATGGTCGAGGGTCTCACCGCCGCGTCGAGCTGCACGCCGTGTGACCCTGACTACCGTGGCCCCAACGGCCACCGCGGCAACAATGTCAACGCTGCCAACGCCGGCGGCTACGTCTGCGACCGGTACTACACCGACGTCACCCGCAAAAAGATCGCGACCGGCAAAGACGCGGCGCGCAAGACGCAACGGCGCGCGCAGTACGACTGAAATCAACAAGTTCGTTCGTGGTCTTATGGCTTGTACAAGCGGTTTTGAACACTTGGGCGACGCTGGCTTTCGCGAGGTCGCTGTCGTCAAGGAAAAGGTGCGACAGAATCGCGTGGGCGCGAGCCCGCGAGCAGTACACGAGCATGTCGCAGAGCGACACCATTGCAGCTTCGCGGAGGCCGACTTTCGCCGACGAGAGACACGCGAGATACGCCTCGGTCGCCGCCGGCGCGCAGCCGGCATCGGCGTGCATGGCCAACAACAGGCATTGGCAAAGGTGCCCCACCGCCTTCTTGCTCAAGCTCGCGGGTTGTGCGAGTGCGTACTGGACGAGCGCGGGCAGCGCCGACGATCGCGCGCTGCTTGCAAACGTCGACTCGAACGACGCCTGGACCTCTTCGAGTGTCTGCTCGACGTCGCGGATCGGCATCTACATCGCAGCGTCAGCGCACCAAGTAGCGACGAACAAGACTCGGACGTCGCGCGGCAGCACGAGGGGAGCCGGCTGCGGGACCATCGCATCGGAGCACTGGCCCGACTCGACGCACACGGAGAGAAACGGAAACTCGGCCGAGGCGACGACAGATTTCCTACACAGAGACCGTTCGACGCCTGCCGTGCTACGGCACACTACCATAGGGCGCGGTACGGGACCGATACGAGGTACGCGGCCATGACATTCGGCTGCGCGCACACGAGGTGCTGCATGGTTTGCAGCATGCGGGCGACAATGGGGTGCGCGCCGCCGCGGTCGTCGTGCTTGTTGACAGCGCCCATGACGTACAGCATGGTCTGCACGAGCTGTGTCAGCAGCGCACGTCGCTCCAACACCAAGTCTTTGGTCACGTCAACGAGCAAGAGCACCTACATCGGTCCATCGCTCGCCTCGTCCACGTCCTCGTGGCACGTACGTTTTCAAGCACGTGCCATCGCTCGTGCAGGAGGTGCCATGGCTGCCCGTGGAGCGTCGCGACGACGGTTGTGACTTTGACGACGGCGAGCAATGGGTGCAAGAGCGCGGTGCGGCGAAGCACCGACCGCGTTTCTTTGTTGCGGGGCTCGATAGCGCCGCGTCGAGCTTCGCCTCGAGGATCGCACCCGCGCCGATCATTTTCAGGTAAGACACGTTGGCCAACGCGTGCGGCCAGTCGGGAAAGCACGTGTCCAAGTGCATCGCCACCGTGTGCGGCTCGCGGCTGTACAAGTCCTACAGGCGACGTTTCAGAATTCCGAGTCGCATGATGCGACGTGTACCAAGAGAAAGGCTTGGGCGATAGGCTGCGCCGATGCATCAAACCACACGTCCATGAGCCGCTGCAGCACAAGCACGATGCTGCAATGGTCCAGAAACGCCAAGTGCGCGACGAGCGCCAAGCGCGCCGGCGACACGTGGGTGCGGTAGACCAGCGCTTGCTCGCTCAGCACGAGATGCAAGAGCGGCTCGAGCATGGCGTCGGCATCAATGTGCGTCACGTTGGCGCAGACGTGGTCGAGAAGGACTGCTACAAGTGGCGCACTTGTCCACTGTGCGTCGAGGAGCGTCGCCAAAAGACGGCTGCTCGCGGTGGGGATGGTAGCGAGCACCGTGCGGATCAGCGACACGTTCTGGCTCGCGGCGAGCGCACGTCCGAGCGCCGACACAAGCGTCGAGTTGGTCGACACCAGCATCGTCGCCCACTCGACAATCTCGTTGGCATGCGTCCCGGCCGCGATCCAGGCGCACACCACATCGTTGGTTTCGATCGTCGGTAGCGCGGCACGGCGCGGCGCACGGCGGCGGGGCGCGACGGCCATGGACGCAAAGAGGTCCTCCAGCGACGGCGTTGGTGCAAGCATCGCAGGTGGCGGCGTTCGGCGACACGGCACCACCGCGGGTGGCGTCGGCGCAGACTCGACGGCATTTACAACGTCGCAAAGCCAGCGTCGGAGCACTTGGCACGCGTCACTGGCCGCCACGTCCGCGTACGACGGCTCGCGCACGTACATATCCAGATGGTCCAGCGCGTCGGCGGCGGCGTCCGAGAGCGTTTGGCGGCACGTGCACTGCAAAAGAGCATTCGTGCACGCACTCTTGTCGCGACTCAAGTGCGCCGCGAGCACGTCGAGCTGCAGTCCCATCGAGCGCGGCGACCGCCCGTACGAGAGGAAGAGGTGCCAGAGCGAATGCAAAGACATGGTTCGAATCGCCGCTTGCATGAGCCGGTCATTGTTCACACACGCGAGGCGCGCAAGGTGGTCGGCCGAGCACACATACGTCGTTTGGCTTGGCGAGAGCAAGCCGGCGTTGGCGTCGGCGGGGAAGAAGGCTTCGATGAGCGTCATGTAGTCGTCGTGGAGGCTTGTCGGGAACGCAAGGGGACTGCTGAGCACCTCGACGACGCCCGACACGATTGTTGACGGCAGCGCCAACGTCGCCCCCGTCTGCGTCGGGAACGCGACCCACTCGGTTGGGATTTCGGTCGTTTTCGAAGCGACGCGGACAGCGGCCGAGAGCGTCTCGACGACGCGCGTCAGCATTGTCGCGTCTTGGAGCAAGAGCCGGGCCACCGACGTGCGCTGGCAAAGGAGCCGGCCGACCGCCTCGGCGAGCTGGAGCGCCACGTCTTTCGTCGCAAAGAGATCGTAGAGCGCCGTGAGACAGCGCTTGAGGCCGTCGATCGATGACTCGTGCGCCAAAACGTTCTCGAGCGACGAGAGGACGCGCGCATGCAGTGCCGGAAACGACGGCAGCCGCGTCAAGGCCGCGAGCCAATCAAATTGGATCGAGTGGTGGCTGATGAGCGCGCTCGCGTCGCCGTCGGTCGTGAGGAGCCCGAGCACGTGCGACGAAATGCGGCGCGTATCCATGTTGGCCGACACGAGGCGGTCCAAAAAGAACGAGAGCACGTCAATGGCTTCGTCCGTCGTCCCTGCCATGGCATCCTGCACACAACAAGATGATATTGGGATATGCCTCTCCATAAGCAAGACGACGGTACCTTGAGACGCGCCAGCAAGCGGGGCACTTGGTGCGACAGCAGCGATGCGTGTGCAAACTTGGCGGCTTCGGGGATCGATCGGACGTCGACGTACGCGAGAAGAAGCAGTTCGCAAAGGCACTTGCGGGGCAAATAGGTCAGCGTCTCCTGCTCGTCACAGACGATCTCGACGATCCACCAGATCTGCTCGGGCGCTTCGGACCAGCTCGCCGCGCCGCCAGCCACCGTCACGTCGACCATGTTCATGAGAAAGTCCGAGTCGCGGCTTTGTCGAAGCCGGACGCCGAGCCGGAGCGCCTTGTCGAGTGCCTCCACCTTGCGCAAAGTGTCGGCCGGCGGGCTCCGCGCCATGGCATCTGGCGGCATCGACACGAGCAGCGTGCCGTCTGTCAAAAGCTGCTGGCTCTGCAAAAACGGCAGCTCCCACTCGGTATACGCTTGGTTGATCGCAACGAGGTTGCCGTGCCCGATGGCCTCCGGGCCAAAGAGCTTGGGGTCTTCGGGCTCGACGGGCGGGAAGCGGAACCGGCCCGTGATTGCCATTTGCATGAGGCAGCGCATGGTCGGGACAGCCGACCAGATTTCGGCGCCGATCGTTGACGGCGAGAAGACGCCGAGGACGAGCAAAATCGCGCAGCTGAGCCAGTAGAGCTCCGCGTAGCTGACCGCCTTGCCTTCGTACGTGTGGCCGCGCACCACACCCGCTTCGTACAAGTGCACGACAAAGTCCGTGCGCGAGATCTGGAGCCCGAGGAGACCGCCGGCCGCCACATAGTCGTGCAGCTGGTGCGCCGTCGGGCCCTGAAAGTAGCTCTCCCGCACAAGATGGCCCTCGGCGGCGCGCGTCACGAGCGTATCCAGCACCTTGAGCAACTCGTGGGCGTCGGTCGGCGCGACGTAAAAGCAGAGCCCGACCATGCCCGCGACCGTGACTTCGTGCAGCGGCAGCATGTCCTTGCAGAACGCGTAGCACGCGCGGTCGTGCTCCGTGGCCTACAAGCGACGAAAATGAGGACATCGCGCGCTGATGGACACGCAAGTCGTACGTTGCCGTCGGGGGCCGCGTCCAAAAACAAGATCTTGCGCATGACCGCAGAGAAGAGACGCATGATGTCCACTTGGAGCTGCTGGTACACCTCGTGGCACCAGTTGACGGCCATGCGCTGGACGTCCGCAATCAGCTGCGCCAGCTCTTCCTTGGCGCGGAGCGACGGCGTAATGACGCTCGGGCTCGTCCCTGGCACCGCCGCCGCCGCTTCCTTCTTGCGCGGGTTGGTGGCGTTCAAGAGACGCCGCGCCGGCTTCTCGGCCGCGTTCTTGGAGAGAAGGCCACCCATGCGCACGCTCGACGACGCGGACGCGTCGGGCACCGACACTTGCAGGCTCTTGACAGTCGTACCTTGTAAAAAGAGCACGAGCGAGACCAGGTCGCCCATGACCGTGTAGAATTCGATGGACCCGTGCGGCGGCAGCGTGAGGAGGCCGGCGCAGAACGCCCGGACGTCGAGCTGGTCAGGGTTGAGGCTCTTGAACACCTTGCGCAGCGTGTTTTTGAGCGTCGGGAGGTTGCTCGGGACCGCGGCCATCTCTTGGAGGACGGCGGCCAGCGCAGCACTCGACTCGGTGCCTGCGTGCGCCGCATTGGGTCGTCGAAACATGCGCGCTTCGTCGGCCTCGTCGCGCTCAATCGGGCGCGCCGTCTCGCGAAAGATAAGCGGCATCATCTTGAGGTTGTCGACGTCCTTGACCGTCGCGCCGAGTCGCTCCTTTGCGAGGACCACCTTCATCGCGATCGCGACGTACTCGGGGCGCTGCCGCACGAGCGTCGAAAACACTTCGGTCTTGAGCTGCGGAAACGACACCGATTTGAACTTCATGTTGAGGAGGTTCTCGACCGTCTCCATGTCGTGTCGTTCCAGCGTTGTGCAGGACTAAACGCGATATTAGATTCGGATTCAGATTCAGATTCCGACAATGTACCCGCGCGCACTTGAGCAAGAGCTCCCGCGCCAAGTTCTTGTACGTCGTGTTGGCAAACCACACGTCGAGGTTCGACGACGCGACGAGACGGCCTTGCGGCAGCACCGTGAGGTCCATGAGCGTGAGCATGACCTGCTTGAGGTTCGTCGACGGCGCATTTCCCGGTCCTTGCTTCTTGATGTCGTTGAGCTTGGAGAGCAGGTGCTCCATGATGAGGCTAGACACATCTTTAGAGAGGTGCTGGGCCGCCATCTCGGCCTTGAGCAGCTCGAGAAAAGGCGCGCAGAGCTCGTGGTCGACCCACGCGCGCGAGTTGAGCGAATCGTCGACAAAGACCTTGACGCAGTCGTCGGGCCACGCAAACGTTGGCGACGCAGCCATGGCCGCCCTCAGGATCTTGGCCAAGAGGTTGGCGACGAGGACAGCTAGAGTGATGGCCTTGACCGGCTCCTTTGTCGTCGGCTTGGTCGATAGCGACGTAATGGGCTTGGTCGGCGGCTTCTTCTCGAGCGAGCCCGATCGGTCGCGCTGGAACTTGCTCCGGAGCATGCGCATGAGCGCCTTGAGAATGTTGGGCGACTGAAATTTCAGCGGCGCCGCGCCGACGGCCGTGAGAAAAGCGAGCGAAAGCTCGCGGCCCGGCGCGTCGCCCGTCCGCGCGAGCTGTCCGAGGCTCCCGTTGATGAGCTGCAAGAGCTGGTCTTCGTCCGTCTCGGTCTCGAGGAGCACGCGGAGGTCCTCGTCGTCGTCCTCGTCCGCGTCGTCGTCGCCGCCGTCGTGGTCCGGCTCGGGCGCGTCGTCGGGCTCGGCGGGCGCCTGCGGAGGTGTCGGCGGCGGTGGCGGCGGTGGGTCCTTCTCCGGCGTCTTCTCTTCCTTGGGCGGCGGCGGCGGCTTGGCTTTCATCGGACTCGGCTTGGCAGGTTGTTCTTCTTTTTTCGCCAGACGTTTTCGCTTCCCTTTTCCGTCGGGCTCGGCCTTGGCATCAGCGACCTCCTCCTCGTCGTCGTCCTCGTCCTCTTCTTCGTCCTCTTCCTCGTCGTCGTCGAGATCCTCGTTGGCGTCCGACCCGTCTTCCTCGGATGGCTCGTCCTCTTCCTCGTCGTCAGACTCGTCGTACACGACGCGACGCATGCGCGCAGCGCGGACCGTCTTGGGCGCGGTCAGCTTCTGCGTGGCCACCTTGGCAGCTGTACGAAGGCTCTCGCCCCGGGCCGTCGTGCTTCGCGTTGGTCGACCGGGTGCCATCGCAGCCCCATACAAAAATCTCGCAGCCGTGACAAAAAGGAGGACGGCTACAAACACCCAACTTTATCCGATTATTGTTTCCACAGGACTATTATTTTAATTATCTGTTGATATACAAGCAGCTCGGCTGGCGCAATGGATAGCGTATCAGACTTCGAATCTGGGGGTTGCGGGTTCGAGTCCCGCGTCGAGTACTTTTCAATGCCTTTTAGGTGGCGTACGAATAGACTGTGCGATGGCTGGCACACCGTCTACTGTGTTGGCAGTGGACGCTCTCGAGCTGACGCACGGTTGTTGGCAGTCGCTGGTCCCACTCCATCGTCGCCGGCAAACGGAACGCAGCCAAGCACGTGCAACTGATGCAAGCTCCTGAAGGGGACCTGGCTTCCTACCGCAGACAGAGCTTACAGGCACCTTGCATGCAGCTCTCGCAGGCTGGTACACGCAGAAGCTGCCGAGGACGCTTGCAGTGGAGGAGGCTATATTGCAGCGATCAGCAAGCGCAAGCCGTGTGGGCTGGCAAGATCTGATAGTCTCGCCGAGTATCCGGATGATGACGGAAGATTTTCGGCAAAGTCACAAGACGACGAGGGGATGAACAGCCAGATCCTTCGCGTTGGCGACGCGCTCACAGCGCTCTTCCAGCAGGCGCAGGACGGCAACAGCACGCGCTGCTTGGACGTCAAGGTCGAGAACGAGACGCTCGTGTGCGCGCATGCCTTTCCCGTCGACGGGCCGCCCGAGGCCCAGTGGGCGGCGATCCAAGCGGGCACGACGGCGCCGAGCCTGCTCCTCTTCCACATTGCGAGCTCCAACGGCCCGTGGAAGTGGATTCTGGTCGCGCACGTGGCCGACACGCTGCCGGCGCGGGAGAAGATGCTCTACGCCTCGGCGCGCGACTGCCTCAAGCAGCAGCTCGGGCTCTCCTACTTTGTCGGCGACGTGCACACGACCGACCTCGCGTCCTTTAGCTTTCACGACGTGCTCTCGACCATGCACAACAACACGGGGCCGCTCAGTGAGAAGGAAGTCTTGCTCAAGGAAGAGGCGCGCCTCGAGCGCGACCTCTCAGTGAAGGCGAGCGCGATGTCGGTCATGCCGTTCGGCCTCACGCCCGGCTGCGCCGCTGCGCTCGACACGTTTGCGATCGCGACGTCCCCGGCCTTTCTGAGTTTGCACCTCGAGAACGAAGCGCTTGTCGTGGCCAAAGCGCTTCCGAACGTCCACGACAGTCTCCTCAGCAGCGAGATCACCAAGCACGCACCGAGCTACGTGCTGTACCGATTCCCGTCGGCCGGCGCGACGGTCGTCGTCTTCTTGTACGTGTGCCCCGACGACGCGCCGGTGCGGGCCAAGATGACGTACTCGACAGCCAAAGCGTCTGTGCTCGCCCTCCTCCCGGCCCACCACATTGCGATCGACAAGACGGTACGATGTGACCTCGTTATGTGATGCGAACCCATGGGTGGACTCCTAGGTTGAGATCACAGACGTGGCGTCGGTGGTCGACGCCATCCGCGCCGACGTCGCGATGGACCTGGACGACGCGACGCTGGTCCAGCCCAAGGCGTTTGCTCGTCCGGCGGCGCCTGGCCGCGGCCGCGGTCGCCGAAAGTAATCAAGTCGCGTGAACCGTGCTTGTACATTTAATCAATCGCACGCGTATATACAGGTGGTGGTTTGTTTATCTACGGCCCTTCTTCTTGCCCTTCTTCTTACTGCTCGCGGCGGCGCCGGTCGCCGGCGCGCCGGTAGTCGCGGCCTTGGCTGCTTCGAGTTCGCGCGCCAAGCGATCTTTCCGGAGCTGGAGCTTTGGGATGAGCTCGCCCATCTTGAGCATGAGGTCCTTTCGCGTCCGGATCTCGGCGTGGACCGGACTGCCATTGGCGTCGACGAGCTTGACGCGGACGCGGCCGGGCACGAGAAAGTCGCGCGAGTACGCCTTGTACGGTTCCGTGACGTGGTCGAGCTTGAAGTAGCGGCAGACCTCGGCCATCTCTTCGACGATCGGGCGGTCGCACGCCATGGCCTTGGGAATGCGGCGGCCGTCGGCGTTCGTCTTGCCCGAGTCGATGTAGTTGGGGTAGAACGTCGCCCAGCGCGAAAAGTCCGTGCCGTACGCGACGCCGCTGCCGTAGATTGCCGCCTCGCCCTGGGGCATGCCCATCATACCGGACATACCTTCCATGTCCGACTCGTCCATGCCCGGCGGCATGAGGCCGGCCATACCCGGTGGCATACCAGGCATACCCATACCAGGCATACCAGGCATACCAGGCATACCAGGCATACCGGGCATACCGGGCATACCGGGCATACCGCCCATGCCGGGCATACCGCCCATACCCATGGCGTTCATGGCCTGGAGCATGCGCTCGGGTGTCATACCCGCAGGCACGGGCATGCCCATCGACTTCATCATGTTGGTCATGCCTTCCATCTGGGCGCGCTGCTCGGGCGTCATGCCACCGCTGCTAGACGTCGTGGGGCGGCGGACCGGGATCGCGTTCGTGTCGTAGACTTCGCCCGCGACGTTGGGCTTGGCCGAGCCCTTGGGCTTGCGGTAGGACATGGTCGACCTTGGGAGCGAAAATGACTTTGTTTTTGTATCACCAGCCACGAACACCGTTATCCGGATACAGCAGTCACCACGTCACCAGCGACGACGACACCACCAAGCCATCGGCCTCGACCCAGCTCCTCATGCAGGCTCGGTCGTTGGAATGCCCACGCAGCTTCGCTGCTCTCGTAGCCACAGGGCACTGCCTTGTCCTCGGCAGGTGAGCAACTCCTGCGGTTACGGTGGCCCAACGCGAAGCCCTGCGCCGGCCCGGCTTGTGCCACACGTAGAACTCGCGCTTAGCCTGTCACCTTCGTGTCGATGACACAGTATAACATACCTATTATATATAGTGTAACTTCTCTAACAAGCAGTTTACTCCTCCGAGAGACCCATGTTGACTTCGCCGTTGAAGATGGAGCCGGCGGCCGCAAAGCGCTGGCTCTGGATGTGCTGCAGCTCCGTCATGCGCTGGAGGAAGATGGGCTCCTGCTGGTACTTCATCATGGCGGCCTGCAGGATCTCGCGCGAGAGGCCGTGCTGCTCGTGGATCTGGGCACTGAGCTGGTCGGCCTTCTTGACGTAACGCTCGTTGATGGCCTCTTCCTTGTCCTCGGGGTCGAGGAGCTTGACCTCCTGGCACACTTCCTCCATCGCGACGTTGAGGGATTCCATGGTTTCTTCCATGATGATCAAGAACTTCTCGAGCGTGAGGTCCTCAGGGACTTCAACGTCGGCGGCACCGGCGCCCGTGATCAGGCGGTAGAGTTCCTGGAGCTTGCCGACGGCGGCGTGGACTTCCGGGTCCTCGACCGACTCGTAGTACTCGGTGGCAATGCGCACCTCGTCTTCCGACGTGTTGTGCTTGCTGTACGCCTGGGCTTCGATCGCCTTCATGGCCTCCTCAAACTGGCCCATGAGGTACGCGGCAAGCTGGTCCTCCGGGAGCGAGCGGCCGCTCTGGGCCGACTCCTGGCGGATCTTCTGCTCAATGTTGGCGAGCGAGAGCACAATCTGGCCCATCTGCGTCGAGATGATGGTCAAGATCGACAGGAGCTGGTCCTTGGGGAGCGACGGGAGCGACGCCGAGGGCGCGACCGGCGCCGCAATCGAGCGCTCGCCCGCCTCTTCCTTGCTGGCGTTCGAGGATTCCTACAGCGCGTCGCATGAGCCATCGTCATCTACAAGATCTTATTGCCATACCGAGTTGTTGGACTGCGCCTTGAAGAGGAAGAAGAGGGCGACGACCGAGGCCGCGATGGCGCCGAGGACGAGGGGCTTGGACATGGCAGACATGGCAGGGAACCGGGAATGAGTTGCTCGATGGAGGCCAAACAAGAAATGTATCACAGCCAATGGATTCGCGAGCTCAGGCCGCGGCCGGCGAGGTGCCAATTGTCTTAAAAACCAGGGACTACCTCGTCTCTCTAACTGGTACAATAGAGCAACGTCACTCAAGCGAGGGACGGAGCGGGCAATTACTGCCGAACCGACCCGAAAGTCCCTCGTTATCCGGATATGGCGGACCCTGTTTTTGTCGCCGGGCACGAAACTAAACAAAGACACGCCACCGTCGACAGCATGCACATGGTCTACAGCTGCGACAGCCAGCTCCTACAAGCTCACTCACTGCTCTCTGCCGTGGCGGCTGCATTGCTTCTTCAAGCCTCAATGGCTCGTCCTCGCCGAGACACTGTTTGATGACGACTTGCAGCGGTTTGATCCAGCTCGGTTACCGTAATATCCTGGCGGCAGAGTGCGTCGCCGTGGCCGGAAAGGCGGGCCGAGACAGGTCGCGGCCGCATGGAAAGGAGGTCGTGAACGTCGCTTAGAACTGAGCTGCAACGAAGAGGGTGTGATCTTGCAGTGTATATCGAAGCACCAATGTCGCGTCGTTGAAGTCGGTGGCAGGCGCCTCTGGGCCAGCGACGAATGGCGCCATGATGATAGCGTTCAGCGTCGCACCCAAGAACCAAGTAGCCACGGCAAGTGCGACCAGGCACACCGCGCAGAATGGCTGTACTGATGTGTGCGAATTCCAGGTGGCGTATCCGGATGACCAAATCTTCGCGATGGATCTTGGGGCGCCGGTGGCCAAGGTGGACTCGCGGACGGAGGCGCCGCGGGGCGACGATGCGCCACCGAGATACCTCACGCGCGCCGACGCCTTCACCAGCGTCTTCCAGAGCGTCGTCAAGCCTGCGGCAGCGGCGCCATCGCCCGCAGCAGCCTCGCCCTATGCCGAGTCGCTGGTCGTGCACATCCACCCGAGCCAGAGCGGCAACCCGCTCGTGAAGCTCCTCCACAACGTCATTCCCGAGGTGAACCCGGACATCACGTCCGACTACATGATGGGCGAAGCGTGCGTCGCGTGCTTCCTCAGCGTGCGCTATCACATGCTGCACCCGACGTACCTCAAGTCCAAGCTCGGGCGCGTCAAGCCGGCGCGGGTCCAGGTCGTCGTGTGCCACGTCGATGTTCCCGACAACGAGTCGGCGCTGAAAGAGATCAACCGGGATGCGCTCGCCTGTGGCTTTACGCTGCTCCTGGCCTGGAGCTGGAAAGGTACTTGACGGATGCGGTGCCATCGCTCATGATTCTCAGAGGCGGCGCGGTACATTGAGACGCTCAAGAGCTACGAGAACCGACCGGCGACGCTCATCAAGGAGAAAGTCGAGAACGACTACAGCGCGCAGCTAGCCGACGTGCTCACGAGCGTACGGTCGATCAACAAGACGGACGGTACGCGGAGGTGGCAGCGATAGCACATTGCTCATGCCATCGTTGTAGTTGTCACGCTCTCGAGCAACTTTGGCTCGGTGCAGCGGCTCATGTGCGCGACGGAGGACGAGCTGGCGCTTTGCCCTGGCATCGGCGGCAAGAAGGTCCAGATGCTCCTCGAAGCGTTCAACACGCCCTTTCACGCAACCAGTTGATAGGACGCCACGCAATGGTATTATAAAATCACTTTCTCTTTCGCAACTCTTGCTCTTGCTGGCTGGCCAAGTTGGCCTGCAACTGCGCTGCCAGCTGCGCTTGCTTGAGGGCCTGCGCCTGCGCGGCCATGTCGGTCTGCTGCTTCTTCTGTTCCGCGAGCTGCTCCTGCTCGGCCATGTGGTTGATAAACTGGACGGCTTGGGCAAAAATGCTCTCGCCCCAGTTGTCGCTGGGCTGGAGCGCCTGGGCCTCTTCGCGCACCTCCTTGATCTCTTCGGCGATCATCTCTTCCGCGAGCTTGAAGCTCATGAACGGACCGTCCTTGATCAGGTCGTTCTGCTTCAAGCGCTGCATGCCCTGCGCCTCGGTCTGAATCTTGCGGATGAGCGGGATGTCGGCCACCGCCCGGCGGAAGAGCGCCGAGCACACAATCTTCATGTCCTCTTCGCCCAGCGTCGATGGCGCCTTCTCGCGGATCGTGCGGTACTCCTCGACCTGCGGCGGCAGCGTAAAGTCAAAGCCGTTGATCATCTCGTCGAGGATGTCGTCGCCCTCGAGCACCTTCTTCGGGCGCAGCACCTTGATGACCGAGATGACGAGGAAGACGGCGGCGATGAAGACGCCCGCGGCCACATACTCGACTGCCGAGAAGCCCATGGATTACGTATCGACTTGGGCCACAAAAAATGCGTTTGATCCGAACCGCCCCCGCAAACGTGGCCGAGGATTGCACCAATCGCAGCGCTCCACTTGGCTGCTCCAATTTGACGCCTATCCGGCACATCCGGATACTGTGTCACACCATTTGTGTATGTTCGCGGTGGAAACTTTCGTATATAGTGTTACTTCAACGTGCCTACGTCGAAGGACATACCCCGGTACGCAGGAGATCTTGCGCCTTCCGCCGCCGCACGGCGTGTCCTACCAGTATGTAATAATACTCGTAGAGGTGTCGAGATGGCGTTGAGCGGCTGACATACTCCTCCCGCACAGGACCGAGCGTGGCTCTGGTATCCGGATGACCCATTATCCGGCGGCCGAAGGATCGCAGATCTTGCAGAGTTTCCACTCGAGCGCCAATGGCCCATCGCGACCTGACGGCGCGGTTCCTCGACCGACGGCTCGTTGCGCAGCGCCGGCAGACGCATGGTGCCATGCGCTACGGTGGCGGCAAGCCATATGCTATGGCCAAGACCTCGCAGGTACGAGCGTGCTTTTAGCAGCTTCCAGTCGTGAGGCGCGACGGTAGCGGCCGACCGAGATGGAAGAAGGTAAGGGCACGACAAAGCCCGCATGGACACGCGCCGTCGACTTGGCCAACGAGTGCATCGCGCAGCTGCAGCTCAAGCGTACGTGGCATGCGTAAGCGCTCCGATGAGTTCATCGCTTGGATGTAGTCGACTATTTGCAAAAGATGCATACGCGCCGCCTCATGGTTCGCTTCGACGAGTCCGAGAAGCAACACGACTTGGACATTGACAGCATGACGCAAGAGATCTCCAAGCTCTTCCACAGCGCCGAGTCGGCGCTTCAAAAAGTCACTCGCGAGCCGTTGACAGCATCGGGGTTGGCGTCGCCCGCGGAGCGTAACGTGCGCGTGAACGTCCAGCGCTCGTTGGCCAGCAAGCTGCAGGAGCTCTCGAGTCGGTACCGTCGCAGCCAGCGCGAGTACATGGAGACCCTGCGCTCGCAGCGCAACGTCTCGGGCGACGTGTTTCAATGGGACTCGGCGGGGCCGATGAGTCTGGCGACGGTACCAACGCTATCTGTCTGGATCCTCGTCTTGGAATATGGATTTTTATAGTCGCAGCAGCAGCAGCACTTGCTGCACCTCGACGAAGACGCCGCCATGGTCCAAGCCCGCGAGCGCGAAATTCAGAAAATCGCCAAGTCCATCGTCGACCTCTCGACTGTGTTCAAGGACCTCGCCAACATGGTCATCGACCAGGGCACGATCATCGACCGCATCGACTACAACATGGAAGACGTACGTACGGCAAAAACGCTGCATGCGCTCTACTCCTTGCTGTTGGTAGGTCGTGACGCGCGTTCATTCGGGGCTCAAGGAGCTCCATCGCGCGGAGAAATACCAGCACAATGCGCGGCCGGCGCGGTGCATTTACCTGCTTCTGAGCCTCATCTCGCTCTGCTTTATGATCCTTCTCATGAAGCACGCAACGCCGTACGTCGAGTATTGACGACGCGTAACCTCGACTGATTTTGCTCGTTCCCATGCTCCCTCGGACGAAGGAGGACGTTTCCGCGACGTCTTCTGCCTGTTACTACCATGTTGAGCCACGTGGATGGCAGCACAACCATACGAGCGGGCGGTAGCTATATAGGACGGCACAGAAGACACGTACCACGCCAGTGTATTGAGAGGGTTACGGTAGCTTCTTCTCGTACACGAGCTCGTTCGTCGCGGGGTCGACGCCAAAGATCTCGACAAACTCGACCTTCGGGAGGCCCCAGCTCGTGGTCGACTGCACGTAGACACGCTCGAGGAACACGTTTGGCCGGCCGTTGATCGTCGTCCGCGCGCGCACGCTTCTGCCGTCGTGCAACAGCACGATCGCGCGGTCCTTGAGCGACGCGAGTGCCACGTCATACTCGTGGGGCGCGGCCCCAGGCGAGCATGTTGCGCCGTACGCAGTGTTGCGTTCGATCATGTTGAGCTCTTCGGTCGGGTACGGCGGGCCTTGCTGCGCGTACATGATCCAATAAATGTGCAGGGGGTTCTTCGGGTCCAGCCGCGACGCGCTGCCGACATTGCCCTTGTACACGACCGTGTTGGCGTTCTACACGCACAGCTCTTAGCACAGAAGGAGGCGCTCGCACACGTCGTACATTGCTCCGCTGGATGATAAAGGCCGTCGACGGGTCCACACCCCGGACTTTTTCCAGCTCGGCGTTGCACGGCAGCGGCGCGGCTTCGGGCGTCGCGGCCGGAGCAACTTCGGCTTCGGGCTCGGCGACTGTCATCAATGGTCTACGTAACGAGTGTCTGAGCGCAGGACGTTGACGGGTAACGTACGCGTCGGTCGGCGGCGGCGACGACGCCGGCTCGGCGGTGGCCTTGGGCTTGGACGACTTGGGCTTCTTCTCGAGTGTGCCATTGAGGAACGCCTCCTTGCTCGCAAGAAGCACGTCGACTTCGAGCATTTCGCGGGCGAGCGCTTGGCGGCGCTGGCGCAGCTCCTCGACCTCGTCGCGCAGATCCTGGAGGTGCTGCTGCTTCTCCCGGCGCAGGGCGCGCTCGAGCGCTTCGATCGTCGCCTGGCGCTCGTCGAGCTCGCTCTGGAGCGACTGCACGACGAGGTTGGCCTGGTCCACGGTGTCGTCGGCGCCCCAGATCCAGCTACTCATGGCGGCTTGCTGTCTTTAGCGCAAGAAAGGTGCCACCTCGTGACACGTTGCGACCTCGGCTCTGACTTTGCACCACACTATTCATGAAAAGCAGCCCAAACGCATTTAGTGTAAGGCTTTGGCGCCACATCGGTCCAGACATCGGTCGGTCGTCAAGTGGCCAACCTCTTCCGCGCTGGCCTCTGCCACTCTTTGCACTGCGACGTCGCCGCTGAGGTCTGACGCCGGCTCGTCCTTGCTACGGCGGCATCGCTGAAGGGACTATCGTCGCCATCTATGCAGCCGTTGGTGATGGCCCATTGATAGGCGACAGCGTCTTTGCCCGCATCTCGTACGTACTAGTACGCTGTCCTGCATCCGAGTTCCTCTACAAGCCTCTTAACGATGAAGGCACAGCACGTCGTCGACGACCTCACCCACGACGCTGCGATGACGAGACGCGTCAGGTCCTGACCCAAGGACACCAACTAGATCTCATTGCACCGACAACATGGCGTCCGGTCAGTTCCAGGAGTCAACCGCTGCGACCGTGTCTGGTATCGCTCCGCGTTGGTCGCGTTGTTCCTTGGGCTTCGTCTGGATTTTTTACCACATCTGGTGCGCTCCGAATTCAGATGATATTGCACCAATCACAGTCCGTGGACGCGTCGCGAAGGCTCGCTGCCGTATGTGATTGGCTAAAATACCAGTCGGTGCATTTGCCAGCCATTTCCGCATTTGCCATGTCCGAGTTCTTCCGCCGAGCGCTCTCGCAGCTGCTGAACGAAGCGGCCGTCAAGACGCTCGCCAACAACAAGTCGTTCCAGAACTTCGCGCTCAAGACGCACCTCCACGTCGAGAAGACCAAGGCGGTCATGAACAACCTCGACGTCGAGAAGGTCGCGGCCACCAAGGTGCTTCCGAACGTCAACAAATTCACCGAGTTTGCCAACGCGGTCAAAGCAGAATTACAGAAGGACGTGCGTAAATTCAAATAGAAGCGTCTTAGCGTCTTAGTTGCGACCGACGTCGGCCGAGATGGCCTCAAAGACGAGCCGGCGCCAGAGCGACACGACGAACGGCTCGGCGTCGGCCTCCAGCACGGGCGAGAGACCATCGATGAGCGTTGACGGACTCGCATGGCCCGTGAGCTGCGTCACGATGAACGAGACAAGCGCCGCGTCCGCCTCGCCGAGGTACTCGGCCACCTTCTTTTCGACCCACGGCGCCATCTTGGCGGATACGACGCCATGCTACAGTGATCATGATCGTATGAGAATGAGGTTGCGACGACAGAGCGTGCCTTGTCGACCGCGGCCCAGTCGAGCGGGTACTTGAAGAGCCCCTTCGTGTCCTTGGGGATGCGCTCGACGATGCTCTTGGGGTCGTTCGTGCGGCTGTTGATGCGCGCGATGGACCGCGCAACCTAATAGAAGCGGCGTGGGACCTGAAGTTTACGTACGAGATGACGCACTTGAGCGTCAATGAGCGCGGCGCGACGCTCTTCCTCCGAGTAGTCCAACGGGACGTACGCCCGCTGGGGCTTGAGTTCCGCGTCGTCTTCGACCGCAAAGACGGGGGTCGACGCCGCTGCGCCGGTCGCCTTGGCGTCTTTCGGATCCTTCTTGGCGCTCAGCTTGAGCTCAATCTTCTTGAGCGGCGCGAAGGGCTTCGGCGGTGGCGGCGGCGGCGGTGGCACTGAGGCGGGGGCCGCCGGCGTGGGCGCTGGCTCGGGTTCCTTGGTCGGCTTTGGGCGCGGCGAGTCCTCGGCGCTGTTGCGGCGGTCACGGCGCCGGTCGCGGCTTCGGGACCGCGACCGACGCGTGCGCGTGCGCTCTCGACTGCGGCTACGCGACCGGCGGCGACTGTCCCTGCGATCCCGATCCCGGCGGTCTCGGCGCCCCGTGGATCGGGACCGGTCGCGCTCGGGCTTCTTCTCTTCCGGCGCGGGCGGCGTCGCAGCCGTCGTTGCCTCGACGCTACGCAGTCGTCGCGTGAGCAGTCGTGTGTGCGAGACAGAGAACGTACACTGCCTCTTTTTCCTTGTCTTCCTTTTCTTGTCGAAGTCGCTCCTGCGAAACGTAGTTAGCTAGCGCCCGACAAGACGCGACGTGGTGCGATCGTACTTGGATCATCTTGAGTCGCTTGGCTTCGAGTTGCTGCGTGCGCTCCTCCTGCGCGAGGCGGAACTTTTCGACTTCGTTCATGATCATACCTCCGCGCACTTGCTCCTTGACTAGTATATCGCCATGAGCGCTAATGGCGATCGCGATTCTACCTTCGGGCGCGTCGACGCTCACGAGGTCTCCCCACGACGCAATGTCATTGTTGTAGCCGCCATGAAGGGAGCTGCGCTCTTCGTAGAGGCGCTGGAGGATATCCGCCACGCGCTCGTTCTTCCGCTCCTCTTCGATGCGCAGCGCAATCGGGATCGCGTTCCAGTACTCGTCGAGCCGCGCCTGCGTCGTCGTGTCGACCTTGAGCAAAATGTTCTTCGAGTCGATCGAGAAGCCGTCGAGGAGCTTCAGCGCGCGAATGACGTCGAGGCCGCCGCTGAACGTGCAGTAGCCAAAGCCTTTCGGCTTGCCCGAGATTGGGTCCGTCGTGCGCTTCCAGGCCACGACCGTGCCCACGCGCTACGAGAGGCCACGCATCATGCTCCGAGATGGGGATGTCTATGGAGCCTACGTCCAGGAGGCCGCGGATGTAGTTGTCATGGAGGTCGGGCGGCAGCTTGCCGACGAAGACGTTGAGCGGGCCTGTCTCCGGTGGCATTCTAAGCGCGACAGCTCCAAGGTGCACGGCGCCAGGAGGAACCATACCCGACGTCGCCATGCTTCCACACAACCAAATCTGCCGGATACCCAGCCCACCCTCCGGATACGTGGCCTCGGATCTTGAAGAGACGCGTGCCAGACGATCGCCATCCGCACACCAGCGTGGCCTAGCGGCGCACTCGGCCGGTCTACGCTCTTGGCTCCAGAGCAAGCTACTCTCTCTACTGGTAGCTGCGAGCGTGGTTTTGCCCAGAGCCCGGAGCACGCATGTACTACTGCAACACACAAAACAACATGGTACGGGCCAACGTGGGCATGCATTGCGAAGTTGACGCAAGCGACGATTCGCTGCCTTACGCCGTCTTGTGCGCATCAGCGACGGTGGTCGGGGCTGGCGGCGCGGCGGCGGCGGCGCGCGGGCTCGTCGGGTGGTGCTCGTGGATCTCCTTCTTGGTCTCTTCGACAGTCTGGTTCGCAACCGACATGAGCGACGAGAAGAAGCTGTTGATCTTCTGGACGCCGTCCGAGACCGTCTTGTTCTCCATCGCCTTCTTGGCGAGCGCGTCCGCGGCCGAGACCGCCGTGGCCGCCGCCTCGGACGCCTTTTGCGACACTTGGTACTTGGCGTCGAGCTCGTGCGCCTTCTTGCCGACTACAGCACGCGATGCAATGAGATACTTGTAGGCCTCTCGACGACGCTGTACCGGTCGCGATCTTCTCCGAGACGTGGAACTGCGCATCAAGCTCCGCAGCCTTCATCTTGGCCACTTCGGCGCCGCTCTTGACCTGCAGCGAGATCTTGTGCTCCTCTACGCAACCGATATAAGCACGCTGCAACGCCATACGCCGAGGTACCGTCAAAGCGTTGGACGTGCGTCAAGCCGGCCGCGCCGACCGAGTAGCCGCCAGCAAGGAACTTGGCAACGCTGTTGACACCTAGGACATGACATACTGTAGTACGGGTGGGATGGGGGCCGCCGCGTACCCGAGCTCGCCTTCTTCGAGGGCGACGACGGCGGCAGCGCGCCGGCCGAGATGACCGAGATGTGGCCGTTGAGCACGGCCGCCCCGTCGTGCTGGAGCGACGCGGCCGCCGCTTCCGGCGTCGCAAACACCAGCACCGCATGTTGCAGCGTCTCGCCATCGCTACAGGTAATAACATGTGTAAAGGTCAGGATCGTAGCGAGGGGCATACGCTTGGAGGATCGTGCGCTTGACCGCGCCGCAGGACGCAAAGACGGCAACGAGCGCTTGCTCCGTCACGGTCTACACCCCCCGCGTTGGCCAAGATACCAGAGGTAGGAGATACCTTCTCGGCCATCGGGATGTTGGTGACGACGATCGTGCTTGCGACTTCGTCCTCCGTGACGCTCGAGTCGTCGACGGGCTTGGGCCTAAACACATGCATGAGATCCAAGTGCAACGATAGCTCGTCGTACGCCTTGAGGTAGACGGTCGCGCCATTCGTAATGCCCAGCGCCGAGATGGCGCCGACGTGCTTGTTGACGGCCGTGCCCTCTGTACAGTAAGTGCATGAGCCACTCCTCCATGAGCAGCATAGCATGGCGTCTACCAGGGAATTCGACGACGGGCTCGACCAAGTCGATGGTCGTGCGCACGCTGGCGGCTACCTGCAGCAGCTCCGCGATCGTCGAGTCGGCTTCGAGCTCGATCTCAACAGGCGCCTTGGCCTCCTCCTTCATGATGACCTTGATCATGATGCTCTTCTCGGTTCTTGTCGAAATGTGTTCTGGTCGTAGCCCGTCTAACCACACGCAACTTTTCTTTGACCACCATCACTCTGCTACACTCGAATTTTGTATAGACTAGCTTCGAGCCAACGGCAGCGCCACGTCAGCGACCAAGCTTCGCCACGTCGAGAACAAGGTGCTGCGTCGCTGCATCAGTGCGTTGCTACTTGTTGATGCTATAGCCGTTGGACACACCTGGGACCAAGGCTTGATAGACGCGCAGGTAGGTCGCTGCAGTGGCCTCAAGGGAGCAGCGAGGCTTGGCACTCACTGGATGCACGGGTGCGTCCAGACCCAACCTTGGGTGGGCTCGGTTTCGCCCGGAAGCATCTTGGTCATGGTCGACTTGCCGGCGCCGTTGACTCCGATGACTGCAAGCGCCCAACTGCGCTGCTGGGTCAGACTGCTTTGGCCTTGACCTTGGACCCAGACGACATGTGTCTCTATCCGGACTGGCGTGCGAACGTCCGGATAAAGATCGAAGGTTCTGTAGATTTTGCCAAAGGTCACGCTGTGACCATATCTCGGGTGGGATGGCAACGTCCGTGGGGCCGCTCCCGCTCGCCGTACTCTATGGCCGCTGCATGGACTTCCTCACGGTCAAGGAGCGCTGGCAGAGCGTCGCGCTCGTCTCGCATGCATGGCGCGTCGTGGCCATGGCCTCGGTCAAGGCCCACAAGCACGTGGACTTTGTACGTCCATGGAGCGCCGACGAGTCACCTCAATGGCATATGTAGACGTGGTGCCGTGGCGAAGATCAGCTGGAGCACGCCGTATGTGCTTCCATCGATGGCCACGGAGACGCTGATGAAAGCTCTGTAGGTGGCGACCCTCCTGGACGACGTGTCGCACAATGCATTCGCCGCCGAGCTTCTCTCGGAGCATGTCAACCGCGTCCAACTGCAAAGCGTCGTCTTGTACGGCCCACGAGTGACACCGCAGCTCCTCTCGCGCCTTCTACAGGGCGTGACGCCGCGCCAGCTCGAGCGCATCAGCATCGAGAGCAAGTGGCTCGACGCTGCAGGCTTCGTGACGCTTGCCCAGTGCCACAGCCTCTTGCAGCTCCGCCTCAACTGCATCAAGCTCTCGGACGCTGGTACGTTGCGCCGTGTCTTGTACGCGTTGGCGAGGTTGTTTGTGTAGAGCTCGTACAGATTGCGACGGGGTGTCCGAACCTGGAGCTCGTGGACCTCGCTGGCTGCTCACGCATTGGCGACGACGGCATTGCAGCGCTCGCGCGCCACTGTACCAACCTGCAAGAGCTCGACGTCTCCATGTGCATTCGGGTGACGGACGCAGGCTTTGTTGCGTTGGCGCACCGACCGCCCACGTTGCGCCGCCTCGCCGCCAACAAGTGTCTCAAGGTACTTTTCTTTCAACTTGATACTTCCATAGTACATCGCAAGTAGATCACGGAGGCATCGCTGGCTCTCGTCGTGCACGCACAGACGCAGCTTGAATCGCTTTCGGTCGGCAACTGCCCGAAGGTCCGCGATCTCTTTCTCGCTACGCTGCGTACGCCAACTATCAACGTTTCAAGTTGAAATAAGCCCACGCGCGTAGGCCCCGAGACGCCGCTCACGTCGCTCGTGCTCAGCGGCTGCGCCAGCATTTCGGACGCGCCGCTCATGCCGACGGCGCCGCAAGGCTGCTTGAGCAGCTTCTTCCAGTCGCACGGCGTGAGGCTACGGCAGCTGGACCTGACGGGCCTCGGTCAGCTCACGTCCGAGACATTTCAGCGCATCTCGCTCTGCTCTGGCCTGACGCACCTCGTGCTGGCCATGTGTCGGAGCGTCACGGACGCCGACGTCGCCGTGATTGCCGCCGGGTGTCCGCAGCTGCAAGTGCTGTCGCTGCACGGCTGTGTGCTCGTGACCGACAAGGCGCTCGTGGCGGTCGCGTCCCACTGCAAATTGCTGCGCGACGCCTCCTTTGTCTTTTGCTACAATGTGACGGACGTCGGGTTCGTCGCGCTGGTCCGGAGCTGCGTCCATCTCACGCATCTCAACGTCAAGGCGTGCAACCTCCTCACCGAGCTCTCGTTCACGGCTCTCGCCCAGCGCGTCGGCGCCGCCTTTCGGAAGCTCGTCATTGGCGCGTGTGCGAGTTTGGCGACAACCGCCACGTACGCAGCGCTCGTCAAGCAAGGCCACCCCGCCTGCATGGTCATGTGGACATGATAATGATCTGTACCTTCGTATACTTATATTAACCGACTGCACTGTATTCCCACTCTTGTCCGAGCCATAGCTAGTCTGCACGCGGACTCCTGTCGTGTTCTGTTGGTGTTCATGCAGTTGACGCAAAGGACGATTGCCAACGACGCTAGAGGAGCGACGTGGTAGAAACGCGGGTGCCACAGCCCCCTCTCGGCCCACCGCAGCAAGCATACTCTGCTCCAAAAGATCGACCAAGTTGACCAAACTTCAGTGGGACGATCTGAAGACGCGAGCTTCGTCGTGCCGCCTGTCTACTAACGGCCAGAATTGGTTGCCTAAATATACGCAAGCTCGAAATATCACGGGTGACTCGATCGCGACACCGTCAACAAGGTCCATGCAACCGCGGCCACTTCCGGCGCAGTCGAGCAAGGTCGCCCTCGACACGCTCCACGAACACGACGCGGATGACAAGTCCAAGAGCAGCATTCCGCCGATCGCGGTGCCGTTCCTGACGCACCAAGACGGTCGTCACTCGTCCTTCTTCGAGACCAACAGTGTGCACAAGACGACCGACGCGTGCGGCCAAAAGCAGCTCAACCAATAGTACGTGCGGTGGGTGTACTCGAGTGCTGGCTTCAATTTTGGTCAACTAGCATTCTCTACGACGTGATTGGGAAAGGCGCGTACGGCAAGGTGCGCAAGGCTTTTTGGCCCGAGAAGAATCGCTACTTTGCCGTCAAAATCATCCACAAAAAGGTTCAAACCCGTTCTCGTGCTGCGATATTATTATTGTGTGTTTGGGTCGCTAGAAGGCCAAGAAAATGATGCTGCGCGGCCCCCGCGCGCCTCGAAGCGACGGCCTCGATCACATTCGCAAGGAGTTTGCGATTTGGAAAAAGCTCCACCACCCCAACATTGTGCGCCTGCGCGAAGTCATTGACGCCCCGGGTGCGTCGCGCGCGCTCTCCTAGTACGCCGTGTGGACACGATAGTGCGTAGAGGCCGAGAAGATTTACTTGGTGAGCGAACTCATCGAGGGCAAGTCCATCATTGACGGCGAAGCGTACTAAATCCATGACAAAAGTTGGTAGTACACTGATGATGCCTGACTAGACGCTGCACGCCGTTGCGCGAAGACGTTGCAAGAGACTGCTTTTGTCAGCTCGTGCGTTCGTGCATTGGCGACACCGCGGCGCTGATGCTATCGAGAATGCGTAGATTGAAGGCCTGGATTTTCTCCATTTCCACAAAGTAGTCGACCAAATGACGCGGCAGCGTCACATGCGCGAATGTAGATCATCCATCGCGACATCAAGCCCGGCAACCTCCTGTACAGCGCCGACGGGGTTGTCAAGATCACCGACTTTGGCCAGTCCCAGGTACGGGCGTCCGACTTAGCACACTGGGTCGCAGCGTGCGCCTAGGTCATTGAAGACGAAGACGACTGCTTTCGCCAAACCGTCGGCACGGGCCCGTTCCTAGGTACTCCGCAGCTCTAGACGTCGCGCCTTATACGGGGTGTAGCACCCGAGATGCTCACGGGCGACGAGTACAAGGGCCTCGTACGTCTTGGGTTGTCGTCGATGTTGCTTCATGATGGGAGTCTAGCCGATCGACGTGTGGGCGTGCGGCGTCACCCTCTATCTATTTATCTACGGCCACTTGCCGTTCGAGGCCGAGACGCCGCAGCTCCTCTACGACAAGATCAAGGTGCGTCATTCGTGGCGTGCGCTGCATCGACTCAGTTGAGAATGCCAGAACGACCCGATCGTATTTGCGTCGCATGTCCATGGAGCACGTGTGAACCCAGACCTGATTGATCTTCTTCGAGGGGTCTGCCAGTTCGTTCTCTCGTCCGTCTCTCACGACAAGTGCTGTAGATTTTGAACAAGGACCCGGCCGAGCGTCTGACAACCCAAGACATTCGGGTATCATCGGTGGCGTGAATGCAATGCGAACTCGGCGTTGCTACATAGACCCACCCGTGGCTTGCGTCGTCGTTTCAGACCAAGTATCCCAGCAGCGAACGCCACTTGATCACACTCACACCAGCGTGCGTCGAGTCGGCCATCACGCCGCTGCAGCTCTACAGGCGCCTCAAACGCAAGACCAAGCTACTCATCGCTGCCAAGTACGCACTTCCAGCAGCGATATGGTCTCATTCGACGTAGCAATCTCACGGGGTCGTCGCGACACTTGCCATTTCTGCGACAACCGTCGACGCAGCGCCACATCCAAGAGGACGCCGTCCACCACGCTGTTCCGACGGCGCTGCGCAGGCAATCAGACAACTTGGCACCTACCACTGCGCAGAGTCTTTCGGGTCGGCGGTCGCTCACGGCGCGCCGCCTCGACGTCGGCCAAGAGCTCACCGAGTTGCGCTTCGACTCCCTAAATCGACCATAGCACCGTAACCAACAGGACATGCGGTAGCATCCTCGTGTTATGAGTTGGTGGCACTTTGCCGCAGACGCAGCTTGGGAGGCGACAGCTGTATGACCTTGCTGATCTTGTCCGTCTACAGCAGACAGCTGTAGGAAGGCTGCATCGTCATATAGACGTACGATGGACTCTCGTGCGGGCGGCACAAATGGCACGTACGCAGGTCGTGGCGGCTCGCGGCTCTGGATCACCTCGGCGGCTTCCTATGTTCTCATCAAGATCTCAGTGAAGTCGGCAGTGTTTTGGACCTTGAGCCCGAGTTTGCCGCCAAGCGGCGTCACCGGCATGTCGGTGGACGGTGTCGTCTCAAAGAACTCGCACACTTCGCACTTGCGCGTGGCGCGGCACAGCCGACACGGTACCTTGCTCAATGGCTCGCCCCGACCATACCTAACGGCACAGGTGAGTGGAATGTCCTGGCATCGAGCGTACAGGTGGAAGCACTTGACGTAGGCTTCGTACTGCCGCAGAATCATAGCGTTGTCCGGGTCGGCTTGGACCGCCTTGATGTAGTGGTCGTGCAGCACGCTAATCAGCCGTCACTTTCATCTCCACGGACAGAAACGGACGCACGTCGATTTGGCGATCGGGCGCATGACGACGAGCGTCACGTTCTTGGCGCAGTGCACGGACGACACTTGACCCACGTAGTTGAGTGCGTGATAGACTCCAAAGACTTCGACCTGAACATTTACATGAGGAAATACGCGGGCTCAGGGGCTTCAACCTCGGCCAAGTGCATGTAGGCGCGACCACGGACATGAATGCGAACATATCTACCAGCATCATACGCGTCGTTGTATCCCAAACAACAACAAAACATTACCGGCCAACCGACTCGGACGTCGGAAGAATCCACTGGGTCAAGCGCTGGTTCTGCGTAAACTCCTTGGCTTCGTTCGAGAGGTCGCGGCCAGTCTTGAGTCTGCGGCGACGATTCGGACACCACTTCCGTGTCCATCATAACGTACACTTCTTTGCCGCTGCCGTCGGGCAATGGCATTTCGCTCACGAGGATCCAAAATGGAAAGAGTCGGCGGGTGTACTCGTCTCTCGGGTGCGAAATATCAATCGGCTCGTCCGTCCGATTCCAGACCTACGCGTTTTCAGATTCAAATCCAGATACTCAAGAGTACCTGAATGCGGCTAATCACACAAGGCTGGCCCAAGTCGACTTCCCACCACGGACAGTCGTCATACTACGCAGAGTCAGACGCGGTCCGATGCATGCGCCAACGGACTTGCGTGTGCGTGCAGGCGTGGAGACGACCACTGCGGTTGCCGTTCACGGCACAGTTGGCACTCTGCTCGTTCAAAACACTGCTTTGTCGACAGCGCTTGTGCAGAGCGAGGTTGAAAGGCGCCGTGTGGAACGCACGAAGCAGCTCCGGCTCAGGGACGACGCGCCGCTACACGATTCCTTGGAGCTGCGGATACCATCAACACAGGAGGCGTCCCAACCTCCTCAGGGTGGCCCGTGCACGCCTTGGCGTTCTGACCCCACGTGTAGAGCTCGCCGTCCATCGACACCGCGGCCGTGTGCCCAAACCCGCACGCAACTTGGCGTATGGGCGTGCCGCGGATCGACTGGAGCAACGACCACGACGGAGTGTACTGCATGAGCGGCCCGGCGCTCCCGCAGACGTAAATGTCGCCGCCTAGCCGCGATCCGTTCGTGATCGAATAAAGACGACGGTACCCGAAATGGTCTCGACGCTCGCAGCGATCTCGGAGCAAATCTCCGTGCACAACGCCGAGTGGGTGTTGCCGCACGACACCTACGTCCAGAGGAAGTCACGTGCGTCGCTGGCGGTTGCATACCTGTGCGACGCGGACGTGGGCGAGCGCCTTGACGTACGTTGGCACGACGACTTGGTCGAGAACACGTTCGCCAAAGCCGAGGCGCCCGCCGTTCGCACAGCCCCACATAAAGAGCTCGCCGAGCGTGCTCACGGCGCCAGTGTGCGCGCGGCCGCACGATACTTGACTACACGTAGCATATCGTTTGCATGGCGTGTCGGGATGGGATTCGCACCGGATGCGACGTTGATTGGGAATCTTGACGAGCATCGGGTAGAGTGCAAACTGCTCGTACTTGTCGTCCAAGGCACCAATACCGAGCTTACCGGTGGCCGCCGAGCCCAAACGTACACATGGCCATCGACGCTGATGGCGGCGCTGTGGTCGAACGCGCACGCCACCTCTTTTACAAAGACGGACTAATCCAGTCTTTGGATTTGGACGCTGGATTCGATGTATGTCAACATACTTGGAGGGCGAGAACGCGCGTCGGGTGGTCCGCATCCGAGTTAACGACACCCTCGAGGTTCTTTCCGTGGCCGAGACGACCGTGAATACCGACGCCCCATGTATATAGCGCGCTATCTCGGCCATCAAGACAGGTAGAGAACGACGAGGCAGTACCCGGCGTGCGTCACAACACACGCGTACGACTCGCCGGCAGCCAAGCGCCACGCTGCCTACAATGGACCTACGTTGGCGCGGGTGATGTGACCAGACGCACCGGCGCGCCGCGGTTGGCGTGCAAAGGGGGGCCACTAATGCCGCACGATAACGACGAGCAGTGTTGACGAGAAAGCATCTACCGCGACGTGACGCCGTTGAGATCCACAACGAGCGACGTGTGGCGGGGCGTGTACTCGGGCACCACGTCTTCGAGTTGGATGCGGTGGTGGGCTACCGACGCTTCAAATGCCGCTTCCTGCGCTCTTGCTCAGCACTTGAACGGAAATGACATTGTCTCTACCCGACGAAGGGCAAAGTCGAGGTTGGCGCGCTTCTCTTCTTCAATGCGCAGCTCATGGAGGCGCGCCTGTTGCTGCCGGTACAGCGCATACTAGGCAGCATTGCAGTCGATATCGGTGGAGGTATCTCGTACGTCTTCGAGCAGCTTGGCCTTGTCCAGAACCTACGGCTAGTGTGAAGGTCCCGTCTGCGCTTTCGAGAGCGTACAAGCTGCGCGGCTTGCTTGGGCTTGAGCTGGACTTTCTCGGCTTCCTACAAACGCCTTGACGACACACAAAGTCTTTGGTACCGACCCACTTGAATTTGAAAATCCGACTCCATAAAGACCCGGCGCTGCTCTTCGCTGCACAGCTCGTGCTACGCAGTGTGAGCACGTGCTTAATCGTCGAGCGAATCCACCTCGATGTCCAAGCAGTCGCTAAAGAGGTCGATCATCTCGAGCTTCGTGACACGATCAATGGTAAATCCGCGGTTCTACAAACATGTTATTTGCTGCAAGTCGGCCGGCGACAGTACGTACCATTAGCGAGGCCTTGACTTCGGCGATGCTAATCTTGGGCAAGAGCACTTGATGCAAGAAGACTACCCGCGTCGACGCACTTGGCGGCGGCTCCCAATGACCAAAGTACACGACCACGCGCTTGTACCTAGATCAATCAATAGTATACGCTTGCACCTTGGTTGCGACGAATATGACGCACTTTTCATAGGCTTTAACCTCTTTTTCTTGGCGGTACTCTAGTTCGGCGGCGTTTTGGCGCTGGACTTCAACCTCAAGCGCGACGGCCGCCGCGACCTAGCATCCCGTGTTTTCACTCGCAACAGCACGTGGTCCGTACGTGCTTGGGGGAGGCCATTTTTTGCAGCTCCGAGCGCGCGGTGAGTTGCCGAGCGGCAGCAATGTCCTTTTCATGCTGCCGTCGCAGCGCCATCTCGTCGTCAAACCCATCATCGTCGTCGTCGTCGTTGCCATGGGTGTTGCGAGTCTCGGCCGCGAGCCCCTTCCACCACTTGTTTTGGCCGCCTACATGCGTGGAAAGGGGCTACCAGGACATCGAGAAAGCACCCCAGCAGTAGATTTGGCCCGACGCCGTCATGGCGTATGCAATGCTGTCGGTGATGGTTGCCTAGTGAAGAATAGGCCGGTTGTACATGCACGCATGTCTGTACGTGGGTAACTTGACGGCCCCAGAGCCAGCCCGTGTTGGGCATGGGGTGAATCGATTGGAAGCGCAGGCTGCGCACGTACTGTCGGTCGTCGAGAAATTTCGTCAAGAGCTCGTCGTCGGTCTCGAAGTCACTGACACTCGACTCGTCTGGTGTCTCGGTCGCCTCTTGCGGCTTGGGCTTCCAGAGCAACCGATCGAGCTTGGGTGGGCTACTGTCGACCCAGCCCGCGTTTTCGGGCCGCCGACGCACAAATGGGATCTTCTCAGGACTCGGCTTGCGCTCCGTTTTTGGCAGCGTCTTGGTTTCGCTGACTGCAGTGCTTGTGCTGTCTTTCGCGCGCGTTGGGTCGAGTGGCTTGAGTTTCACAACCGGTGGTACGTACGTCGGCTGGACGCGAGCTTCCCTACGGCACCACGCTCCACAACAAACGTGCATTGTATTTCCATACCAGATCGCACTGACGCTCTTGTAGCCGTCGTAAAGCAGCGGGTCGCGGGTCGCTGGGGCGCTCGTGAACTGATCTAGAGTTCGTTCTTGCTTGAGTACCATCTCGTTTCACGTATTTTCCTGGCGTACCATATTGGCCTGTGCCAAGGACGTACACTTGCCCCGCCGCGTCCAACGCCGCGGCGAGTTCGTCCTGCGCCCGCAACGTCGCCTTGGCCGCGAGGGTCGACCGGCGGATCTTCTCGAGCTGCCAATGGTGGTACCACTTGGCTTCCAAAAGCACTTGGGCCTCGTTGTGCTCTTCTTCGAGAAGCACGACTTCGAGCATCTGCATGAGCTTGGCGCGCGTCGCGTACTTTGGTATTTCGATCTTGCGCGCGCGAAGCTCGGCCTCGACGTCAATGCACTGGAGCCACATGGCGCGAAACTCTTCCAACTACAGCTGGCGCTGTGCACCAATCCGCGCGCAGGCCAAGGGACCACGTACGTCAATGTAGCCGCTCCTGTCCTTGTCGTACTTTCTAAAGAGCTTTTCCTGCTTGGCGTCGTCGGCGTTGATGTTGAAGTACTCGACCACGTCGGCAAACTCGAGCTCGTCGATCTGACCGCTGCCATTCTCGTCAAAGAGCGAGAAGGCGTCTTTCGGCGACAAGAGTGATGAGGGCGTGAACCTAACAACACGTTGTTATACCATGCGAGTCCATGGACGCGAAGGGATACTGGAGGGTGTTTCCCGACGTCGGGTCCACGGCGAAGAGCGCCATCTTGAACTCTTCCAAGTCGATCTCGCCACTGCCGTCCTTGTCGCAGGCGCGGAAGATGCGCAGACCCTTGGGCTTGCTCACGGTGATGTTCAATTGCGGCAGCTACGACACGCCTCGTCATGCGAGCGTGCAAGTCGATGGAAGATCTACCATGGCGAGGAACTCGTCGGCCGAGATAAGACCCGATTGGTCTTCGTCAAACTTCTTGAAGAGCTCTTCGGGTGACATCTACACGAGGACGATGAGAGGCAAGAGAAGGTACATGGACATGCACCTTGGAGAGGAGGAGCGCGACGTTGCGCTTGTTGTACTCTTCCTGCGTCGCCTCGGACACCTTGTCCATCTCCTTGCGATCATACCGCTCGAGCGCAGCCTCGTCGTCGCTCTCGTCGCTGTCCGCACCAAACATGTCGAGGTTCGCCGCCTCCATGGTCGCCTCGCCCGGCGTCTTGGGCGTCGCCAGCTCCGACGGCTTCGTCGGCGAGGGCTTCCCGGCGGCCTTGGTCGTCGCCGACGCTTCGACGGCCACCTTGCTCGGGGAGATGGACCCGCGGAAGAACCCGACCATCGTCTCCTCGTGCCAACTGTGCCAGTTACACTGCATGATTAAATTCGGCACATGCCGAATTCCAGATGGATCCGGACTTGTATCCGGATACCTTGCGACGATATGCTGCTGCTGCGAGCATTCCTGCTGGCGATCGCCGGCGTCGCCGCGAGCGTCCACGTCCTTGGAGATGCGAGCTTTGGCGCCGCCGTGGAAGACTCGTCCGACGCATGGCTCGTCGACTTTTACGCGGTACGCCACCCTGGCCTGCCACGTCAGAGGTGTCATCTAGCGGTAGCCGTGGTGCCACTCGTGCCAGCTCCTCGACCCGGTCCTCGTCGACGCCGCCGACGCCACGGACGGCCTCTTGCGCATCGGTGCGAACACGCATGTGTGCTGATGGCGTTGCTCATGCCTCCTCCAGGCAAAGTCGATGTTACCGTGAACCCGCGCCTTGAAGCCCAGTTTGCAATCGAGCGGTACCCGACGCTGCTCGTGCGCGACCCCAGCGGCGCCTGGAGCCCGTACAAGGGCGAACGCTCGGTGGACGCTTTCTTGGCGCTTGGCCGACGCGTTTCGGGGACGCCCGTGAAGACGGTTGCGACGGCTGCCGACGTCGACGCGCTTCTCACCACCGAAGCGTCGGTGCTAGTCTTTCTCCATGTACTCGACGCGATCGCTGTCCACGCCGCCTACTTACATTGCACATGACATATGTAGGCGTCGGACGCCGTCGGTGCCAAGCTGCAACCAGCGTACTACAGCGCTGCGACGGCCCTCCGCGGCCAGCACGTACACGTCGCTCCTTCATCTTGGTTGCCTCTGCACCTGCCACATAGCTTTTTCTCGAGCTGCGCGACTCGACCTCTCTCGCTAGCTCCCCCTACTTCTCTACGTACCTTTGCCACCAGATTGTATCAAGTTTGTATCAACTGCATCGACGTAGACTGCCCTCGACGGGGTCGTTTGTGGCGCGTGTCGACGCGACGGGCGACGTGGCATTGTACGATTCCACGACACTGGCCTTGAAGACGGTACCATGCACACTATTGTCTACCATACGAACAATAGTGTCCATCGTCGCCGCGACCTCACACTCGGATCTTAGTGGCTGCAAAAGCACGGCCATCCCAAGTTTGTGGCGCTTGGGCGGGAGAACCTCATGGCGATCGGGAAGGCCCATGCGCTTCTCGTGGTTGCGTGCGTCGAGGATGCGACCGACGCGAGCTTTCTGCACCTCGTGTCGAAAGTCGCGTCGCAGACGACCGCCGACATTGCGTTCGGGTACCTCGAGGCGACCAAGGTTCGCGCCTACCTCAAGCGCTTCTACGTCGCGACGTTCCCAACGTACTTTGTCTGGAACATGCACGTACGGTTCTAGGCGTCGTAAGGGCAGAGGAGACAACGTCTTGGCTAGACCAACGTGTTTTACGAAGCGCCGAGCGGCGCCATCACGCCCGAGAGCCTTCACGCGCACCTCGCCCGCATTGCGTCGGGTATGACGCGCGATCATCGACATTTCCTGCGAGTCGAATTTATATCTATGTATGTATAGGCGCGGAGAAGGGCATTGCACTGGGTCTCACTGGGTACCCGTACCACGCGTACCGCTTCGTCGTTGACGCCGGCCTCGACGTGGTTGTCGGCGTTGCGCTCATCGTGCTTGCTGCAGCCGCAGCGTGGCACCGCGCGCGCGCCAAAGAAGATGCGCGCATGCGGGCGGAAGCCCTCGCTGCGTACGAGCGGCTTAAAAAGGAGGCCTAGTCGCCTGGCCTCGATAGCCCTAATCTCGATTTTAACCTACCCCTTGGGCATCTAAAGGTGTTCTTACTTGGTCGTCTCGCTCGACGACATCGACGACTTAGGAGGTACCGGCACCAATACCACATCAGTCGTCGAGCATTCGTAGAGGCACCGGCTGCCCCTTTTTCGATGGCGGGAAGAGCTCAATTCGCGCAAAAGTGGTTGGAGCCAGCCCTCAGTGGGGTCCATTGTGACAACCCTTGGGAAAGGACAGGTCACCAAGCCCTTTGCCGATGTAATGTGCTCCAATAGCAAACAGTATACTATCTCAAAGTGTTGACACCTGTATTTTCGCGAAACGAGTGAGCACTGGGACACGACGGCGACGACCGTTGGCGATGTCGCCGTTGGAGTTGTTCGGATCATGCGTGCATCAAAGCTTGCCGTCATCCGGATTCAGAAATCGAATCCTGCAGGCGCTGCTGCCAGTGCCATTCTTCAACAAGCCATGGCGGTGACGGACGACGCCAAGAAGACGCGCCAGCGCATTGCCGACAAGAAATACAAGGCTGCGAACAAGAACAAGATTGCGACCAAGGACAAGACGTACCGCGCTGCCAACGCAGAAAAAGAGCGGGCCCGACTGAAGAAGTACTACAATGCCAACAAGGAGAAGGTGCGGGCGAAGCAGAAGGAATACAAGCAAAAGAACAAGAACGTCCGCCGGGCCAAGGACGAGTCGTGGCGCATGGCGAATCGGGCGCACCTAGCTGCATACAAACGAGCTCGGTACGATGCCCTTGCGATCAAACCGAGTGGTTTTCTCATGTCTTCAGCTAGTTACGCGCGAAAGAAGGCGATTGCGGCCGGCGAGGTCCCGCCCCCAATGCCCAAAATCGCTGATTTTCGAGCGCATCACGACGCCTCTGGCAGCGTCGCTCCGGCTGCGTCGATGGATGCGGCCCCAGACGACCTCCCTGACGAAGACGTCCCCCACCCCTTGGCCGCCACCACGAAGAAGGTTGTCATGGTCAGCTTCACGGATGAAAATCCGTTCAACATGCGCAAGCGTGGACCCGAGCCGTGCTGCGACGAGTGTGCGCTCTTCCAGCCGAATGCGCTCACGTCGTCCACCAACACGGTGCTCTTGGCAGGCACGTACATGTGTACGTTCTGCCGCGACTGGACCTACTACCGTCTCCACCGCAAGCACAAGCGCACCCGCGCCGACGCCCGCCTCGACGCTCTTACGGCTTGAGCTTTCCATCTCTTTCTATTTTACATAATGAAGTGTGTTGAAGTGTTTTCTCGTCTAACTAGATACCGGTATGCCACTGCTTTGTACGTGCATTCCGTTCTATCGGCGTCAAGTCGTGTCCAAGCACTATCCACATCAGTGCCCGTGTCCGTGTGTAAAGGCGATCGAACGCCCAAGGCCCAACGCCCAAGACCCAACGCCTATACAGTAACGAAGCCTGTCAGTGCTGCAACGGATCCGAGGAACCGTGTTGGTTAACATGGTGTGCTCCTCAGGCCCAAGAAGCATGCAACATTCAATCGCAAGCACTGGCGCGGTATACACATGTACAAGGTCGCTTGAAACTACCTGGGTTTGGCGCCAAATCGAGGATCATATCCGGACGGCCAAACATCGTCCGGTTGGTAGCCAATCATATCGCAGAAAGTGGCGGTTACATGAAAAGTCCGCGAGATCGCGAGTTTGCAATCGTCCAGCTCATTCTCCAATTCGACCGGTCAAGCACACGAGAGCCATGGCATTGAAGAAGACACGGACGCCCGCTGCCAAGCGCGGCTTGTCGTCGGTCCAGGGAGCTCCAGACACGGCGACGGCCAAGCGGACCGAAGCCGGCGCCGTCCGGACGCAGCCACCGCCGACGGACGCCGGCGACAGCGAAGACGACGGCAGCGACGACGACGACGATAGTACCGGTAGCAGCGACGGCTACGACTACGAAGTGCATCCGATTCTGGCGGAGCTCTTGTCGATGGAGCTGCCGCCGCCGGGCTCCCACATTGGCATGGGCCAGCGCGTTCTCATGGCCGAAATTGCCGGATTCACGGCGCATCTGGACGACGACTGGAAGCAGGTGCCCACCGAGATGAAGAGCCGCAAGCGCTTTCAAGACGCGCGGGGCAGCCAAGTCTTGGAGCGGTACCACGCCAATTGATATTCTATTGAACTTTCCATGCGTGTCTTCTTGGTGCTGAAGGATGTCCTCGACTGCGATTCAACTGCACGTCTGGTTAAAACACGAACGTCCTTTTAGGTATTTATTGGTACAAGGGTTGATAGCTGGTTGATACGTAGTCGATACTGGTCTACCACGCAACGTCGACGGCCTTGGCGGTCGACCCGCACTCGGACGTGGCCGACGTCGCGCAGGCGCTCGCACCGTCGTCGTCGGATGAGTCGACGGCGACGCGGAAGAGGCGGTTGCCAAACTTGCGGTAGAGGGGCATGATGCCGCCGCCGGCCAAAAGGCGCTCTTCGAAGAGCGACATGTTGAAGCGAAACACTTGGTCGCCGACGTGGATCGTGCGGCCCTTCATCTCGATGCGAATCGGCGTCTCGGGTTGCACGGCCGCGTAGAAGGCTTCGTCCGTCACTTGGATGCCGACGAGCGCAAAGTTCTGGACGTTCCGAGAGAAAATGTACCCAAACGACTTGGCAATGACCGCGTCGACGCCCGCGCCCTTGAGCGCCGTCACCGCCTGCTCGCGCGACGACCCGCAGCCAAAGCCGTGGCCGGCGACCACGATCGTCTGCCCTTGCTTGACCTTCTCGCGGAAGTCCGGGTTCGTGTGCAAGAACGCGACTTTGCCGAGCGCGTCCATGTCGTTCTCGCAGAGGTACTCGCCTGGAAGAATCGCATCCGTGTCAATGTTGTCCCCAAACACCTGCGCGCGGCCGGTGAGGACCGTCGGGAGCCCCGAGAGATCGACAGCGCCGTCGTTCGACGCTTCGGCCGCGTCCGACGTCGGGAGCTCCGGCGACGGTTCGGCGGCCACGATCGGCGGCAGCGGCGTCGACTTGGGCAAGTACGACTGGAACCGGGCTTGGTCGATCTTGGCCAAGAACGGCGTCGCGTCCGTAATCGTCATGCTGAAGCTCGAGGCCGCCACCGTGACCGCCGACGCGAGGTGCGCGATAGAGCCCTTCCCCATGCGGTTGCGGTAGTTGCGGTTCTGCGAGCTGAGCCAGACCTCGCCTTCCTTGGCCACGTCGGCCGCGATCGCGAGGCAGAACGAGCACCCGGGCGCGCCGACCGTAAAGCCCGCGCGCTCGTAAATCTCGAGGAGGCCGCACGCGCGGAGGTGGTCGACGATGATCTGACTGCCGGGCGTCACGCGGCGGTGGCCGTGGCTCGCCGGTACGAGACCCGCGTTGAGGCATTGCTCGAGCACGAGGGCACCAAGGATAAGGTCTTCCTCGGCCGTCGTGCACGCACCGATGAAGCAGCCGTGGAGTGGCGTACCCGCGACGTCAGCGACCGGCTGCACGTTGTCGGGCGACGGGAAGAGCGCGACCTGCGGCGTGAGGTTGGCGAGGTCGATCTGGAACACCTCGGCGTACTTGGCGTCCGGGTCGGCGCGGAAGTAGAGCGCGTCGTTGTTGTGCGACTCGCGCGTCGCAATGTATGCCTGCGTGCGCTCGTCGGCGGGGAAGACGCCGGCGATCCCGCCAAACTCGGCCGTCATGTTGGCGATCGCAAAGCGCGCGTCGCAGGAGAGCGGCGCAATGTTGCCGGTCCACTCGACGCAGCGCCCGATCGCGACCGTGTTGCACTTGAGCTGGCCGAGCGTGTAGAGCATCACGTCCTTCCCGCCAAGGCCAAAGGATGGCGCGTTCACAAACTCAATCTTGACCGTCTCGGGCACTTGGATCCACGTCTCGCCCGTCACGAGGGGCATGACGACGTCGGCGGCCCCGAGGCCGATCGCAAATGCGCCGAGACCACCGGTCGAGCAGCTGTGGCTGTCGGCGCCGACAACGACTTGGCCGGGCTGCGCGCGCTGGCGGTAAAACTCGGTGTGGAGGATCGTCGTGTTGGGCGGCTGGAAGTTGGTGAGGTTGGCCTCCTTCGCAAAGTCCGTCGACGCCTTGATCATCATCTGCTGCTTCGGGAGGTGGTTCACGCGCGGGTCCACCGTGTGGTCGATCGCGAGCCAGAAGCGGTCGTTGCGCCAGATGCGCGGGCGGCCCATGTCCTGGTATGTCTTGTCCATCGACTTCCACGTGATCTCGCAGGCCAAGGTCCATTGCGCCTTGACGCAGATCATCTGGCCGGGCTCAATGAACGGCTTCTTGAGACCAACGGCTGAGTGCGTCAGGATCTTCTCGGGCAGCGTCATCGGGCGGCGGTTGTCCATCGCGGCCATGGTCTCCTGCGGCGGTGGTAAATTGGGAAATGCTACGAGCTATAAATGCGATCTTGCACGTGATTGCGCATTGCAGTACACGTCAAATAGTGTCATCTTGAAGTGGCATAGAAATATCAAGTTCTTTCTCTGCTTGCGCAAGCGATAAATTACACCAAATAGTGTATGTCTCCGAGGTACGACGCCATTTGGCGCGCGCGCAGGAATATTCTCTCGCTCGTCGCGCCGCCGGCAGAGGGCTTGATCCTGCATCGACGTGGTCTTCAACACGCAGCGGGTCGCGGCCTCGACGAGACCAGAAGCTAAAAAATGATTTTTAATTGAGAAAAATAGCGGTCTCGAGAATGGATTCCCAGCACCTTGGCTCTTCCAACTTCCAAGGGTCCCCAACAACACTAACTCTCCGTGCGATGCTGTCGATCGAGTCCTGTCGTCCTGCGACTATTGTTCGGCGCCATGCATAATAAAATGGTTGGCGACTTCCGTGCATGCGCAAGCTCATGCTGGACGAGCGGACGTTGACTTCACATGTAATGCGCAATCACACAGATGGTTGCCCTTGCCATCAACGAGCGGCGACGGCGGCTTTGTCGAGTACAGCTAGCGGCTGAACAGTAAGGCATGGGAGTAGCGCAATGGTTGTACCGGTACAGGTACCTTGTAGCGGTAGTACATAGCGCGAGTACCTTGTAGAGCGCCAGGTATTAGTCTCCGTCAGGCTCAAGAACATAGGAGGACTGTATTCTCCCGCGTACGAAGGCGTGGTTGCAGTAGTCCTTATGATTGATGGAGCATCGTCTGCAGGCGAGAGTCCATGAATTCAATTGAATGTATGTACATTTGGTCGCGGGTGCGCTCTTGAGCAGCCTATTGACGGTTCCTAGAGGCTCTGAGAACCCCGTCCGTCCGTGTCGTTGATCGTACACGTTGGCGTTTTCTTTGGCGCGTTGACCGTTTCGTAGCCATTGAACTTTTTACGCCAAGAGCAATTGCCATGGACGCCGACGAGGCGACCGTGCTCACCAACACGGTGCAGTGCATTTCGCGGGCGGCGAGCGCACACGCGCCTCGGCCGCAGCAGACGCCGGCGCCGCCGACACCCGGCGTCAAGCCACTATCAGGCATTGGTCTCAACACGCATCTTCGGGACCTGTTTTACTACCTCAACAAGAACGAGGTCATCTTTAGTCTCGGCAAGCACGTCGTCGTACAGAACGTCCATAACCAGCGCATGGCCTTCTTCGAGCCGCCGGGTGAGACGACCGAGAGCGTTGTCGCCGGCGACGTCTCGGCGCTCGGGCTCACGAGCAAGCGCAACTACTTGGCCGTCGCGCGCGGGTCGCCCTCGGTGCTCGCACGCTCCACGAGCACGATTGCCATCTACAGTCTCCGCGACCACAAGGCGGCGTCGGTACACTCACTGCGTTGAAATGGACCTGCACCTCAGGTGCGCGCACGTAGAGAATCGAGATGGAGGACGCGGTGCGGACACCCGTGCGCGTGATTACGTACCAGACGCACAGCTTCGTGTCGCTCGCGTTCTCAGCGAACGGCAAGTTCCTGCTCGGCCAAAGCTCGACCGCGAATTGGAGCTTCGTGCTCTGGGATTGGACGCGCGCGCGCAAAATCGCCGTGACCGAGGTCCACACGCGCGTGAGTCGTTCGTTGTGACGTCGTCGCGTCACACGGATTTGGTAGGTGACGCGCGTGCATTTCAACCCGATCGACTTTGCACAAATGTCGACGTCGGGCGGCATGCACCTCCGGCTCTGGAAGCTCGCAGAGCCCACGTGCCGCCAGTTTGCAACGTTCACAGCGCCCGTCAAGTACGTCGAGCACGCGTGGATCCCCAAGAGCGACGGGCTCGTCGCACTCCTCGAAAATGGCGACGTCCAGCACATCTACAACGGCGAGCTCGTCCGGACGCTTCCGTCGTTGCACCACGGCCACTACCTCTCGTCGCTTCAAGCATTCAAAACAGGTGGCGCGCATGCCGATTTGCATGTTGAACTATCGCAGTGGGCAACGTGCGTTGGATTCTAGTGTCGTGATTGCCGGCAACGACGGCTACATCTCGCTCCTCGACGTCGGCGAGGTTGAAACGAGCGGTGCGATCGCCGACCTCAGCCTCTCGCGTCGCATGCAGCTCGAGTCCCGGTCTCGACTTGATCCAGACGCGATGGATGATCGAACATGCATGTAGGGAGCCGATCCTTGCCATTGGCATCGACCCGACGGGCGCTGCGTTGATGGTGGTGACCCCGAGTCTCTACGGCGCGTACGAGCTCGCGAACCTCTGCCTCCTCCGCGGCGACGACGAGGTGCGCTTGACCCACTTGCACGAGACACTCATAAACGGGACTAGTCGATTGCGCTCGTGACCTATGCGCCGCTGCCCCGCCCCGTGGATCTCTCGACCATGACGACAGCGCTACGCCGGCACGTCTTTGCGACTCTCGGGCGGGCGGCGTCGGGCGGCCACGCCATCGCGCTGTACAGTCAAGACGGCACGCCAGGGCTTTTGCAGTACACGTTTCCCCACCTCGCGCCCAACGCCATTGCCGTGCACCCGTCCGGCTTTGAAGTGCTCGTGACCTTTAGGTGCGCGCACTCCACAACGCATGGCTAAATCCTCTTCTAGCGTCCAGCTGCAGGTGTACCATGTGCTCTTTGACACGTTCAAGATTGCGTTTGAAGTCGAAATTCGCCACGCGACGTCGGTCGCCTACAGCCGCGGCGGCAGCTTCTTTTGCGCGCTCGTCGAAGACCGGAGCATCTACGTCTATAGCAACTACGCCGGGTCCGAGCCATTGCTGCACTCGGTGTGCCGGGGTACCGACCACTCGTAGTGTTTCCGCCAACAACCAACACCTACGACGTAGGCAAGGACGTGATCTCGGCGTTCGCATGGGGCACGGACGAGACGCGGCTGTACGCAGGCGACGAGCGCGGCAACTTTAGCGAGTGGGCGCTCACCGATGCTGGGTTTGCGTCGACTCCGGCCGCGTTCCGCGACGACGAGCGGACGCGGGCGTACACTGCGATTGCAACGACCCACCGCGCAGGTTCATCTTTTGGTCGAGCGGCTTGGTGACGTCTTTTGATACATTGATACAGGGCACCGCGTGCTAGCAGCAGCCTTCCTCTCCGGCACGGGCGTGGCCGCGATTCACGTCTGGCCAACGCTCGACTTGACCGTAGTGCCCGACCGGACGCCAGAGCTCGATGCGAAGATCACAGCGCTCGAGTTTTGTGGCACCGCGCTCTGCGTCGGCCTTGCTTCCGGCACGCTGCACGTCTACTGGTGGTACAACGATCTCATTTTGGCGTGGCGGGATAAAGCATACTACGCGGTGGGATAGGGAAGACGGCTTGGCGGGGCCGCGGCTCGTCGCCCAGCCGCTCACATTCGACTTGACGGCGGCACCGCTCGTGTCGCTCCGAGCATGCAGCGCCGAGGGCCATCTCCTCGCGGCCAGTGCCGACGGATGCGTCTTCGAGACAGCGATCACGGTCGCGTCCACGCCCGAGCTGCAGGCGGCGACGTCGTCTTTGGTGCTACAAACGACATATACCGCGATCAACAGCTTTGTCACGGTCGTGCCCACAGACGACCTTTGTTTGGTGGAGCGCTGCAGCGTCACGGAGCGGCTCATGCATATCGCGGACCTCGAGACCGAAATGGACCAGCTCAAGATTGAAAAGGAGATTGTCAACAAACTCAACGCGGAGCAGCGCAGTCTCCTGGAGCGCGAGCGTCACGCCGACGTCCGCGCTGTGCGAACGGCGCTCGAAGCTCAGGTCCACGCGGCCCACGATGCGTTGACGCACGAGAAGCAAGAGGCCGAGACGCTCACGGCGGCGCTCAAGGAGACGCACGCCCGCGACACCAGTGCCATGCAAGCCATTCTGAGCACGCAAATCGAAACGCTGCACGACGTCGTCGCCCAGCTCGAACTCGACCTTATCAAGGCGCGGCAGAGCATCGACGACGCGACGTTTGCCGGCGACGAACGCGCGATGCAGCTGCGCAAGGCGCTGGAAGCAAGCCACGCAGGCGAATGCAACGGTCTCCGCGCTGAAATACATCGGCTCAACGACGCCTTGGCGCTCAAAACACGAGCGTACGACGAAGTGCTCTCGCAGCAGGACGACGACCACCTCTTCCACCTCGCCTCGCTCCAGGCAACGATCGAAGCCGAGAGAGGTCTTTTGTCGCCACTTGATAGGTTGATACTATCGGAGGCGTAGCGAATGGCGCGGCGGTGTCGGTCGCCGCGAAGGACACGACGTCGAACCTCCAGCAACAACTGCGCATGATGCTCAATGCGCTCGACATCAAGTCGGCCGACGTCGAGAAGCTCACGCGGGAAAAGCACGACTTGGCCGCGCACGTGGCGATGCTGCAAACCGAGCTGGCGGCGGAGCGCAAGCACGCGGTGAAAACGGCGGCCGACTGCAGTCTTCTCGAGACCCAAGTCATTGACCTCGTACGCGCATTCTTTTGTATCAATGTATCAAGTACGAACCTAGACACGGTCGTTGGACGGCCTCGAGCGCCTCAACAACATCCGCTTGTGCAAGCTCAAGACGATCAAGGACTCGCTCGCGGCCAAAGACGCGGCGAACGAAGCGATGCAGTCGTTCGTGGACGAGCTCCACCACGAAAACAGCAACGTGATCCGCGACGCGAATGCACTGGATGAGAAACAGAATCTCATGACGCGCAAACTGCGCTTTTACGAGCAAACCCTGGCGGCGCACAAGGCCAGCGTGGCCGACGCCAACGCGATCGTGCTGGCGTTTCGTCGGGACCTCGGGATTCTCATCGAAGACGAGCAGCGCGGGAAGCGGCTCAAGATCGATGCGATTGTCAAACTATACCACAAGTACGAGCCGTCGGCGCGGCATGTGACGCGCGAGCGCGGCACGGACGAAGCCATCATCCACGAGCTCACGCGCCAAAACAAGTGCGTCGAGGACCACCGGCGCAAGCTCCGGTCGCGCGTCGCGACCGTCGTCAGCGAGAAACACAAGCTCGCGACGCTCTTCTCGCAAGACAACCAGAAACTGCTCGAGGACGTCCACCGGTTAACGCGGGAGAACCACGAATTGAAGCGGCGACCAAAAAGCTGGCGCAGGTGCAGAAACCTCCGCCGCCCGTCGTCGGCGTCACCGACGACAACAACGACAACGACAACAATGTCCACGTCACCGATGTACCGATCGTCGTCGAACCCGCGACCGATGCGACGAGTCGCGTTTACATTCCGTGCGGTATTCACATTGGACCGCAGCCGGTCGTAGCGCAACCGTCGCCGATGGTTCGTCCGCTCATTCGCCCCAAGACAAGCAAGCCCAAGCGCGTGCCCCGGGTTGTCATGCACACGGACGCGACGCGCAAGCCGACGGGCGTCCGACCTCAGTCGGCGCTGCCGTCGTCGGTACACAAGCCATCGCGACTGTTTGCATAGCCGTCGAAAATACGACGCGGCCGTCTTTTGAACGTGTAGTTTTGGGCGGTGCCCAGCGTGGCGTCGGATCGCCATGCTGGGCCAGGTCGTGTTGAACGCGTCCACAATATCAAGTTGATTCAAGATCGATTACTCGGGAATTGACCAATCAAACTTGAGCGCTTGGAGCTCTTGGAGGTGCGGCGGAGTTAAGATCGCGCGGCCTTGCCGCAGGTCGTGCACGAGCCGTCCCAGCGGCACGCTGCCCGATACATACTCGAGTGGGACGTTCGAGTGCTCGTTCTCGCCAAAGTAGCGGTGTAGTTCTTCGAGACAGACACGCCACGGAAACACGTCGATAGGAATCGGCATCGGGGGGTAGGGGCCGCGAAGAGGTGCCGACATCGGGGCGAAATAACCACGGGGAGACATCGGTATCTGGGGAATGGGGCCGCGGGGGGGTGCCACCCACCCGTGAGCGAGTCTGCGCCGAACGGACGCCACCGGCTCCGCCTCGTTTTGGCGGCGGCGGACGCCAACGGGGATCGGCTGCACTGGCCCAGCGCCAATGACAGCACCTCTGTCACCGCTGTCGCGATCCATGGCAAGGTCCACATCCTCGTCATTGGGGCTGCAGAGGTTGATGACTCTAGCTGTAGCAAGATTGGGGTTGTAGCCGTTGGAGGCACGGATCGGATCGCTGTGTACGACGCGGCTACTGTCGAGGTCCTTGGCACCGCCTTTTGCCTTGGCGCCGCGGGCAGACGCCTTCGCGTTGGAGGCGGCCGTGGACGACGCCCGGTGCTTCGAATGCAGTGCGCCGCCCGCCGGCAAGGCGTCCCACTCGAAGCCAATCGCACCGAGTTGGGTCGCGACCGTCGATACGACATCGGCTGCAGTGAGGCGGCGCAACCAAAACGCGATGTCGCCGAGTTGGAGGCCGTGCAACGGCGCTGGCCAGACGGCGTCGGAGTTGACGGTAAACGCACGAGGCACCCGGAGATGGCCGTTTAGCGCCTTGAACATGGTGAGCGCCTGGAACTTGAGGGCCCACCGAGCTTGGCGGTCGAATCGCCGGGCGTCGAGAGTCGACTGCAGATGCTCAAACGCCCGTCCGACCTCGAGCTCGAGCAAAAACGCACCCACCGACACCGATCGCAGCACGACTGGACACGCCCGCGATATCGTGCCGAGGCGGGCCGATTCACTTGGGCGCGGCGTCGCCCGAAGCCACAAATCCAGCGCAACGAGGTGGTCTGATTGCTCGTTTGCGCTGGTGTCGGGCGCCAGACTTGCGGACGCTGCCGGCTGCGCGCCGCCCGACGGTCGCACGGCTACTGGTGACGGTTGTACGGTGTCCGGCGACGGTGCACTGGTAACGGTAGACGCTACATCGTCGGCGGTGGTCGCGGCTGGAACGATGGCGGGACGCGCCGAGTTCTCGCCGCTTGACACGGTGTCTGGCAGCGGTGCTTCGGCTCCGGTGGCGACGGCATCGACACCAGCGATGGTGTCGGGCGGCAGCAAGTACAGGTCTCTTGCCGTGTGCAAATACTGGACCCAGTACCCAAGACGCATGCCGTGCATGTCCTCCGGCCACGTGGCAATGCGAGGCACGAGGAAAGCCTCTGGCACGTCCGTCAAGCCATAGAGCGAGTGGTACGTGCGCAGCCCGTCGAGGATGTGAGCCCACGTCGCAGGCGTGTTGAACTCAAAGCCGATCGCCGCGAGCTGCTGCGTCTTGGCGTAGTCGAGGTGCTTGATCAGCGCACCGAGAGACCACGCGAGCTCGCCCAGCGGGGCGCCGCTCCATTGCGTCGACCACTCCGACGGCACAACAAAGTCCAGTGGCACGGTCGTCTTGCCATCGGATGTGAGCCGAGAGATGAGTTGCACAAAGGCTTCAAAGGGCGGAACGTCGGTGAAGAGACCCAAGGCTCGGACGCACGCGTCTTCGTTGGGCCGGAGCTCAAACCAGTGGGAGCGCAGCGACGGAATCACCCGCGAGAGCACAATGTCGCTGCTGCCAGCTGGCCAGTTGGCGTCGTCCGGTGGCACGGCAAAGTCCTCCGGCATCGCGCCCAGGGTGCCGACCAGCTGCTGATATGCATGAAGCGCTGCGACCTGCGTCGCAATCGGGACCGTCGCGACCACGAGCCCACCGCGCGAAGTGCGCTTGACGCAGCGCGATGTGGCCTCCGAGGACGAGAATCCGAGTTGCCGGAGCTGCGCTTCAAACTTCTTGTCGAGTGCGCGGTCTTGGTAGTGCAGGGACTGTAAGAAGGCGGCGAGTTTTAGGCCTCGAAGCGGCGTCGGCCATGGCGAGGCGGTCGGCACCGTGAAGCGCAACGGCATGTTGGCTGTGCCGTGCAAATATCGATAGAACGCCAGGGCGCGCACCTTGTCTTGCAACGTCCACGCACGAGCTGTCGGCGCGGACGCCTTGGCCGCGACACGTCGTGGCGCTTCGCTCACAGTGACGCCGAGCTCGCGGATCTCGTCGCACACGGGTAGAGCGAGTTCGTCTTGCTGCCAGAACCAGTGCAGACGCACACCCAGCGGGACGCCGTGGCTGCCAAGTGGCCACGCAGAACCACTCGCAGGCACGACAAAGTCGTAGGGTACGACAGCATAGACGTCGCGGATGACCCTTAAAATGTCTCGAAGTTGCTTGAGAACCTGGAGACGTGTGGTCTCATCATGCGGAGGCCCCCACAGCAGCTGAGGGGCAGGCAACGTCTGTGTGAGACTGGCGAACGTTGCTGCCGTGGCCGGTGGCAGTAGACGCAGTCGCTTTGCCGTGTGCATGCGCTCGACGTAGTGTCCAAGGCGCAGTCCGGCCAGGTCGCCCGGCCAGCTTGGCGGCGCCACAAAGCTCGGCGAGACCGCTTTGTCTCCATAGTGCTCAAGACCACGCAAGACATTCGCCCACGTCTCGTCGACGTTGAATACAAAGCCAGTGCGTTTGAGGTCGTCGCGCTGCGCAGCCTTGAGCGCCCGAGCCTTCAAGCCGACCGACCACGCGAGGTCGCCGAGGGCCAAGCCGCGCCAGGCGTTGATCCAGTGACCGCCCATCCGAGGCACGACAAAGTCGATGCGCACGGCGCAAGTGCCAAATTCGGTGCGGTAAATGTCCAGCAGCTTGAGAAATGTGCTGAAATCGGGCAGATCGGCGAAATAGCCGGCCTCACGGAGCCGTTGGGCGTCGGCCTCGGGCAGCTCGTAGACATGGGCGCGTAGCGACGCGAGCGCGAGGTCCAAGGCGACGTAGTGCATCGGAAGAGGCCACACGTCCGCGTCGGGCGGTACGACAAATCCGTCGGGCACATTGGTGTGGCCATTCAGACGCTGAAAGACAACGAGGGCTTCGATCTGCTCCGACCACGCGACGAGCTGTGACATGGGCGCGCGCTTGCCTGGACGGTGCACGACGCAAAACGTCGTATCGCAGCGAAGGCGCCACAGAAACCCGAGCGCGTCGAGGTCGCTTCGTTGCTGTACGACCTTGGGCGTGTAGACGTAGCTCTGGCAGCGCAGCGTGTTGACGGCGCGGCCAAGCGGGAAGCGCTGCAGGTGGCGCGGGTACGAATCGGGCACGACGTACGTTGTCGGCACCGCGAGGTCGCCGTGCTCTTCCCGGTACAAGCACAGCGCCTCGAGCCGATGCGCCCAGCTCGCCTCTTGGCCTTGCTGGACCCGCGGCGTCGTCCACTTGAAGCCAAGCTCGTCCAGCGTTGCCTTGTGCGCCGGATCGATCGCCGACTGCGTGCGAAGCAAGGCCACGCGCCGCCCAAGCTGGAGACCATGGGTGGCGGCCGGCCACGCTTCCGTCATCGGGACGTCAAAGTCGGCCGGTACGTTGACATGATCATGCAGATCGCGAAAAGTCTGAAGCGCTTCGACGATGACCGCCCAAGGCGCCGGCGCTTCGGCGTCGTTCGACGCAGTCGCTTGGGCGTCGTCCGGTCCCGCCATCACCAGCCGCCAAGAGCAATGTCCAAAAACATATGTCAATGGTAGCACACTATTTAAAGTCAAATGAGTGCGATCTTGCGGTAAATACTGTATGTTACGATACTGTAGCGTCGTTCGTTCGCAGCCGTGATACATTCCCTAGCGCGCCGCCCAGACCATGCGCCTGCGACCGACGCGAGGCGCATGAAGAAGGACCATGAAACAGGCTGGTCGCTTGACCGCGGGATGAGGGCAAACGAATGCTCCGGTGGGCTTTGTGTGCTTGCCACTTTACTGTGATGGGATTGGCCGACAAGCGGACGATTGGTGGTCGTCCGGATATGGGACTTGGCGCCAAAGGGCGTTTGCACGCGGCCAGTCGCACTCGTTCTCTCTCGCTTGAAAGGGTGCAGTCGGTGACCAACATCGCCCCACGACTGCTGTATCTACGCATGTTCAAGGGCCGAAGAGACCCTTCACCTTGAGCTCCAGTTGAAGCAGTGCTCTTGCGGCTGGCAGTCAAATGAGGTCAGTCAAAACAAAACCCAGCGTTAGCATATTTGAGACGGTTTTGGAGTACTGAGCAATTATTGTACAATATTTTATGGGGAATCGACTGGTGTAGCTCTTATGGACAGAAACGTCGTACTTCCTGTGCTAACCGGGCGCGAAAGAGCGTTAGAGTAGCCTATCAGCGACCTTCTGTCCGCCTCCGACGTTCTTCACCTCGATCATTGGCTCTCGCCTACCATCACCTTTCGAAGCAACCAATGGAATCGCTTTCTGGCGACCAATCAAAAGCGCAGAAAACTTTGGAGCCCGTTTACTCAAATCGTTAGCAGGCCGCGAACACGAGGTTTTGTTTTGACCGTCCTCAAATCATCGTCGATTACTCTTGGCTTCCTCACGATTGTGGCCGATGTGGTCAAGGGAGGTGACGTCTGGCTCAGCTCGCACAACCGCAACTACCGCAACAACACGGCCAAAGGCTCGATGGCGCACGTTGCGTCGGATATCACGAGCTTGGACGATATCGAATGCTGCTTCATTCAGCAATCGCTGTCGTCATGATGGAGATCGCCTTCGATGCTGTCGTCGGGAATGCTAGACGAGGCGCCCCAAGCCGATGCAGTCGCGTGAACGCCGTACACGAGAGCCATCGGCGCTGCATCGGCAATGGATGCGTCGACAATGGACGCCGGCGGCTCCGGGGCGGTCAACAGCGCATCGTCGGCAGCGACGGCCACTGGCAAGGCAGCCCACTTCAAGCCAATGGTATCGAGCTGGGCACAATCGCCGGCACGACATTGGTTGCTATGCGGCGCCGCGACCCAAAGACGCATTCCTATTGCAATATCCTCAGACGCAGCGACTCCATCGCATGTATACTATTTGATCTACTGAGCGGCACCTCTGCTTGGTAGGTCGGCTCTCCTGGTGGAATTCGCGCCATTTACTGCAAATCTCGGGCAATTCGCAGCCAGAGCGCGCATTGGGGGGTCGAAGCCCTGCCAACATCGCCATGCAAAAGCCGCCGAATGTCACATTTCCCTCGGTCATTTCTCGGTCATTTCTGGTAATTTTCGTAAGAAACTGGCGTATATGCAACCTACGGCGTTGGGTTGCAAGCTCGTCGCCATGCATGTGGACATTTCAATATATATATGAACGTGTTTCGCGTTATCTTCGTTGTTACAAAGAGTTCGCATACGTAGAGACTAGCAATCTCCTTCTTCTTCATTCACTCGCCAGGCCGTGGCTGCGCAGGCGGCGGCGCGGGGGT